GTATGAATACTGTTGAAACTTTTTGTAATAACCTTGACATTGACACTCAAACCGCATCTAACTCAGCACTAAGTAACGTTGATCTCTGCATGGAAGAAGCTGCTCGAGAAGCACGTAAGAATAATTTGATCTTATTTAATTTTCCTGAATTTAATATAACTCAAGATTCCATTCCATTATAATTCGGATACTGACAAGATTAAAGGATTTTTAAGGATTTTTAATAAGGATTTGAACCTAGATGGAATTATTTATATTCATTTGGGAATTAAATTACAGGTTCATAATCGTCTCTCTCTCTCTCTCTCTCTGGATCGTACACTCATGCAACAACAACAATACAGGAAAGTAAAAAAATTAATGAAGGAACGTATATCAAGAGGGGATGATAATGCTAATACTTTGGTTAGTGAAAAATTTCCTTTTAATGATGCTTATGATTTCGTCATTGAAGTTTTTGCTTCTAACAATACGAATAATTTGTCTGCAGAAGATTTTCTTCTTGATCATGATAAATTTTCCTACATAAACATTTTGCTTTGACGATGCTAAAATTTAATTTACAACTCTAGATAGTTTTGCAAACATTAAAGTGCTTCTGGAGACGCTAATTTGGTTAAGGTTAAGGTGAAGTTTCTAATTTTGATTCAAGATTTTATATTAAATATTATATATTTTTATTTTATATCTTATTTGTAAAAAGAAATAATGACCCTAAAAATGTGAGAAATTTGTTGATAAACCTAAGAATTCTGATGGCATGTCTGCAGATTTTCAAAGGACATTGGTCTAGTGGATAGGTACTTACCCAACTGTCTTTATGGGGTTTTGGATAACTTATTCTTTACGATTATAGTCTTGGCTATGACATTCAGCGTCAATTACTATCTGATAATTCCGTCATTTATTGTTGGAATTATTTTGTACATTTTAAAAACTATTTACATCAAAACAAGCAGAAGCATTAGACGTCTAGAAGGAATAAGTAACTATACTAATTTCTACAATTAAAATACAATTGAAATTAAAATTAATTTCTAATTGTGTTCTAAATTCTAAATTAATTTCTAAATACTCTTTCAGCTCGATCTCCAGTCTTCAGTCATCTAAGCGCAACATTAAATGGCCTATCAACAATTCGAGCATTCAGGGCACAAGATTTACTAACAAAAGAATTCGACAATCATCAAGATGTACATTCAGCAACCTATTATCTCTTCTTCTCATGTTCAAGAGCATTCGGCTACTATTTGGAAATATTTTGCAACATTTACGTTATAATTGTCATTTACTCATTTCTGTTAGTTTCCAGTAATGATTCAGTTGGTAATGTTGGTCTGATAATAACCCAAACAACAATGCTCGCCGGTTATATACAATTTGGTATTGTTCGAGCATCCGAACTTGAAAATCAAATGACAGCCGTCGAGAGAATCTTGGAGTACACTAATATCCAAAGGGAACCACCTCTCGAGAGTTCAAGTGAAAATAAACCGGCTGCTAATTGGCCCGATAAGGGACGCGTCGAATTTCGTAATGTTTGTTTAAGTTACACTCAAGGTGGTGATTTTGTACTTAAACATTTGAGTTTTGTCGTGAAGCCGACGGAGAAAATTGGCATCGTTGGACGTACTGGCGCTGGTAAATCGTCATTAATTAGTGCACTGTTTCGTCTATCATTCTTGGAGGGTGAAATTTATATCGACGGAATTGGCACAAGTAAATTGGGCCTGCACGATTTGAGATCGAAAATAAGTATTATACCGCAGGAACCACTTTTATTTGCCGGCACATTGAGGGAGAATATTGATCCATTTGAGGAGTATACGGATGATGAACTTTGGGAATCATTGGATGAGGTGGAATTGAAGGAGGCTGTTGCAGCATCGGGATTATATGGAAAGGTATCGGACGGTGGGGCGAATTTCAGCGTTGGACAGAGGCAATTACTCTGCTTGGCGAGGGCAATCGTGAGGAAGAATAAAATTTTGGTACTCGATGAAGCGACGGCTAATGTTGATCCACAGACGGATGCGCTGATTCAGAAGACGATTAGAAAGAGATTTGAGAATTGCACCGTTTTTATTATTGCTCATAGACTTAATACTGTCATGGACTGTGATAAATTTATTGTCATGGACGCGGGTCACATGGTGGTGAGTATATTTCACTACTTCTTGTTTCAATATTTTTTTTGCTTGGTGTTTTCTTTGGTTTTCTTCATACCTTATACTTTTCCCATGTCTTCTTTCCCCATTTCTTTTTCTTTAGACTTAATACATTTTTATCCTTGTCCTCCTTGCCCCTCCATTGAAAAACTTAGACATCTTTTGATTTTCTAGTTTTGATCCTTTCTTCCATCTTTTAATTTCCTCCTCCATTGATTTTAGAATGGTAATGTACAGTGATTTTGACTGTTGAGGTCTGTTTTTTCGTAATTTTTTACTTTATTTATTGACTGGATGGATTGTTCTTTGATTTTAGTAAAGCTTTTGACTCGGTACCTCATACTATATCTTGCTATCGAAACTTAAAGCCATAGGTTCGTCGGGATCAGTCATAAGATGGTTTGCTTCGTACTTGTCAGGTAGAACCCAGGCTGTTGTGGGACCAGATGGAGAGTTATCTGAGTGGGGACATATTGGAACTGGAGTTCCTCAGGGATCAGTGCTGGGCCCTCTATTGTTCCTACTTTATACTAATGACTTTAGGGGTGTTTTCAAGTATTCTAAGCATACGTATTTTGTGGATGATCTGCAGATCTATATACACTCTAGTTTGGAAGACTTGCAGAATAATATAAGATTAATAAATGAGGATGTCAAGGCTGTATTTCATTGGGCGAAAGTAAATATTCTTAAAATAAATTTTAATATGACTTACTCCATGATAATTGGCTCTACTTGGTATTTAAACAAAATAAATTTGAGTGACTGCTCTGTAATAAAAATTAATGATAATATCATCCCTTTTGTTGATTTAGTTAAAAATTTGGGTGATGTCTTTACGCCAACTCTTTCTTGGGATAAGCAGGTTGGCAAAATGTGCAAGAGCGTCTATGCCACCTTGTCACAATTCAAAGCAAATAAGAAAGCCCTTACTGTTGAATTGAAGACGAAACTTGTTACGTCATTGGTTTTCCCTCATTTTGATTACTGTTGTGTTGTATATAATGATATAACTGAAGAATTAAACTATAAACTTGAGAAACTCCTAAATTCATATATAAGATTTATATTTGATTTAAAGAAAGATGAACATGTAACTCCATATAGGTTACAGCTAGGTTGGCTTAGTGTTAGTAACAGACGACTTTGGTACATCGGCTGTCTTACACATGTAATTTTAAACAATAAAAAACCTTCGTACTTGTATGAAAAGTTTGTTTTTAGAGAGAAAATTAGCACTAGAGAGTTAAGATCTCCTTGCATTCTTAGGGCTCCACAATGTAAAACAGAAAAATATAAAAACTCGTTCATAGTAACTGCCATAAATTTATAGAACTCTCTTCCTCGTTCTATGACAAATATTGAAAGTCCAAAAACATTTAAACTAAAATTGTATAAATATTTATTTTCGTTGGATGTATAGAGTATATAGAGTGTATCTTGAATGGTATGTCATCTGTATATGTAAGTTGCTGTGATAATTTGTAAATCAAAGTCTTTTTTTGTCTTGATGAGAGGTATATGGCTTTATTTAACTTTATACGATATTTATTTTATTAATTACTGTATTTTTAATGGTTGTCCTCGGTATTTAAATCAAAGTCCATTATTGCCCAAGGACAATTACTTACCCATTATTACCCTAAGTCAATTATGGACATTTTATTGACCATTGTAAAGTGCCAATTATTGCTCTAGGGCAATAATGGAAACATTATTGACTGATTTTTTCAATTTTCAGGAATTTAATCATCCCTATCTACTTCTTAAACAAGAAAAAGGCTATCTCCACGATATGGTGCAACAAACCGGACCCGAAATGGCAGCAGTACTCACAAAAATGGCCGAAGCTTCTTACAATACAATAAAACTTAAATAAGTCATAATTTTTAATTTTTTTTTTTAAATAACTTTTTTTTCTCTAAAGAAAAGTGATTTATATACCTATTAATTTTATTTTCTTAAAAGTAGATTTAATAAGAAACAATATCTATTTTCTCTAAACATATACCAAAAACGGAGATTAAATCTTTTAAAGATAAAAATAGCATGTTTTTTCATAAATCTCAAAATGTACCTTACTGTTGTAAGGGTAATGGAATATTTAAAAAAAAATAGTCAATTTTAATACAAAAATGTACATTAAAAAAAAATCCATTTTTTTATACTCTTACTTTTTATGTGAAAACCATTGTGATATAAATGAAACATAGACATATACAATTTTACACATTTAACAATTAATTTGCCACTACATGTATAATATACTAGAAATCATTTTTTTATTTTATAAACAAATTGTAATTATAATAATAATTGTAAGAAACTGATTGTAGAATTAAAAATTCAAAATGTATTAAGAAAAAAAAATTTTTTAATTTGAAAATAAAGAAAATTAATTTTAAAAGAAATAAAAAGGAGAAATTCTTATCCATTCGAAATTTGATGCACTCTTTTCTTATTATTATTGTTGAGTAAAAATTAATTTTTGTTTCCCTTTTCCTTGTCATCTTTAGAGGAAGATTGTAAATTAATTTAAAAAGGAGGAATGTGAAAATTCTTTATCTTATCACAATTGAAATTTAATTGGAATTAACTTTGGAGAAAAGATAAAAGGATAATGTACACTGGCAATGTTAAAAAAGTTGTCAATTAAGAATTGCATTCGCCACGTACCAGTTCAGTATTTTTTTTTCGTTCTTTGTCCTTTTACTTTGTAAATCGTAATTAATTCTCTCATTACTTAATTTTTTTTTAAATTCATTTTTTCCATTAATTCAATCGATTGTGACATTTTTGAAAACCATAAAAAAAAAAGATTAATTGAAAAATGGATCAACAAAATACAAAAGAATTTAAGAAGATACGAAAAAATCCTAATTTACTATCAAAACTTTTTTTTGGGTAAGTGTAAAAATTAAAAAATTTTATGCATTACAAATTAATTACTTTATTAAGTAAATATTTAAATAAACAAAATAACAATTTAATAAAAAAATAAATAAATAATAAATATATAAAAAATAAATAAATAAAAAATTAATTAAAAAAATAAAAGAATAAACAAATGAACAATTGAATAAATAATAAACAAATAAATAAAGGATTGAATAAATAATAAATCAAAGAAGAAATAAATAAATAAATAGAAAAATTAGTTGATTAAAATAATAGTTAATAAACTACTTAGTTTATTTGTAAATTAATAAATAAACTGATTGGTTAACAAATACTTTAAAAAAATAAATAAATGAGTTAACTAAGGCATTAATAAATAAACAAATTAGTTAATTAATATATTATTTAATAAACATTTTTAGTTAATTTATAAACAAATAATAAAGAATTGTATAATTAATAAATAAATTAATAAATGAATGAATGAATAAACAAATAAAGAATAAAATAAATAAACAAATTAGTTAATTTATAAATAAATGAATAAACAAATAAAGATCTAAATAAATTATAAATAAAACAATAAATAAATAAAGGAATGAATAAATTGATTAATTAATTTACTACATTAATAAATAAACTAATTAAATAAATAATAAATAAAACAAATAAAAATAAAGGAATGAATGAATAAATTAGTTAATTAATATATTATTTGATAAACGTTTTAGTTCATTTATAAACAATTGAATAAGCAAATAAATAACAGAATAAACAATAAATAAAAGAAAAAATAAACAAATAAAAAAAGGAATAAATTAACAATTAAAATATATAAATAAATGAATAAACAAATGAAACATTGAATAAATGATAAATAAGAGGATTAAATGATAATAAGTGATTAAATGATTATTCAGCAAATAAATAAATAAATAAATTGCAAATGAAAATTTTTCCAAACAAAATTTTTTTTTAAATAATTTTTTTTACAAATACTTTTTTTTTGTTTTAGTTGGCTTTTTAAAACATTTATTAGAGGTTATCATAAAGAATTGGATGAAACAGATCTTCCCTCGCCACTTATGGAGCATTCATCACATTTAATTACAAAGAAAGTGACAAAATCTTGGAATGATGAAAAAATTAAGTGCAAGAAAAAAGGAAAAAGTGGACCAATTTTATTTACCGTTCTCTTAAAATGTTTTTTGCCACAATTTTTATTTTGGACATTTATTCAAGTTCTAAAGGAATTTATACTGAAGTAATTAAAATTTATAAAAATTAATTTTTTACATTTGTTATACAATTAATTATTTACTAAAATAAAATTTTTAATTGCTTACATAATTAATTATTTTGTTGTAAGTAATTGACTATTAAATGTACATAATTAATTGGCGAATAATTTATTATAATTGTTAATTGACAATCAATTTTTTACGATTTTTAATTAACAATTTACTTTTTATACTTAATTGTCAATTATTTTGTTATAGTTAATTGATAATTAATTTGTTATAATAATCAAATAACAAATATTTTGTTATAATTAATTGATATTTAATTGGCAATTATTATCAGTTAATTTCTTATAGTTAATTTACATTTAATTTATTATAATTAATTGACAAATAATTTGTTATAATGATTAATTGACTTTGGATTTGTAACAATCAATTGACAATTAATTTGTTATAATGATTAATTGTCTATTCATTTGTTATAATAATGAATTAACTTTCAGTTTGTTATAATTATTAACCAACAATTAATTTGTTATAATAATTAATTGACAATCAATTTGTTGTAATTACTAATTAACAATTACATTGTTATTGTTAATTGACAATCAATTTGTTGTAATTATTAATTAATAATTAATTTGTTATTGTTAATTGAAAATTTTTTTTTTTTATTATTCTTTGACTATTAAATTCTTATAAATAATTGACAATTCATTCGTTTAAATTATAATTAATTGATATTTAAATGAGTTATTATCAAATAATTTGCTATAATTAATTTACATTTATTTTAATATTATTAATTGACAATTGATTTGTTACAATTAATTGACAATTGATTTGTTATAATTAATTGACAATTAATTTGTTATAATGAATTGGCAATTAATTTGTTATAAATAATTGACAACTAATTTGTTATAATTAATTGACAATTAATTTGTTAGAATTAATGGACAATTAATTTGTTATAATTAATAAACAATTAATTTGTTACAATTAATTAACAATTAATTTGTTATAATATCCATTGAAAATTAATTTGTTATAATGATTAATTGTCGATTCACTTGTTATAATAATTAATTAACATTTAGTTTGTTATAATAATTAATTTACATTTATTTTGTTACAATTGTTAATTAACAATTAATTTGTTTTAACAATTAATTAACAATTAGTTTGCTATAATAAATTTATATACATTTTGTAATAATGAATTGACAATATTTATTTTGTTATCATTTATTACTTATTAGTAATTAATTTGTTATAATATTTAAATCATTAACTAATTAATATTTTCAGAATAGTCAAACCAATTATTCTTGGTAACGTTTTAAGTTATTTTAATGGAAAAATTGAAGTTTCCGGCAATGACATTTATTTTTGGATAGCGGGACTTATTTTAAATCTTTTAATGCAAGCATTCTTTGAAACACAAATTTGGACAAATATGATGTATTTGGAGATTAAAATACGTGTCGCGTGTTCGACATTAATTTATAATAAAGTATTGAGACTTTCGAAAATTGCATTCGAATCAGAAACGTCAGTGGGACAGGTAAATGCAAATTATTTTCTTAATTATCATTATTTTCTTAATTGAAAAAAAATATATAATAATAATGATTTTTTTTTTATTGACAAATTAAATTAAATATGTTGCAGATTATAAATCACTTGAACAATGACACAAAATGCATAACCGAGGTTCTTGCCTGCATTAATTATATATGGATTTCTCCATTACAAACATTATTAATTGCATTTTTTATTTATAAAAATGTCAGTCTCACTGCTGTTGCAGGAATTGCCGTTTTTTTCATAACAATTCCAATACAAGGTAAGGACAAAATAAGTAAATACAGCAAATTAAATTAATTAATTAATAACATAATTTTTAATTATGTAATTAGTAAATTAAAATAATTATTTTATTAATTTAATAATTAATAAATTAACAAAATTTATTTGTTAATTAGTAAATTAATTTTTAAAACTATTAGATAACTAATTAATTAGTGAATTAGTAAATTAATTGTTGAAATTATTAGATAACTAATTAATTAATAAATTAGTAAATTTGTTTTTTAAAACTGTTGAACAAATAACTTTTTAATTAGTTACTAATTAACTATTGACCTATTTACTTACTCGTTAGCTAATTACTAATTAATTAATGTTCTAATTAGTTTATCAATTTGTTAGCTAATTAATTTCTTAATAACTAAATACCTCATTAGTTAATTAATGAGTTGAATAAAAGTATTTGTAATTTACAAGTTAAATAATTAAATAGTTGCAAGATTTGTAATTATTTAGGTAATTAATATATTTATGAATAAACATTTATAAATAAACAAAATTAATATGAATTATATTAATAATAATTTATTTATTTATTATTTCTTGTTTATTTATTATTAATATATTAAAGAAGTTCATTTATTAATTAGGTAACTAATCAATTTTTTCATAAACAAATTAATTAATTACTAAATTAATAAATAACAAATTTAGTTAATTTACTATTCTAATAAATAAACTAATTCTTTAACTAATACAATAACAGAAAAATAAATTAGCTTATTAAAATATTAATTAATGAACAATTTAGTTGATTTGTAAATTGATAAATGTACAAATTAGTTACTTTATATATTTATAAATAAACAAATTGATTAGTTTATTATTTATTAAGAATTTTAGTTAATTTATAAATTAATAAATATATAAATGAGTTAATTTAAATATTAGTTAATTAGTTAATTCGTAAATTATTTATTTGTTATTATTTATAAATAAACAAATTCGTTATTAAATTGTTTATTAAACATTTCAGTTAATTTATAATTTAATAAATATACAAATGACTTAATTACTAATTAAATAAATAAATTAGTTAATTTTCTATCTTAATAAATAAATTATTTATTTAGCTAATGCATTAAAAAATAAACAAATTAGTTCATTTGAATATTAATTAATGAGCAATTTAATTAATTAGTAAATTAATAAATAAACTAATTAGTTAATTATTTAATTAATTAATAAACAAATCAATTATTTAATATATTAATAAATAAACAAATTAGTTACTTAATGCTTTATTTAATTTATAAATTAATAAATAAACTAATTATTTAAATAATTATTTAGTAAATAACTAATAGATAACTAATAAATTAAACAACTTTAGGCTATTTGGCAAAAATTGTGCCACGACTCTCTCTAAAAGCAGCTGCACAAACAGATGAAAGACTATCATTGACAAATGAAACTGTTAGCGGAATACAAGTAATTAAAATGTTTGCCTGGGAAAAATCTTTCCTCAGTCTTGTTGACACCGTAAGAGCGTAAGAGTTTACATTCTTTTATCGTCATCATAATGTTTAACGTTTGTTTAAATACAATAAAAAAAAAATTTTTGTCAGGAAGGAATTTTTTTTATGAAACAATTTTAATTTTAGATTTTATTGAATATTCTACAATCTCTAATTTATTAAATTGATGAGGGTAGATTATAAAAAGTACATCTTGCAAAATAATAATTGCACTTGAGGAAAAATGAATGTAAATATTAATAATTTTTTTCTTCTTCTCTTTACAGGAAAGAAATGACGGAAATAACGAAAATAATGTTAGCAAAGTTTGCAGCAATATCGTGTTATATTTTCAATTCGAGAATCTCACTTTTTGTCAGTTTAATATTGTGTGTTTTATTTGATAGAAATTTATCAGCTGAAAGTGTTTTTATTCTCACCATGTATTTTGATACTATTCAACATAATATGAATGCAATGTTTCCGTTCGGTAAGTTGTGACAAAGAAAAAAATGTTGTGAATGAACCTTTATATTTTATTATTCTATGGTGAATTATTTTAAAAAATTTATATTCGTAATTTTTTTATTAGTTTACTTCATTTTCGACTTTGATTATTGTATTTGTTTCTCATAATTCAGTTGTGAATGACCCTTAACGTTTTTTACTCTCTAGTGTTTAGAATGTGAATGAACCTTAAATTTTTTTATTTTATGGTTAAAAAGTTTATTGAGAATTTGATATCATTTAATATCTGATATCATTTAATTTGATAATATTTAATAGAATATTTTCTCTCCCGTTCAGTTGTGAATGATCCTTAATTTTTCAACTCTTTTAGTCTCCATTGTGAATCACCCTTAATATTTTTTAATTCATGGTCAAACCCTTTATTGACAATTTCCTTGTTTTATGGCAAGGAATTTTGTCATTTATTTACTACCGTTCAGTTGTGAATGGTCCTTAATTTTTTCTACTCTTTTAGTCTTCATTGTGAATCACCCTTAATATTTTTAGATTTATGGTCAACCCCTTTATTGATAATTTGAGTTTTATCTGAAGGAACTTGATCCTTTATTTACGACAGTACAGCTGTGAATGGAACCTTACATTTTGTACTCTAGTTTTCATTGTGAATGAACCTTAATATTTTTTATTCTATTGTAATAATTTTTAGTAAAAAATTAATATTTTATAGTAAAAAATTTACTATAGAATATAGCTTTTCGCAGTGAATCAGATGTAATGTAAATAAATAATAATTTTACATTCGTATTAAGCGTATTAGTAATCCACTTAAGTTGTGATTGTACCTTAACAGTTTTTTACTCTATGGCGAAAGTTTTCTATTATAAGAAAATACTTTTTGGTTATGGCCATTAATCACCATGAAGTGAAATGTATTATTGTTCATTTACAATTAGAGTCAAGTAAATTTAGTTAATTATTTTTAAACCATAGAGTAAAAAATATTAAGGGTCACGCACAACAGTGCGAGACTCTCTGTTACGAACTGGGAAATATGTAACATCATTCACAACAGTTTTTTTGGAAATCTTTAATCCATAGAGTAAAATACATAAAGGTTCATTCATATTGCTTTTACAGTCTTTACACCATGAAATAAAAAACATTAAGTCTCATTCACAACGTTTTTCAGAGAAAATAATCTGAAAATCGTTTATTATTCCACAGGTCTACAACGAGGAGGCATGTGGTTAGCTTCAATGAAGAGAATACAAAAGTTCCTCGATCAAAAAGATTCACATCACCCTCACAATGTGAGTAATGAAAAAAATCAACATAATCAACATGGAAATTCCCAGGACAGCGTTAGATTGCAAAATGTCTCCGCAAAGTGGTCGTCGAAAAGCAGTGAAAACAATCTGGACAATATTAATTTTTCCGCGAAATGTGATAGTCTAGTTGCAATTGTTGGTCAAGTTGGTTCCGGCAAGACAAGTTTACTGCAAGTGATTCTGGAAGAATTGCCAGTGCTGAAGGGAGTTGTCACCACCTCGGGACGAATTGCCTACGTCAGTCAAGATCCATGGATCTTCTCGTCCAGCATCAGACAGAATATAATCTTCGCCAAACCAATGGACAAGGAGCGTTACGAGCAAGTGATCAAGGTCTGCCAACTAGAGAGAGATTTTGATCAATTTCCCCACAAGGATCAGACAATTGTTGGTGAGAAGGGGATAAATTTGAGTGGTGGTCAACGGGCAAGAGTTGCTCTAGCTCGAGCAATTTATGCTGATGCGGACATCTACCTTTTGGATGATCCACTATCAGCCGTGGACGCCCGGGTCGGGCGACTCATCTTCAATGACTGTATTCGTACTTTCCTGAAGGGAAAAACCCGAATTCTGGTCACCCATCAATTGCAGTATCTCAATCAGGTGGATTACGTTTACATTCTTGATAACGGACGCGTTCAGTCTGAAGGTACCAGTAAGGATCTACAATCAAGAAAAGTCTTCCAATTCCCTAATGATGAGAACTTTGATTCCCAGACTGCTGATACTGTCAAAGAGGCAGAATTCACTGGACTCATGTCCGAAAAGCAGGAGGAGGAAGTTGCGGAACATCGGACAATCGGAAAAGTATCGAAAATCTCCTACATTTCGTATTTTAAGGCCAGTCAATCCACCTGCTTGGTAATTACCGTATTCCTCCTGGCGATATTTCGTCAGGTGATCAGCTCCGCTGGTGACTACTACATTTCCCTTTGGGCCGAAGCACAACAATCCTGTTCAGCAGATACGACACGATATACATTCATCTGCGGAGCGACATTCAGTGATAATGTTCCCTACATCGGTATCTATGGAGCACTAACACTCCTACTGATATTTATCGTTTACGCCTACATTTTTAGTTTCGCCAAAATGTGTAAACGCTCCTCCCAAAAGATGCATTTCAACCTTTTTGATAGTATCGTTCGAGCTAGAATGTCCTTCTTCTATCATCATTCGTCCGGGAGGATATTGAATCGGTAAGATTCATCCTCTAATTCGTCCTAATCTCTTTCCGCTTAGGAGGACTTGTTGTTAAATCGATGACATTTGGTTTAATGAGGACATATTTTGTTTTGTAGATTCTCCAAAGATATGGGAGTCATTGATAAGGAACTACCAATACGAGTTTATTTTACAAAAATATCCTGGATGCAGGTATTGGTAATAACAGGAATGACAGTTGCGCTGAATTACTGGTTAGTGATACCGACAATTGTGGCCAGTTTGGTTATGTATCTGGTACTGAATGTCTACATCAAGACGAGCAGGAATGTCAAACGACTGGATGGAATCAGTAAGTTGATTTGATCTAAATCAGTTTGGGGATTTTTTTAGGTCTGATAAAAATGATAATCCGAAGACTGTCAGAAGGGGGTTTGAGTTTAGGAGGAATTGAAAAGTTTGCGAAAGCTTCTTGCCTCGGAGATGAATGAGAGACTTTACCCACTAAGTCTAAAATCTATTCGAAAATCCTCCTGACATAATTAACTAGATTAATGTTGAGTTCCCTATGTATCCCATTCTCTGGGTTTATCTGGACACTTATGTCACCTTTTGGAACAAAAGCGGAATAAAAGTTTTATATTAGCGATTTAAGGGGAGAGCTTACCAACTAATTCTAAAATCCCATTCCCTGGATTCATCTGGACCCTTATGTCACCTACGGAACAAAAGCGAAATTAAAGTTTTGCATTAGTGATGAAAGGGAGACTTTACCTACAAAGTCTAAAATCTATTCAAAATCCCGTAGCTGACACAATTATCTAGATTAACGTAGAGTTGTCTTGATCTCCCATTCCCTGTGTTCATATGGACCCTTACGTCACTCACGGAACCAAAACAGAACGAGGACTTTTGGGTTCATCCAGAAACATTTTTGTTTAAAGATTACTAATCAATTATCATTGTTTTCAGCACAATCACCAGTGATCAGACATCTATCCGACACACTCCAGGGTTTAGAATCAGTTCGTGCCTTTGGCGCCGAGGAACTTCTCACCAAGGAATTCGAGAAACATTTAGATCTCAATACATCAAGTTCATCAATATTTCTCGGATGCGCCCAATGTCTTCAACTCTATGTGGAATTAATTTTCGGCATCTATATTGCATCGGTAGCATTTATTTTTCTCCTGATGAATCACGAGAATACAATAGGCAATGTCGGTCTAATCATCACACAAATAATCATCCTGGCTGATACAATAGCATGGTCGATATTTAATACAACCGAAACGGAAACTTTGATGACATCAGTGGAACGTGTATTGGAGTACAGTAATATCGAGCAGGAACCACCATTGGAGAGTGCTGATGATAAAAAACCACCTGATACTTGGCCCAATAAGTGTAGTGTTGAATTTCAAAATCTCTCACTTCGTTATCATGAGAATGGAACCGAGGTCCTTAGGAATATGAGTTTCACTATTAAACCAGAGGAGAAAATTGGTATCGTAGGACGTACCGGAGCGGGGAAATCATCATTAATTGCTGCTCTATTTCGAATGTCGCATCTCGAGGGTGAAATTTATATTGATGGTGTGCCAACGAGTAGTCTGGGTTTACACGATCTCAGATCGAAGATCAGTATTATTCCTCAGCAGCCTCTATTATTCGCTGGCACTCTCAGGAGAAATTTAGATCCTTTTGATGAATTTTCAGACGATATTCTTTGGCAGGCTTTGGAAGAGGTTGAACTTAAGACGACAATTGCTGCTATTAGTGGCGGTTTGGAAAGTCATGTTTCGGATGGTGGTGCAAATTTTAGCATGGGTCAACGACAATTACTCTGTTTGGCTCGTGCAATAGTTAGGAATAATAAAATACTAATTCTCGACGAGGCAACGGCGAATGTCGACACGGAAACCGATTTTCTCATACAAAAAACAATACGAAGGAGATTTGAAAATTGTACTGTTCTAATTATAGCCCATCGACTAAATACCATTATGGACTGTGATAGGATTATGGTTTTAGATGCTGGAAAAATTGTGGTAATTCATTTTCTTTAATTCTAAATTAATTATGTTAAAGGGGAGTTCATTTAAGGAAGCAGTTTAACGTTAGGAAATTATCGACACAAGATAGTAAAATTACAGGCAAAGAAGGTCGGTAACTTACCGACAAATGGGTCGGTAATTTACCAACAAATTCGTTAGCTTAAGTACAGAAAATTTAGGTAGGCAGTTTACCTACAGAGTAGATTAATGAGTTACCAACCATTTAAGTCGGTAACTTATCTACAAATAAGATATATTTACAAATGATTAAATACAAATTTCAGTGAATTACTTATTTACAGACTAAATAGCTATATTAAAAACAATTTAGGTCGGTAACTTACCTGTATATAAGATAAATGTTATCGAACATTTAGGTCGGTAACTTACCGACAAATTAGATTCATAAATTAACGTTAATTAAGGTCGGTAACTAGCCTATAGGTTAGGTCGGTAACTTATCCATAAAAACTTCTATAAATTGTTGAATGTTTAAATTATTAAACCTGATTGTAATTTATGTAAACGTTGGTAAATTACCGACTGCTTTGTAAGGCACATTACCCACAAAGTAAAGAATCATTAATTTAAAAGTTATCAAATGAGTAAGTCGGTAACTTATCTATAAAGTATGGTCGGTAATCGATAAGTTATCGACTGTGCAGGTCGGTATGTTACCGACATACAAAACGATCGATAATAAAATTTTTTTCTCAAAATTAAAAAAATATTCTCTTTCTAGGAATTCGATTCTCCCTCAAGTTTAATGGAAAAAGAAGATGGACTATTTTTTGATATGGTGCAACAAACTGGACGTGAAAAAATATAATTTGTACATATAAATGAATTTTCTTTTCCTATTTTAATTTAAATTATTATGAATTAATATAAATATGAATATTATGAATCTCTTCTATATTAGATTAAATTTTATTTGTAATAAATTTTATTACTATATATACACTTTTTTAAACCTTAAAATTTCCTAATTAGGTCCTTAAATTTTTGTTCTTGTATTAATTATTCTAAAAAAAAAAATTACGAATATAATTTCTACTTTTCGATTTATAGAAAATTATTAATTAAATTTATATAATTTTCAGTCTAAAAAAAACTTGTTTTACAAAAAAAGAATAATTAATGCAGTACATTTATTTTTGACAATTATAATAAACAAACAAAAAATGAGACTGGTGGGAAAAATTTTTACTTAAAAATTAAAGTTTGCTATTTAACAAGAAAGGCAAATAAAACTATTATGTATTTTATAGTCTAATATAGATTATTATGTTTAGGCAAATGGAACTTTATTTACATATTTGAAGGTTTTATAATTCCACGTGAAAATTACTTTCCAAATTATTCAAAGTTATTTTGAATATAAAGATATAATTATAAAGATATAATTATAAAATTATAATTATAAAGGTATAATTATAAAAATATAATTATAAAATATTTTTCTATTCATCTGAATCTTTTTTTGACTAGAAATATTAAACTATAAACAAGTTAATATTAATCGTTGTCGACCAGGCACATTTCAAATTAAATAATTAAATACTAGTAATAAAAAAATAATTAATAATTCACTAAAGTAAAATTCGTCCTTTTCTTGGAGAAAAGAGGCAAAAAAATTTTGTTTAAATAGAAAAGCTTTTAACCCTATTATTGTAAAATTTTTTTTTTAATTTTTTTTTTTTTTGTTTAAAGCCAAATATTTAAACAAATTTTTTATTTCAAATTTCCTTTGTTAATTTCTTCTTCATCGAAAATGAAAAGAAAATTTATTTTACTGAAAGAGTAAGTATACATTTGAATTTTACTATGGCACGTTTCATTAAAATTAAATATAATATTACTCAATTTAAGTTCAATAATTTGATAACAAATTTAAATAAAACACGTGTTTAAATTTATGTACACAAAGAGTGAACTGAATTACATGAATTTTAATATGTGTCAAGATTAAAAATTTATTATTTACTTAGTAATGGCAAAAAAATAATATATTAAAGTTCATTATAATTACCATAATCTCTCAATATATAAAGAAAAAAAATCAAACAACATTTAATTCATTACTAAAGTTCAGATTGATAAGAACGAAAGATAAAATAGCATTTATAGTTTTCAATTGTCATTATAAATGAATATTAAATGAACAAATTATCATTTTTTCAAGCAGAAGCAAATTATTCGTCATTAATTGTTTAATGGTAAGTAAAATTTAGAAATTATTTTGATTATTTATTTATTAGTAAAAATAAATTTGAAATTAATTATAGATACTATTACTATTTGTTAATACAGTAAATATTATTAATATTATTTTTTACTATTGTAATTTTATTATTTTTATTTATTTGTATTTGTATTTACAAATATAGGGGGAAATTTGCATAAAATTTGAGAAGTACTACTACTAATAATTAAATTAATAAATAATTATAATTAATTAATTAAATATTAAGTACTATTAACTAATTAATAAATAAACTAATCTGAATATTACTTAGTTAATTGAAAAATAATTGATTTTTTTTAAATTACCCGCCAATCGTAAGTCTGGACCTGGCTGTTGATGTCGGTGATTGTCGGTACAGATTTCTGTAAAAAATGTTTTCCCTCGTTTCTATCTTTTTTTTATTGCAGAAAAATAATTTAAAATCGATTTTGATCATTTTGTCGGTACAGATTCCTGTTAGTTTTTCTTTTTATAGTTTCTATTTTTTTTTTTTGCTACAAAAAATAATTTAACAACGATTTTGGCGGTTTTTAATTCAAAAATCCGAAAGTCGGTAAATGTCGTTACAGATTCCTGCTATTTTTTCCCACTTTTCCCTTTTCTGAGCGCTTAACGATCGGAATCAATGGAATTTGATTAATTAATTAATTAACCCACTAAATAATTTGATTTTCATCATCATTTAAGCAGAGGAAGGAAAATATTAACAAAATATTTTATTTTTATTTCAGCACTGAATGTTTGAAGCCAGCAGACTGATTGTTTGAAGATAAGAATCGAAAATGGATGGTTTTTCGATAAACACAATTCAGGAGACGGTCCACCTGGTCTCCATGTTCAGTTACATGAACACACTGAGTGATTTTCTATTCTCAAAATCGTTGATAGCTGAAAATGAAAAATACCAATTGCTACCAGTCGCTAATGGAATTTATCGTTACCTAGAGGATGATACACCACCAATTGGAATTCAAGAAAAGAAGAGAATTTTAATTAAGGAGGTAATTAATGGTAGTGATATTTACGGTGGTAAGAAAGACGAAATACCCGATCCAATATTTGTCAATGAATTATTCAAAAGAATCATCACTTCTATCGTTTTTAATAACGATACAAATATTTATGGATTCATTCTCAATGAAGTTCGTAATTCGAGTACGACCGATGTTGGGATACTGATTGACAAAATGAGGGATACATTGAATCGAACTTTACCTAGTTTAGTTTTTGAACGAGTATTTAATGATTATATTTTACCGCTGTTTCCCCAACCGGAACAAAATTTAACATCATCATCAGTAGCATCATCAATTAATTTAACATCCGTCGAATTTATTTACGCCCAAGCTGGAGCAATGTTTTTACTTTCGGGTACATCGAATCCGGAAATTGAAGAATTCCTTCATACAAATAAGAAACAAGACAATTTTCACGAATGTCTACATTTGGCTCACATAATCGAAAATCTAATCTTTGATGAAAAGGTTGATGGTGAATTTGTTTGGATATTCACCCTACCGGCTATGCTCTACTATGTCAGGAATGATAGAGAAAAACTTGTTGACGAAACAACAGCAAACATTGTCACAAATCCGGAACATGTCCAAAATGCTTTGGAGCAATTGTTCACCTATTTGAACGAAACAATTGATGGAATTATATCAACTAGGAACAATGATACACGTTATCAATTTTTGTTAGCTATGTCAGATTATAAAAATCGAACCGTAATTGCCAGGGAACTAATCGAGGAGAAATGCTTCCTTCCCAATGGAACAAATGTCAATGACGAAATTATTAGGTACAAGAACAATTACGAGACATTTAGTTGCAGTAGCAAACGAATTAGTGAAATTATCCGGATTTTGAATAACGGATCCAGCGGATTTTTGCTGAATTTAGATACGAAAAATGTTGGGGAATTGCTACCGATTTTGGAGAATGGGAATATTTACCATGTCCTGGTGGATTTGCACAATGGGAGCATTTCCGAACTACTGCTACTGTCAAAAAGGAGGGACATTAACGAAGTGCTGCTTGGACCAAAGAAGGAAAACATTAGCGAAGTACTGGAGAAAATAAACCATGATAACAATATTAACGAATTCCTTCCAGAATCTCAAAATTACATCAGCAATCTCCTGCTGGACCTAACGAATGAAAGCACTAAAGGAATGCTCCTAATTTTAAACAATGGTAATATTAGCGGATTTTTGCTACCACTGACGAAAGAAGACACCAATGGGTTCGTGCTAATTCCGATGAACAAAAACGTTGACGAATTACTTCCGATTCTGACTAACGGAAACATTAGACAACTGCTGATGGATCTAAACAATCGAAACATTGGCGAATTCCTCCTGGACCTAAATAACGGAAACATTAACGAAATGCTCCCAATTCGGAAGAATGGAAACATTAATCTAGAGGATCCTAATAAAAACCAGATACAACAAATTTTGGGTAGCGGAAATATACTCAATTTGCTGCCCTATCTTAATAGGGAAAACAACATTACTCATCAATTGTATCAAACAGTTCTGAAAACATACCAAACAAATCTCTATCAACATAGTAAGGAATTATTACCAAACATCAATGAATTATTCAATCAACAAAATGAGAAAATTTCGGAAAAATACCATCACTATGAAAAGGACGCACTAGCCGAAGTTTTTGGTGACACTTTCATCGAGATCCAAAATGGTAAAGGTGTCGAAATCTCCCAAGGACTCTACAAGGCGTTTTATGCCGGTGAAGGAATTGCCGGTGGGGCTGAACGTCAAGCACTCAGTCCCCAGGTTGATCTACTAAAATTCCGGTACAATTCCGGTGAAATAGTCTACTATGCACTTGTACGTAAAAACAATACTATCGAATTAATCGCCGAAGCTGATAATGATAAATTTCGTGAACAACTAGGTCTCTCAGTTTGGGAGAAATTCAACGACAGAGATTTCAAGATAATTAAGAAATCAAACGAAATGTTTACAACTCTAATCAATAGAATTGCGGATGATAGAAGAAAGAGTATGCTGAAGAATTTAAAAGCCGAGGGTTACGATATAACCCGAAAAGAATGGTGGAAGGATTTTGGTCTCAATTTAATACCATTCTATACATGCTGGAAAGCATTTCAGGAACGTGATGAACATATCGGTGTACCATCTTGTACAATAGACGGTCTAATGGTTCTGAGTGTTTTTGCCGATATTGCACAAGTTGTTGACAAATTTTTAATGCAATCCACAAGATTAGCAATAGCGAGAGCAGAAATAAAGTTCACAACACTAATGCTACGTGAAAGTATAACGGAAATTAGTGAGAAAACTTTGAAAAATGTGGCATTTGGTTTGAGAAAAGAAATGTTTCGTGGTATCGCAACAACTGTTATTCGTTTTCTAGATCCTGGTGTGGAACATCTTTTCAAAATCAGTAAATTTAGTTTAAGTGCCATATGGCAATTGACCACCAAACTAAGTTCCAGATTACAAACAAACTTTCCTCTTTTCACAAAGATTTACAACTTTTTGAATCAAATGACAAAAGGAACATATAGGAAACTAAATACAATTTACGGTAAAAATCTCTACGTTAAAACAATCAACGATCACAGTACTTATGGTTATGGTTACAAATTTTTCGAAAATCCCTCTGGACAATTACGATTCGTCACTAAACGAGAGGAGGAAATTTATCTCGTTCTCCTAAAAGGTAAGAACAATGAAAAAATTTACAAAGAAATAAATCCTTATACCGGACATACAAAAAGTGAATACCATCTTCAAAATCGTTTTCCACACGAGAGAGTGGAAAATTCAGAGGTAAAATTCAAACTCCCTGAGGAACTTAAAACCAATTGCTTACGAACCAGAAGACAAAGGAGATCACCCGAATTCTTTTGTAAACGTCTAATGTCACTATTAAAACGTGAAGAAGCACAAAAAGAGGCTTTAAAGACTGCCAGGAGATTAAAATTTCCCCTTCCTGATAATATCAACGATATATTAAATAGTTATTTATACACAAATACAAACAATGAGATAAATTTTATTCTCGATTGGATTAAAGAAGGTAAATTACCATTGTACAAATGGAGTTCAAAAAAACTTAGGAATCCCCAAGAATTTCATGCACTATTATATTGGAATTATCTCGACAATCCCTATTTAAGTGAATGGGAGGCAAATCAATTGATAGCAACAACATATAATAAAAATGATCGAAAGTCAATTGAATTATTTAAACCAATAAATCAAATACATAATGAATTTTTACAATATCGTGCCTATGAATCAATGTCATTTATTGATTTTTATTCAATTGGTAATTATTTACATCGTGGTTCACGTAAATTAAGTTACAGTACAAATGAAGCATTACTGATGAAACAAGCAATTTATCGTTTAGCTATAAGACAAAGTGATCTTGAATTTAAGGGAATTAGTAAAGTTTATTTTGCCACTGAATTAAGGGAATTTAATGATTTTGAAAATACATTTTTATGGAATGAAAAACAATATTTGCTACCAGAATTTATAACAACAACGACAAATTTATTATCGGCTATGGAATATGTTCATATAATGGGTAATAATTATGTTAAAGTACTTTATCAATTTAGAATGAATAACAATTTTTATTCAAGTGCACGTATTAATAATGTTTTTAAGAATAATATTGAAGAAACTATTTTATTGCCTGGAACAAAATTTAGAATTGACAATGTTTCTGATTATGTTCTTGGTGATGAAAAGGTGAAACTTGTTGAATTATCATTAGATCAAAAATTAACGAAAGCAAGAATTCTTAAGAAAATAACGGATAACTTATATTATTTAGAGCAAGAAAGGAAACTATTAAACCCTTCAGATGACATTGTTGACAGTAGTTTACGACTTGAATTGTTAAATCAATAAAAGTTGATGTGCCGCTTGTCAGTAACAGAAGAAGTTTCATCAGCTATAGCAGAATCATTAGCAGCAGCAATAGTAGAATTGGCATCATCAGTAGAAGTAGCAGTGGTCGAACCATCATCAGTAACAGAAACAGAAGTATTTACAACAGCATTAGCAGAATCATTATCAGAAGCAGCAGCAGCAAAAGGAGCAACAACAGAATTGACATCATCAGTAGAAGCAGCAGTGGTCAAACCATCATCAGTAACAGAAGCATTTACAGAATCATTATCAGAAGCAGCAAAAGGACTAAAAGTAGGATTAACATCATCAGTAGAATCAGCAGTGGTCAAACCATCATCAGTAACAGAACCATTTACAGCAGCATTAGCAGAATCATTATCAGAAGCAGCAGCAGCAGCAAAAGGAGCAACAGCAGAATTAGCATCATCAGTAAAAGCAGCAGTGGTAGAACCATCATCAGTAACGAAAACAGAAGTATTTACAGAAGCATCAGCAGAATCATTATCAGAAGCATCAAAAGGACTAAAAGTAGGATTAACATCATCAGTAGAATCAGCAGTGGTCAAACCATCATCAGTAACAGAACCATTTACAGCAGCATTAGCAGAATCATTATCAGAAGCAGCAGCAGCAAAAGGAGCAACAGCAGAATTAGCATCATCAGTAAAAGCAGCAGTGGTAGAACCATCATCAGTAACAAAAACAGAAGTATTTACAGAAGCATCAGCAGAATCATTATCAGAAGCAGAAAAAGGATTAACGGCAGAATTAGCAGCATCAGTAGAAGCAGCAGTAGCCGAACCATCATCAGTATCAGAAGTATTTACGGCAGCATCAGCTGAATCATTATCAGAAGCAGCAACAGCAGAATTGGCATCATCATTAGTAAGAGAAGCAGAAGCATTTCAGCAGCATTAGCAGAATCATTATCAGAAGCAGCAGCAAAAGGAGCAACAGCTGAATTGGCATCATCAGTAGAAGCAGCAATGGTCGAACCATCATCAGTAACAAAAGCAGAAGCATTTATAGCAGCATTAGCAGAAGTATTATCAAAAGCAGTAGCAGCAACAGCAGAATTGGCATCATCAGTAGAAGCAGCAGTAGTCGAACTATCATCAATAACAAAATCAGAAGCATTTACAGCAGCATTAGCAGAATCATTATCAGGAATATCATCAGAAAAAGGAGCATTTACAGAATCATTATCAAAAGCAGAAACAGCAGAATTAGCGTCGTCAGTAGGTCGGAAAGAAAGTGTAATATAGTTTTTTTTAATCTTCCTGAAGATAAAACTCCAAACACAGACTCTAGCACCTTGAAAGCTATTATCACAACAAATTTAAAAAGTTTACTAAATCAACTGATCTTGATGGAATTCGAACATTCATGAATTTTGTACTAATGTGCAGGTATCTCAGAAGCCACAACTACTCTCACACTTCAGATATTCGGGTCGATAGTTAGCCAACTGTAACTCCTAATTTTGGCTTAAAATCTCCAGTCGTCATTCTTATCAGTGCAAACTTTTAGTGAACAGACTTTTAAGATAAATTTAATCGATTCTTATCGTGATCTATTTCTAAAAATGAAACTTTGTAATATAAATCAAATAATTATGTATAATTTATTTAAAGAATGTAATATATTAAAAAATTAATTATTATTACTCATGGTAAATAAGAAAATATTTGCTCTCAATTATAATAATTTAAACAATTAATTGCCATTAGTAATAAAAATTGTAATAAATTAGAAAATTAGTTTTGTATTTCATGTACCTAATTATTTAGAGAATTGATTGTAATTAATTGTAATTAATTATAAAAAATTATAAAAAATGTAAAAAATTATAAAACAAAGGGTGCCTAATTAATTCTAATATATTAAAAAAATAAAAGTAATTATAATAAATTAAAAAATTAATTGAAACAGAAAATGATTTGTTATTAAATGTAATCAACAAAAAAATTAATTGTTATCAATTATAATAAATTAGAGAAATTGAAACCATTAATTGTAATAATTTAAACTATTATAATTGTAATAATTTAAACTATTAATTGTAATAATTTCAACTATTAATTGTCATTAATAATAAAAATTATAATAAATACTATAAACAAATAAAAGTATCCAATTGCAATAAATTGGAAAATTATTTGTAATTAATTGTAATAAACTATGAAAATTGTAATAAATTAAAAAAATATTACTAATATTACTAATATTACTAATATTACTAATTAATAAATATTGTAGTAAATTGTAAGATTAACATTTTCATTTCTAATATAATTTATGTTTTAAAATTAAAAAAATTTTTTTGCTGTTAATAATAATTTATATTTTTTTTTTGTTATAAACTGTAATAATAATAATTAATTAATTAAAATAAAAATATTCTTTATAAGTGATAAATTTTTTTTAAAAAAATACATAACCACAGAACCTGCATGAATTGAAAATTTACTATCATTTCGAAGAAAAGAAACCAGTGTGTACTCTGAAATGGTGATAATAAAAAAAGTTACATTTTATCATCAGGGCAGCTATTAAATTTTTTATTACATAGACAACTTAGAATTTCTTTCCTTTTTTTATCTAAATATACCTTTATGTATTCATGGTCCGGAGAAATTATTTCTTTAGTCTTTGTCGAACTGAAAACGTGTTGCACAATATTTTTATATAACGGTCAAAAATTTTTTGCGCATTAAATAATAATTATTGTTTATAAAAATTTTTTTAAATTTCTAAAAATTAATAAAAATTATAGAAATGAATGAAAATAAAAGAAATAAAAGGAAAACGCAATAGAAATAAAAGGAAAACAATAGAAAGGAATTTAAAAAATAGCAATTTCAAAATTTTATTATTGTTAATATATATTAACAATTATATATTCATCAGTGTTTGACATAGTATGAAAATATTTTTTTGGAATAAAAAGAAAAAGGAGAAGTACAACAAACACTTGTGAGTTTTGTATTTTTTATTAAATATTTACAAATGTTTAAACTGTTTAAAAATTTTTTTAATTTATCACGATGATCTGTAAGAAGCTTGCAGCAAGCTTACAGCTCAACTTTCCAACTGTTTAATTTAATTAATATTTTATCAGTATTATTTTTATCAATAACTTATTGTTTTCAAAACTTTCAGTATCGAAGAGGATTCATTACAAGAATTAGAAATTAAAATTGAAAAATGGATGTTTTTGCTGGCATAACAATTCAAGAGACGGTTCATTTAGTGTCAATGTTTAATTACATGAACACATTGAGTGATTTTCTATTTTCAAAATCGTTTATAGATGAAGAGGAGAAATGTCAATTGTTAGCGGTTGCAAATGGAATTTATCGTTACATTGAGGATGATACACCACCAATTGGAATTCAAGAAAGGAAGAGAATTTTAATAAAGGAAGCAATTAGAGAAAGTGATATTTACAGTGATGAAGAAAAGGAAAATCCAAATGCAATATTTGTCAATGAATTATTTAGAAGAATCATCATTTCCATTGTTTTCAATGACGAAACGAATATTTACGGATTTATCATTAAGGTAATTCGTAATTCAAAAGTGGGAGATGTTGGAAAATTACTGGACAAAATTAGGGAAGAATTAAATCAAACATTACCTGGTTTGGTTTTTGAACGAGTATTTAATGACTATATTCTGCCAATGTTTCCCCAACCGGTACAAAATTTAGAATCGCCATCAGCAGGAGGAAAGGCAAAAGCAAAAGCAGCGTTAGCAGAATCATTATTAGTAACAGAAGCAGTAGCGTTAGCAGAATCATTAACAGAAGCAGCAAAAGGAGTAACAACAAAATTGGCATCATCAGTAGAAGCAGCAGTGGCAGAATCATCATCAGTAACTGAAGCAGAAGCATTTACAGCAGAATTAGCAGAATCATCAGAACCAGTTATAGCAACATTAGTAAAATCATTATCAGAAGCAACAACAGAATTAGCATCATCAGTAGAAGCAGCAGTTGTCGAACCATCATTAGTATCAGAAGCATTTACAGCAGCATTAGCAGAATCATTGTCAAACGCAAAATTAGCATCATCAGTAGAAGCAGCAGTGGTCGAACCATCATCAGTAACAGAAGCAGAAGAATTTACAGCAAAATTAGCAGAATCATTATCAAAAGCAGAATTAACGTCGTCAGTGGAAGCAACAACAACATCATTACCAGAAGCATCAGTAAACTTAACATCCATGGAATTTCTTTACTCCCAAGCGGGAGCAATATTTCTCCTCTCGAGTTCATCACATCCGGAAATGAATAAATTCCTCACTTCAACTGGTTCATCAAAAATTTTCCATGAATATTTACATTTGGCTTTCGCAATGAAACAACTGTTGAATGCAAACAAAATTGACATTGAATTTATTCGAATATTCACCCTGCCAGCATTAATTTACTACGTCTGGAATAATAGAGAGAAACTTGTAAATGAAACGACAGCAGATATTGTCACAAATGCAGAACATGTTAGAAAAGCACTGGAACAATTGTTCTTCTATTTGAACGAAGAAACCGATAGTCAAAGAATAATAGTTGAGGAAAAAAATTTACTTTATCAACATCAATTGGGAATGGCGTTTCATCAAAGTCGTACAGAAATTGCTAGGAATTTAATTGGGAGACGGTGTTTACTGACAAATGGCATAAAAATAGATGATGAGGTCACTAGGTACAAGAATAATCCTGGGACTTTTAGTTGTGATGGTAGAAAAAGAGGTGAATTGTTGGCGAGTCTTGATAATTGGAGAAGTTATGAATTGTGGAGTTTTTTGTACAATGGAGGCAGTGAAGAATTTTTGGGTTTTACTAAGGGAAATGTTAGCGAAATGCTGCAGGATGTTGACAATGGAAATGTTAATAGATTACTGTTGGATCTTATCAACGGAAACGTTAGCAATTTGCTGCTTGATCTTAACAATGGAAACATTAGCAATTTGCTGCTGGATCTTAATGACGGGAACATTAGTGAGTTACTGCTGGATCTTAACAATCGAAACATTAGCGAACTGCTGCTAATTCTAAGCAGTGGAAATATTAGCGAATTAATTCTGAACCTAAATACAGAAAATATTAACAATCTGCTGCTGGACCTTAATAACGGAAACGTTACCAATTTGCTGTTGGATCTTAACAAAAGAAACATTGGCGAACTGCTGCTGATTCTAAGCAGTGGAAACATTAGCGGATTAATACTCAATCTAAATACACAAAACGTTAGCAATCTGCTGCTGGATCTTAACAACGGAAACATTAGCAATTTGCTTCTGGATCTAAACAACGGAAACATCAGCGAACTGCTGCTGATTCTAAGCAGTGGAAACATTAGCGGATTATTACTGAACCTAAATACAGAAAAAGTTATCAATCTGCTACTGGAGTTTAACAACGGAAACATTATAGAATTGTTGCTAAATCTAAATACAGAAAACATTAACAATCTGCTGTTAGATCTTAATAACGAAAACATTAGCAATTTGCTGTTGGATTTTATCAACCGAAGCATTAGCGGGTTATTGCAGAACTCAAACAACAGAAACATTAGCGAATTATTGCTGGACCTAAACAACAGAAACATTATCAAATTGCTGCTGGACCTTAATAACGGAAACATTAGCAATTTGCTGTTGAATTTCAATAACCTAAACATTAGTGAGTTCCTGCTGAAGTTTAAGAACCAAAACATTAGCGGATTGTTGCAGAACTTAAACAACGAAAACATTAGCTATTTGCTGCTGGATCTTAACAACGGAAACATTAGCAATTTGCTGTTGGATTTTAACAACCGAAACATTAGCGGATTGTTGCAGAACTTAAACAACGGAAACATTAGCGAATTACTGCTGGACCTGAACAACATAAACATCATCAAATTGCTGCTGGACTTTAAAATCCGAAACATTAGCAATTTGCTGATGGATCTTAGAACCCAAAACATAAAAAAAATTTCCCCAATTCTAAATAACGGAAAAATTAGTCGAATATTCCTCAATTTGGTTACAAGAAAAATCAACAAATTGCCACCATCTCCTAATAATACAACCACCACCGAATTTCTTCCAAATCTAAACGGTTTATTTCACCAACAAAATGAATTAATCGCAAAAAATTATTTCCACTATGAAAAATATGTAATAGAAAAATTATTCGGTGACAAATTCATTGAAACACTAAATAACGAATCTGTGGAAATTTCCCAAGGATTCTTCAAAACCTATTGTACTGGTAGACCATTTGATTTTATTAAAGTCCAACAATTACGAAATTCAGACGATCTACTGAAATTCCACTATTTCCCTAGTGGTAAAATTGTCTACTTTGCACTAATTCGTACTAATGACGATATAAAATTAATATCCGAATTTGGTAATGAGAGATTTCGTCAACAATTGGGTTTATCTGCTAATGAAAAATTTGAGAAAAGAAATTTTAAATTAATCAAAGAAGCGGGGGAAAATTTTACAATTTTTGTCAATAGATTAGCCAGAGAACGTGAAGAAATGTTGAGGAGAAATTTGGATGCAATTGGTTATGATGCTACTGTTCAGGAAGTGTGGTTTGAATATTTTTTTAATTTACTAACAATATCATTTTCTGTATCGTCGTTTTTAAAATTATTAACTGTACTATTAATTCTATTTGATTTGAAATTTTCCAAGTCAATGTATTTTCATTTTTAAGCACGAAATTTAATACTTTCGTTGCGATATTAAATTTGTTTTTAACTTAATTAATTTTTCATAATTCATTGTTTATAAAGTTAATTCATTTTTTTGAACTTTAATTTATAACATTTTAATTTTTCATTCTTTGAAAAGAGATAAAAAAATAGACGATAGATTATCAAAATTGATAAAAATTATAGAAAATTAATTTTCTACAAATTTAATTAATTTTTTATAAATTTTTTCCTTCCTTTAATTTTTGTAATGTGACGTAAATTAAAATTTTGTCAATTAACAATTAATATTTGTAAAATGTTTTAAAATTTGAATTAAATATTTATTATTATTAATAATTAGTATTTCTTATTTACCCTACATTGAAAATTGAAGGGAAAAAAATATGTATAAATCAAAATGTTTTTCTGCTTTAAAACTGAAACAAAATTTTAAATATAATAATTGTAATATATACCGAATTATAAATTATAAAAAAATATAATTTTCATATGTTATAATAATTACAAATACATAATAAATAAATATATTTAAATAGTAAATTTATAAGTTTATAATAATATAATTATTTTTGTAAAAAAATATTTTTCTCTAAAAACTAAAATTACACACAAAATTTTAATTTTATATTTGAAAAATTTTAAATTCAAGGTAAACTGAAGATAATATTTTAAAAAAAAGAATTAATTATTATTATTGAATTAAATCGGATTTTGCGCCAATAGCTACGTATATGTATGTATGTATTTAAAATTTAAATATATACAATGAAAGGGAAATTCTTGATCTACATTCTTAGCGGATCTTCCCTTCTCCACAAGACAAGCGACATATATGATGATAATAATAATATTAATATAAAAGCGTCTCATTTCAATAAACTGGTTTTTCTTTTTCCTAGGAAGCAAAAAAATACAATAAATTTATTCAAATCGCGATGATATAATTAGTGGATTTTATTCCTTGTCTACACTTCGTCTTGGTAAGACTTTAGAAAATAATCAGACCATTTTTGCAATGTCTACGAAATTAATTGTTTATTTTCATCATCATTTCGTTAGTTTTTTTTATAAAATAATTATTTAAACTATTAATTTTATTTTAATTTTTTTTATTATTTCTTTATTATTTTTCTATTTTTTTATTTATTTTTATTATTTTTTTATTATTTTTTTATTATTTTTTAATAGTAATATTGAACTCTTTATTTGTTTATTTTTTTTTTGTTTCCTCGTGGAGAAAGCTTCTTTATTTTTTTATTAACTAAATTAATTTAATGCTTAAGTAATTAACTGTAAATAAATAAATAATTTTTTATTAATATTGTTTATCGTATATTTTATTAAATAAATAAGAAAAAATTATTACTATTTTTGAATAATTATTAATATTGTTACTTTTAGTATTTTTTCATTATTATTGTAATTTAGTTATAATATAATAATAATATTTATCAAATTAAAAAAAAATTAAAAACAAAAAAATTTATTACTATTTATATTTTACTCTTTTCATTATTTATTATTATTATTATTTATTTTATATATTTTATTAAATAAATAAAATTTAATATTTTTTTATTATTACTGTTTTTAAATTAATATTGTCATTGTTACTTTAAGTATTTTTTTTATTTTTTTTCTTATTATTAGTGTAATTTTTATTATTATTTTCATTATTATTATTTTATCTTATTATTACTATTATTGTTTATAATTATTCTTGTTTTTTATAATTATTTTTTAGTATAATTTATTTCATGCATTTATTTTTTAATTTATTTTTTCAAATTTATTTTATTATTTTTAATTTATTTTTTCAAATTTATATTTTATCATTTTTAATTTATTATATTTTCAAATTTATTTTATTACTTTCAATTTATTTTATCATTTTTAATTTAATTTATTTTTTCAAATGTATTTTGTTTTTTTTTCTAATTAAACTCAATAAAGCAAAATTTCTTTCTAACGAGAAAATTGAAAAAATCAAAACAATTATATTCCCCTTCCTATTTTTTTTCGAAAATTGATCGATTGATAAATTATTTATAAAACGTGAATCTCATTAATAATTTAAAGAAATAAAATTCCATGCGATGAAAAAAATTTATTCATGTAATTTTCAATTGATCTTATATCACAGATGCAATTTGATCACTTGAATGTTTAGTTTTCGCTTGAGTTGTTGATATAGTGTGTTCATCTTCATTCTATTTTTCAATAAAGAAAATTTTTATTTTAAACAAACTGTTTTTTCAACCAAAAAAAAAAATCTTTTTTTAAAAAGTATTTTTAGAAAAGTATTTTTAGAAAAGTATTTTTAAAAAAGAGTTTTTCAAAAAGTATTTTTAAAAAAGAGATTTTCAAGAAGTATTTTAAAAAAAAAGTTTTTCAAAAAGTATTTTTAAAAAAGAGATTTTGAAGAAGTATTTTTAAAAGAAGTATTTTTAGAAAAGTATTTTTATTTATTTCACAAAATCTAAATCTAATCTATTTATATTTTTATAAAAAAGAGTTTTTAAAAAAGTATTTCAAAGAATGTATTTTTAAAAACGTATTTTTGAAAAAGTATTTTGAAAAAAGTATTTTAAAAAATATATTTTGAAAAAATGTTTTAAAAAAATTTGATTCTTAAAAAATCTATTTTTTAAATAAAACCTACTTCTAAGAAAGTATTTTTTAAAAATGTCTAATTAATGAAATAAATATTATTTCAGAATTTAGTGATAGTGATGTGAATCTTTTTTTTCTAGAAATGGATAAAAATGAGAAAAAAGAAGTTAAACATCCAAGAGAAAATGCAAATATTTTTTCAGTTCTCAGCTTTACGTAAGTAAAAAATAATTGTTATTAATTTTTATTTAACAATAATTTTATTAAAAGCAGAAATGGAAAAGTGAATAATAAGTGCGACTACGGAAGTAAAAAAAGTGTAATAAAAATAATTATTAATTTTTTTTTGTTACAAATATTTAAAAGCCATAATCGAAAAGTGAATAAGTGAATACGAAAGTAGAAAAAGTGTAAAATATAATTAATTTTCTTTGGTTACAAATATTTAAAAGCCATAATCGAAAAGTGAATAAGTGAATACGAAAGTAGAAAAAGTGTAAAAAATAATTTTTATTAATTTTTTTTACAATAATTAAGGCCAAAAATGGAAAAGTAAACAATTTAGTGAGTACGAGCCATGGTGAAGCGTCGCCCCACCGCTGTGAACGCTTTCCCCTTCTCCTCAAGTCCCAGCCCAATTCTTTAAAAAAGTGGGGGAGCGCTTCTCTCAATCTAGACGTTCGTTTGATTTTTTAATGGAAAAAATAATTTTTTTTTACTATTTTACTATTTAGATGGTTGTACAAAATTTTTTTTCTGGGAAATAAGAAGGAATTGGAGGTAACGGATCTTTATTCACCTCTTAAGGAGCATTCTAGTCATCGATTGGGTGATAAATTATTGAAAATATGGAAGGACGAGGAGAGTAAGTGTGAGAAAAATGGAAAAACAAAACCAAATTTAATTAAAGTATTGGCTCGATGTTTTGGAATGAGAATATTATTCATCGGTTGCTTTCAAGCTTTCACCGAACTTGTCGTCAGGTTTGCAAAAAAAAAATTTTATTTTAATTATTTAAATAATTGCAAGGAATCTTTTTTTTCAATTTATATTTTCGTTTACTTTTTAATTTTACTTTTGATTTTTCAACTTCTATTTTAATTTTCCAAAATTCATTTTTATTTTTCAAACTAATTTTTATTTGTTTTCGTTTCTTTATTTATTTACTAATTTATTTTTATTTTTTAATTTATTTATTAATTTGTTTTATTTTTCAATTTATTTATTAATTTATATTTGTTTTCTAATTTATTTACTAATTTATTTTTATTTTTTAATTTATTTATTAATTTATATTTGTTTTTCAATTTATTTATTAAATTATTTTTATTTTTTAGTTTATTTTCTATAATTTATTTATTAATTTATATTTGTTTTCTAATTTATTTACTAATTTATTTTTATTTTTCAATTTATTTATTAATTTTTTTTTATTTTTATTTTTCAATTTATTTATAAATTTATTTATTATAATTCATTTTTATTTTTCAATCTATTTATTAATTTATATTTATTTTCCAATTTATTTATTAAATTATTTTTATTTTTTAGTTTATTTTTTATAATTTATTTTTTAATTTATTTTTTAATTTATTTTTTTTGTTTAATTAATTTTAGAATATGTCAGCCTGTATTTCTAGCGAAATTATTAACATTTTTCCACACTGGCGATGCATTCACGAATCCTGAAGTTTTTTATTGGGCGGCAGGACTTGTTTTATGTTTAATTATTCATTGCATTATCTTTAATCTCGCTCTACACGGAATGACTCACATGGGAATGAAAATTCGCGTTGGTTGTTGTACATTGGTTTATAGAAAAATTTTAAAATTAACCAAATGTACCATTGACGAGGAAACAACTGTTGGTCAAGTGAGTAGAAAACCTTTTTTTCAAATATAAAAAAACTATTTATAATAATAATAATAATAATAATAATAATAATAAATTCTTCTATTTAGACAATTTTTTTTTCTTATTTTTTTTGTAGTTATAAACAAATAATGTCTATTATGATTAATAATAAAAATAAATAAAAATAATAAAAGTAAAAAATATAATAATCATAATAATATTATGAATAATAATATAAATAATAAAAAACAAATAAAAAAATAAAAGTTATAATTAAAAAATAATGTTAATTAAAAATTTGTTTTTAATTACAGATTATTAATTTATTAAGTAATGACGTTCATAGTTTGGATTATGCTTTAAATGATTTACATTATTTTTGGATATCTCCAATTCAAGCAATTATTGTTGCATACATTATGTACATTGAAGTGCAATCCGCTGCAATTTATGGAATTTTAATATTATTTCTTCTAATTCCACTTTTAGGTATTTATAATTAATAAAAAAATAAAATTCAAACTAAATTATTTATTTAAAAAATTAAAATTAATAAATATTTCTAAGTAATTCTAAATTAACTAGTTAATTAATTGTTAATTAATATTAAAAATATTCATTTATTAATTAGTACTTCATTTGTTAATAAATTGGTATTTATTCATTAATTATGAATTAATTAATTAATTATTAATATTTAATAAATATCAAATTTATTAATTAGTATAATTCATTAATTTTCTTGTATTATTTTTGCAGTTTTTATTGGATTACATGTTCCTAAGATAACAATAAAATCCTCATTTAAGACTGACGATAGGCTTCGATTAATGAATGAAATAATTAGTGGAGTACAAGTAATAAAAATGTATGCCTGGGAAAAACCTTTTTCATATCTTGTGGATCAAATAAGGGCGTAAGTCTCTCTTTTTATATAAATTATTATTCGTCGTTATTAAAATAACAATTTTAAACTGATTTCATTAAGGGCATTTGAACCTTGATGACGTTTCAGTTTGTGCAAAGCATGTGTGACGTCATCAAGTTTCAAATGCCCTTAAAATAAACTGAAAAAATATTTAAATATCAAAACATTCTTAAAAGTTAATTGTTAATTAAATAATATCAGTATTTAGTTAATAGCTAAGTTATTACTCACAAATTAATTATTAGTAATTATTTTTTACAATTTAATTCAAAAAGTAATCAATTATTTACAACTTCATTTGTAATTAATTAGTAATTAATAAACAAATTTATTAATAATTAATTATTTACAAAATAATTTGTATAATTAATTATTTACAAAATAAATTGTATAATATTAATTATTTACAAAATAATTGGTAATTAATTATTTACAAAATAACTAGTAATTAATTATTTATAAATTAAATTTTTAATTAATTATTCACAAATAAATTGTTAATTAATTGTTCATTAATTAGTAAATAATTATCTATAAATTAATTGTTCATTAATTAGTAAATAATTATCTATAAATTAATTGTTCATTAATTATTAAATAATTATCTACAACTTAATTGATAATTAATTGTTCATTAATTAGTAAATAATTATCTACAAATTAATTGTTAATTTATTGTTCATTAATTAGTTAATAATTATTCCAAAATTAATTAGTAAATAATTACCTACCAATTAATTAGTAAATAATTATCTACAAATTGATTAATAAAATGTTATCAACAAATTAATTAGTAGGTACATAAACAATTATTCGCAAATTATTTAATAAATAATTATTAAGAAATTAGTTAGTAATTAATTATTAGCAAATTATCTAGCTATACATTTGTAATTATTTATTTACTATTTAATTTAATAAGCAATTAATTAGTGAAAAATTACTAAGAATTTATGTAGTAATAAACACCTCATGAATTTTTAACTAATAATTAGAAATAATTTTCTATTAAATTAATTAGAAAGTCATTAATAATTACAAAGTAATTATTATATAATTTCATAGTAATTATTATTTAATTTCAAATAGATTAATTGTTAATTAATTACTTTTTATTTTGCTGAACGCTAATAATTATTTATTATATTGTCTCTTAATTTTTTTTCAATTCTAATAATTTTTAATTGTAATTTAATAATAGTATAAATTTTTGTTCTCATTTTCTAATGATTTATTAAGGAAATTGTTTGAGTATGTAAATTTGAATAAATTTCACTAATCGTATTCTTAAGGTTTATTTAATTAATTATCTTCGATACATGAGTATATAAAAGCAAAAAAAAAATAAATAAAGCAAAAAAATTTTTTTCTCATTTCTCGTAAAAGTAAATAAATCGTCTATTAAATGATTGAATGAATATTATTAATGATCAGCTTGACTGGTTTTTTAAAATATAGTTGTTTCAATAGTAATAATTATTTCATCAGAAATAGTGTTGTAGTTTTACTTTAATAATATGAATTTTTTCTCTTTCTTTGTTTCTTATCTGCGACAGGAAGGAAATAAGTGCAATTAGAAAATGTTCATTTGTCGACGCCGTACAAATGTCCTTCGACTCATACATCCCTCGTGTATGTCTATTTGTTACAATTATAACTTATGCCTTGATGGGAAATCCTTTATCTGCACACACTGTCTATATTATAACATCGTACTACAACAATATGCGATATTCTGTCAATATTTGCCTACAATTCAGTAAGAATTGCGTTTTTTTAAATTTTAAATTAAATTTAACTATTAATTAGCAAAAAATTAGTAGTCAATTGTGAAAAATTAGTAGTTAATTATTTGCTAATTAGTAGTTAATTATTTGCTATATAGTACTTAACTAGTTGCTAATTAGAAGTTAACTAGTTTCTAATAAAGAGTTAATTAACTTGCTAATTAGTTTCTACTTAGTAGTTAATTAGTTATTAATTAGTAGTTGATTAATAGTTAATTAGTTTCTAATTAGAAGTTAAGTAGTTTCTAATAGTAGTAAATAGCTTGCTAATTAGTAGTTAATTAATGTCTAATTAATAGTTAATTAGTTTGACAACTAGTAGTGGATTATTTGCTAATTAGTAGTTATTAACTACTAATTGACAATCAGTAGTTAATTAGTTTATAATTAGTAGTTAATTAGTTTCTAATTAGTAGTTAATTAGTTATTAATTAGTAGTCAATTAGTTTCTAATTAGAAGTCAAGTACTTTCTATAAGTAGTTTTTAGCTTGCTAATTAGTAGTTTAGTAATTCCTAATTAGTAGTTAATCAGTTTGCTAATTAGTATTTAATTAGTATGCTAATTAATACTAAATTAGTATCTAATTAGCAGTTAAAAAGTTTCTAATAGTAGATAATAGCTTGCTTATTAGTAGTTAAGTAATTAGTAGTTAATTAGTTTACCAAATAGTAGTTAATTATTTGCTAATAAATAGTTATTAACTGCTAAATGCTAATTAGTAGTTAATTACTATTTAATTATCAGTTAAATAGTTTCTATTAATAATTAATTAGCTTGCTAATTATTAGTTAAGTAAGTTCTAATTAGTATTTAACTTGTTGCTAATTAGCTGTTAAGTAGTTTCTAGTTAGTAGTTAATTAGCTTGCTAATTAATACTTAAATATTTTCTAAATAGTAGTTAATTATTTTCTAATTAGTAGTTAATTAGTTTCTAATTAGTAGATAATTAGTTTCTAATTAGCAGTTAATTAGCTTGCTAATTATTAGTTAAATAATTCCAAATAAGTGAATATTTAGTTAAAAATTAGTCATTAATTAATGAAAAATTATTAGCAAAGTTAACTAATTTGCTATTTAATTAGTCATTCGTTAATCAATAAATATAGGCTAATTATTTATTAATTAGTTAAAAATGATATGAAAAATTATTTGTTAATTAGTAATTAATTATAATTATTATAATACCTGCAAAGAAGTAGTTAATTTGTTAAAAGTAATATTCTATTTTGTTTTTAAGTAGTAGTTAATTACTTAGTAATTATAAGCTAATTAGTAATAAATTAGTTAGAAATTATAAGTTAGTGAGTATTTAATTGATTGCTAATTAGTAATTAAGTAGTTAATCATCATAATTATAATAATTATAATACTTGCTAATCAGTAGTTAATTAGTTAATAGTAATACATGCCGCTAATTTGTTGATAATTAGTAGTTAATTAGTAATTAGTAGTTTATTTGTTTGTAATTAGTAGTTAATTAATTAGTAGGTTAGTAGTTAATTAGTCAGTAATTAGTAGTTTATTAGTTAGTAATTAGTAGTTAATTAGTTAGTAATTAGTAGTTAATTAGTTAGTAATTAGTAGTTAATTAGTTAGTAATTAGTAGTTAATTAGTTAGTAATTATAAGCTAATTACAAGTTATTTAGTTTTTAATTAGTTGCTAATTAGTAATTAAGTGCCTAATTATTATAATTATAATACTTGCTAATTAGCAGTTAATTAGTTAATAGTAATACATGCCGCTAATTTGTTGATAATTAGTAGTTAATTAGTTTGTAATTATTAGTTAATTAATTAGTAGTTAGTAGTTAATTAGTCAGTAATTAGTAGTTTATTATTTAGTAATTAGTAGTTAATTAGTTAGTAATTAGTAGTTAATTAGTTAGTAATTAGTAGTTAATTAGTTAGTAATTATAAGCTAATTACAAGTTATTTAGTTTTTAATTAGTTGCTAATTAGTAATTAAGTGCCTAATTATTATAATTATAATACTTGCTAATTAGCAGTTAATTAGTTAATAGTAATACATGCCGCTAATTTGTTGATAATTAGTAGTTAATTAGTTTGTAATTATTAGTTAATTAATTAGTAGTTAGTAGTTAATTAGTCAGTAATTAGTTGTTTATTAGTTAGTAATTAGTAGTTAATTAGTTAGTAATTATAAGCTAATTACATGTTATTTAGTTTTTAATTAGTTGCTAATTATTAATTAGGTGCCTAGTCATTATAATTATAATACTTGCTAATTAGTTTAATGAGTTAATAGTGATACATGGTAATTTGTTGATAATTAGAAGTTACTTAGTTAATATTCAGTATTTAATTAGTCAATGATTGTTAGCTTATTAGTAGATAATTAATTAGTAATTATAAGCTAATTAGTATTTAATTAGTTAGTAATTATAAGCTAATTAGTAATTCATTTTTTAGTAATTATAAGTTATTTAGTTTTTAATTAGTTGCTAATTAGTAATTAAGTGCCTAATTATTATAATTATAATACTTGCTAATTAGCAGTTAATTAGTTAATTGTAATACATGCTAATTTGTTGATAATTAGTAGTTAATTAGTTAATAATAAAAATTTAAATAGTAAATGATTTTAAGCTTATTAGCAGTTAATTTGTTAAAAATTAGTAGTTGATTACTTAATTATTCTTGTTATTTAGTGAAAAATTTAGTAGTTAAGTAGTTAATAATTATAAAAGAATTACTGTCTAATTAGTAATTAATTAGTTAGTAAATGTAGGTTAATTATTTATTAATAATTGTATGTTACTTTGTTGTTAATTAGTTATAAATTAGCAGTTAATAAGTTAGTGAATACTATGATACGGAGATACTAATTAGTAGTTAATCAGTTAGAAATTAGCAGTTAATTAGTTAGTGAATAGTATTATAAAAAGATAAGAATTAGTAGTTAATTAGTTAATATTTAGTAATTATGTAATCATTCAATATTTTGAAAGTGACTATTTCATAGTTAGTAATTAATTAATTAAATTAATGAATGATTAATTAATTGATTAGATTAATAAGTACTTAATTAATTAGAGTAATTATTAATTAAATTAATGATTAATTAGTTAATTAATTAATTATATTAATAAGTACTTAATTAATTAGATTAATAAGTACTTAATTAATTAGGGTAATAATTAATGAAATAATACTAAAATTGAGTTAAACTGTAATTATTTTTCCACGCTTTGCAGGTGTGCAAAGAATAGCAAAAGCTGTGGCTGCTGTAAATCGACTAGAAAATTTTTTAAATTCCTCAGAAATGGAAAATCCAATAAATGAAACGCCAACTAATGAGAAAAATGTTATTGAAATTGAAGGAGCGTCAGCAAAGTGGTCTCTTGCATGCAAAAGAGATACTTTGAGTAAAATTAATTTGAATGTAACAAGTGGTTCAATAACGGCCATTATTGGTCAAGTGGGTTCAGGGAAATCTAGCCTTCTTCATGCAATTCTTCGTGAATTGCCACTCACTGAGGGAAAATTACGAGTATCGGGAAAAATTGCCTACGTAAGTCAGGAGGCATGGATTTTTGCCTCAAGTATCAGGCAAAATATTCTATTCGGTAGGCCAATGGATCGCAAACGTTACGAGGCTGTCATTAACGTTTGTCAATTGGATCATGATCTTGCCATGTTTCCCGATAAGGATCAAACTATTATTGGCGAGAAAGGTCAGTAATTATTTTTTTTTCACCAATCAATTCATTCCTGAGGTGTAAATTTTTTTGTCAATGAATTTTGCATTTAAAATTTTTATTTTCAATTTACATTTTTAATTTTCGAATTTAAATTTCAGATATGAAAGCTTACATCTACATTTTAATTTCAAATGTTAATAATACTTTTGGAATTAATTTTACGGTTTGCCCTTAAATTCAGAAAAATAACAATCCTCTAAGACCTGTCGCTTTTACTACATTTGCTCACCAACATATTTTTTATCTAAACAATTATTTACATTACCTGATGATTCTGAAGACAAAACAAAATCTTAATTCAATATTTTTCTATTCCTGATGATCAGATTTTAATTAGTTTTGATGTTGTTTCTATGTTTACAAATGTTGGTTCTGAACACGTGAGTCATTCACTCATTAAACGTTATTCAAAAATTTGGCATAGTTCAAACATCTCCTTGATCGATTTACTTCAATCTTGGCAATTTATTTTAGACACTTTTTTAAATTCAATAATAAATATTATAGACAAATTTATGGTGAATGATGAACCCCTAAAGGTTCATCCATTTCTGGATTGTTTGCTGACATAGTAATATATGATTTACAAACTTCTTGTAATGTAAAACTTTCTTTTAAACCAATATTTTATTATAGATTCGTTGATGATATTATCACTTTATACCCAAGGGATAAAATCATTGAAATTTTTTACTTCCCAGAGATGTGCTTCGTATTGTTATGTCTCAGAATGAAACCAACATATCCTAAATTATATAACTGTTTAATTGAAATTAAATTATTAAAGTTTTTATTTCAATCCTTTACAATTAGAATCAGAAAGAAAGAGTAGATTCAGATGTCTTCAGGCACAATGAAACAACATTAGATGTTTGTAGAATTGATTGAGAATTTAAATGGGGACTTTAAAACTATTAGTTGCTAACCTTTTAAAATTATTCTTAGAGTCGTAGACCCAACAAACGAAACCTCCTAGCGGAAACAGATAATGCAGTATATTTCCCTAAAATTGTTTTCGGGACAACCAAACTGAAAGGTCCGGAGTCCAAGTGTCGATGTAAATTAGATAAAAAAAACCCCTCAGCCTAGGAGTGGCCGAATTATTGATTTGATGTCGAGGTAATGCAGCCCTTAGAAAAATAGAAATGTGCTTCGTAGTAGAAATTATCTCCTTAAATGAATTTGACTAAGACGTCAAAAAAAGACTAGGACTCGAAAAAATTTTCTGGACTGGAGTCAAAGAATAAATTCGATGACAGTACGCAACTAGTTAACTTGGTCGCGGTTGCTGGACTGATACAAAGAAGACGCGAAGTTTATTCGGTGGTCGCTTCTGGACTAACTAACTTGAAGGCGTTTCCTGGACTGACTAATTCGTCAACGGTGGCGCCTCTTTTAAAGGGATACTACGTCATACATTTAATGTTTTCGGGGTCCGATTGTTATTATTGATTTAATTTTTAACTCCTGTATTAGACAAGTAGGGGCCCAATAGAAGTGGCTTCCCCGGTAGGTCCAGCGTCCCTCTGATGTTAGGTAACATGCCTAACTGACATCTCGTGGTAATTCCTTCCTATTAACAAGAATCATGAACTTAAAATCACTTCCTTTATATTCAGAAGTGGTATCTTATCATTAGAAATTGCAATAACCTTTCTTTACAATTTCAAAGGGATAACGCTTAGCGGAGGACAGAGAGCAAGAATCAACCTAGCTCGAGCTGTTTATTCAGAAGCCGATATCTACCTCCTTGATGATCCCCTATCGGCAGTGGATACAAAAGTTGGAAGACTCATCTTCCAGCAGTGCATCAGTGAGTACCTTCGTGGTACAACGAGAATCTTGGTAACCCACCAATTCCAGTATCTGAAGAACGTCTCAAATATTACTGTCCTCAATAACGGTTCTATTGAAGCTTCCGGCAATTTTCAAGAACTTCAGAATAAAGATCTGGACCTTATGAACGTTCGTCAGGCGACTTGTGACCTAGACGATCAAATAGCTGAGGAAACGACCACTACTGATCTCCCCCGCATCGAATCATCAGAAGGGCAGATCCAGGAGCAAGAGGCAGAGGAATTGGGAGAACATCGTAGTTTTGGTCGTATTGCTGGAAAAGTCTACTTCTCCTATTTCAAGGCGGTGAATAGTTGGTGTTTTGTGATCATGATGTTCGTCGTTAGTATTCTTAATCAAGTGGTAGCCAGTGGTGGCGATTTCTTCGTGGCTATTTGGGTGAACGTTGAGGAAAAATTGAACCGGACGGTTATTCTCGGTGATAGGAGTGATGAGTTCGATCGGTATTGGTATATAGAGATTTACGGAATTTTGATTCTGCTGACAATTATCATGGTCTATGTGCAGGTATTTGTGTTCTATGAGATGTGCATGAGGGCGTCGCAGAGGCTACACGCTTCTATGTTTTCGAGAATCATTCGTGGAACGATGCACTTTTTTCATACTAACCCCTCCGGACGGATTCTAAACAGGTTGGTGAATTATTTTAAGTTTTAAACATTTTTCCTCTGGGTCTTAGGGTTATTTTTGGTTCCCATGATTAGTTCTGGGAAAAGATTTTCGAAGTTATTACAAACGGAAATTAAAAAACCTTACTTTCTTTACCTAATCAACTCTATTCCACTAAACTTCTGAAGTGTTTTGAGGTTTGGCGAGATGAAAACTGTTTCCTTTCGTTGTAGATTCTCAAAGGACATTGGAGCAGTGGATAGGCTGCTACCAATCAGCATGCTGGACGTTCTGACAATTGGTCTGCTCCTGGTGGCTGTCATCATCATCACAACGAGTGTCAATCAATGGCTGTTGATTCCAACGATTGTGATGGGCTTTATCTTCTACGTATTCAAGGAGATCTTCATCAAGACGAGTCGTAGTGTCAAACGTCTAGAAGGAATAAGTAAGTGAATGTTTTTGATATTGCTTCTTTCCTTTCTTGGTATCCTGATCAATTTTCCTTTTCTAAAAGGAAGAAAAATGATTCTTTTTATCTTCCAGCTCGTTCGCCAGTTGTCAATCATCTGAGTGCAACGCTGAATGGCCTAACAACAATCAGAGCATTCGGTGCAGAAAGAATCCTCACTAAGGAATTCGACAATCACCAAGATCTTCATTCATCATCCTGGTACATCTTCTTCTCATGCACAAGAATTTTTGGCTACTATCTCGAATTCCTCTGCGCCATTTACGTCGGCATTGTTGTCTACTCATTTCTTCTGGTCGATCTTGGGGAGAACACCGGAAATATCGGACTCGTCGTCTCGCAATGTATCCTCCTATCCGGAATGTTGCAGTGGGGCATCATGCAAACGGCAGACATGGAAAATCAAATGACATCAGTCGAAAGAATCGTCGAGTACACGAAGATCGAAGAGGAGAAATGCTTGGAAAGTGGTCCAGGAAATAAAATCCAAGACGGTTGGCCAGCAGAAGGACAAATTGAATTCCGTAACGTCTCATTGCGTTACAATCCAAAAAAAGATCCGGTACTGAAGAATCTCAATTTTCTAATTCATCCAAAGGAGAAGGTGGGAATTGTGGGCCGAACTGGTGCGGGGAAATCATCGCTAATCACTTCTTTGTTTCGATTGGCGCACTTGGAGGGTGAAATTTATATCGATGGACTGGCGACAAGTAAAATGGGACTTCACGATTTACGCTCGAAATTGAGTATTATTCCACAGGAGCCTCTGCTTTTTGCCGGGAGTCTCCGAATGAATTTGGATCCGTTTGATGAGTTTAGGGACGAGGATCTTTGGAGGGCGCTGACTGAGGTGGAACTAAAGGAGACAATTGTAAAAATGGAGGCTGGTTTGCAGGCGAGAGTTGCTGATGGCGGTGGAAATTTTAGTGTTGGACAGAGGCAGCTTTTATGCTTGGCGAGGGCGATTGTGAGAAAGTCGAGAATTTTAGTTTTGGACGAAGCAACAGCCAATGTTGATCCACAGACTGATGATCTTATTCAAAAGACTATTAGGAGACGTTTCAAGGATTGCACCGTTTTGATTATTGCTCATCGACTTAATACCGTTATGGATTGTGATAAATTCATTGTCATGGAAGCTGGTTCTATTATGGTAAGTGTAAATACATTTTAAAAGTTACTTTTTTCGGAAAAATTAATTTTAAATAGAAAGTATTATTATAAACGAAAATTAAAGGGACAATAAAAATCTAACTTGTCCCGTGTCGGTAAGTTACCATTGGAAATCTTACTTATCGACTGTTGATATTTACCGATTTTCCGCATTCTGAAACAGGAATAATAATAGTGTTTTTAGGTTAATGTCCTCAACATAATTCTTGCAATATTATTAACTTTCAAAAATAAAAGAAAAATAATTGAAAAAATAATTTAATATTTTTTTGTTTTTAGGAAATTGATCATCCCTTCAGGTTACTGGAGAAAAAGGAGGGGCACTTGTACGAAATGGTTCAACAAACTGGACCTGAAATGGCACAAATACTAACAAGAATGTCAGAAAAAGTAAGTCAAAGAAAGAATAAAATTAGAAATTAAAACCAAAAATTGAATTAAAATTTAGTAATTAAAAACTAATTAATTATTAAATAATTAATTAAATTTAAAAAAATTTATTTTTAGAATTATTTGGAAAGTAGATGATGAAGAAGATGAAGAAGAAGATAGAGAGCAAAACGCAAATAATATAAACAGTATTTGAAGCAACAAATTTCTTTTAGTAAAATAAGTTATTTTTGTAAGATATAAAAGTCTATTTAATAGAATGTGTAAAAATAATGGCTAAATGATATTTTTTTAATTGTTACAAAGTGAAAGTTAATAAAAAAATATTAAAATTAACAGTTTACCTAGTTTACCATACTGCTTTTTTTAAAAAAAAAGTTTTGTTAGAAATACTGAAAAGACAATTTATCTCATCAAATGACTTTATTGACATCGAAAAAATTGTAAGTAAATATTGGGAAATAATTATTTATTTACATTTAAATTCATTTAAAAATTTTATTTTCATAAATATTTTTCATTGAAAAAATATTCTAATAACATTTTTTCTTGATAATTTTTAGAATTAATATTTTTTTTTAATTGTTACTATATTTTAAAATAATTTTTATCATTTCTTATATAATCGTTATATTTAAATTTTCTGTTATTTAAAGTTTATAATAAAATAAAAATTACTAATTTAAATAAGTAAATATATACATTTCTAGAATAGAAAATTAGAATCAATATTTTAATTTATTGTTAATTATATTTAATTTTATTAATCACATTTTTCAAGATCAATTTTATAATCAAAAATAAATTTAATTTCTTTTTTATTTTTATCTCGTCATTAAATAAATAAATTTTATATTTTGTTCTAATTAAAAAAAAGTTTGAAGTACAAAAAAATGTTTTACTGTTTTATTAGATTATTTTTAAAAATTTTCTTTTTTAAAAAACTCTTTTAAGAACTAAAAAAGAATATATTTTTCCACGTGCATGAGTAGAGTCATCAGCAATATAGTAACATTTTTTTCTTCATAAAAACGATTGTAAACTGAGTCTTTATCGACAGTTAACGACAAACCTCTTACATAGTTTATGATAATGAACAAAGTGACCAGCGAAATATTTTAAATAAATGTGTTTTATTTTATATACATAGATATATAATATTTTAACTAAATTATGTAATAATTTTTCATTTAAAAAATGTTTAAAACTAAACAATTGATTCTATTAAACTTGTTACCAAATATCTATCATTTTTCTTTCTTTTTATTCAGTCAAACGTTTGGAATAATTATTCATTATTATTATTACTCAAAGCAAATAAAAAAGAAACAAAAAAAATTTATTTACATTTCAATTTGAATTAGAAGTGAATATAAAGTGCTTGATTATAGATTTTATAAATAAAAATGAAAAGCTGGTATTCTCCTGGAAATATATTATCGCAACTCACATTTGCGTAAGAATAAAAAAAACTTTTTTTCTCTTATTATTAAAAAGCAAAATTCTTTTTGATTAAAACATTTTTTTTTATTTTACAAAATATTTTTTTTAAATGTAATTCATTTGATGATTTTCTCTTATTATTTTATTTTTCTATTATTATTTTTTATTTATTTATTAATAAACGGAACATTATTATTATTTTATTTTCCAAATAAATCTTTTGAAACAAAATGAATTCATGTAAATAAATAAATTGTGTTTTATTCCAGATGGATATTAAAATTATTTTTCAAAAATCTCCGAAGTAATACATTGAAATTTGATGATTGTCAAGTACCGAAAAAAATGACATCTAATTATTTGCATGAGAAAATTCAAGAATCATGGAATACTGAAGTTGTTAAGGGAAAGTTGAAGTCAAAATCCAGAATTTCATTGAAACAAGTGATAATGAATATTTTTGGGGTTGATATTTTGTTTATTGGTTTAATTCAGTTGCTGACTGAGTCATTCACTAGGTACGAAAATTAAGAAGAAATTATATATTTTTTAATTTCATTTTTTTTTAGTTTTTTCTACATTTTTTTTAATTTTACGTTGCTTCTTTTAATTTTTTATTTCATATCAACTAAATATGATTGATTTTAATTATAAAACAAACTGATAAAAAAAGGAATTTGTATTAGGATTTTTTTAGAATATAATTTTTAATATGAAATTAAAATTTTTTTTTAATTTGAATTTATAATTTAATTGGTTTATAATTTTACTTTGTAATTTTAAATTTAATTTATAATTTTCAATATCACTTGTACTTTTTAATGTTGTTCATTTTTGACTTTTATTAAAATTATTTTTATACAATTTAAACTTAATTTTCTATATTGAAATTTATTTTATTTTTCAACTAAAATTATATTTAAAATTTGTTATTTAAATTAAATTTTATTTTTTATTTGGAAATTTCTATTTTTGTTTAAATGGACAAAAATAATTACAAACGAAAATTAATAAAACCATTTATACAATTGAATAATAAATTCGAGTAAAGATGAAATTACTAAAAAATTTATAACAAATAATAATAAATATATAAATATATTTAAGTAAATATTTAAACTAATTTTATTTCATTTTCAGAGCATTTCAGCCGCTATTGATAATTAAATTTTTAAGATATTTCGATGTTAACAATAACACAATGACAGAGAGAGATGCATTTTTCTGGGCAATGGCATACATTATTTGTTCATTGTTAAAAATTCATTTTCTTCATCACTTGCTAAATAGAATGACATTGCTGGGAGTGAAAATAAGAATTGCTTATTGCACTTTAATTTATGACAAGATTTTAAAAATGTCCACAATATCACTTGACGAAAGTTTCACTATTGAGAAGGTACTTATATACTCTTATTACTTTGAAAATATTTTTTTGTGTTCATAATTTGCTTTTGGGACAAAGAAAGTAGAAAAATTTCTACGAGAAGATTTCTGAGTTGTTAGCGAAAACTTACAAAGATTTTCAGTTGTTTTTAAGCAAACCTTAAAGATTTCTAGGTTCTTATGGAAATCACCAAATTTTTCCAGTTTGTTAGAGGTAACTTTAGAAGCTTTTTAGTCTCCTAAGGCAAACCCCCAAAGATTTCTAGGTTCTTAAGGAAATCACCAAAGTTTTTCAGTTTATTAGACGAAACTTCAGAAGCTTTTTAGTCTTTTAAGCCAAACCCTAAAGATTTCTGGGTTGTTAGCGAAAACTTCCGAAGGTTTTCAGTTGTTTCTAGGCAAACCCCAAAGATTTCTATGTCATTACACAAATTTTTGAAAGTTCTTTAGTCTCCTAAGGCACAACCTGAAGATTTCTAGGTTGTTAGCGAGAACTTTCGAAGGCTTTTAATGCTCTGAGGCAAACCCAAAGATTTCTAGGTTCTTAAGGAAATCACCAAATTTTCTCAGTTTATTACAGAATCATCAAAGCAGTTTTGCGTATTTTTGAAATTATCAGGATGATTTTTAAGGATTTTTAGGTTTCCTAAAGAACTGCCCAAGCCTCCAATTCTAGCACTATCTTTTATCCAGACGAATTTTTTCTAAAAACCATCATTCCGTTTGTCTGCAAAAGTCTCCCAATTCCGTTGGAGTACTCTCCTCACAATCTGATCAAAAATCCTGTCCTCCTTCACATTAACTACTATCACTATTACTATTACTAACAATCAATCACTATAATTCGAAAAAAATAAAAAAAAACTCAAAGAATCGGGAAATGATCAAATAATCTCTATTTCGAGACACATTAGATACTGGATCTCCTAACAAATGATGCAAAAACAATAGAATCGTCAGTAATGTATCTACACTACGTTTGGATGGCGCCACTCCAAGGTATCCTCATCGTCTACATTATTTACACTCACGTTGGTCTCATTGTAATTTCCGGTGTTTCGTTCTTTTTCCTCTTTATTACATTACAAGGTAAATAAACTAAATTAACAAAAACGTATCATTAAATATCTTTTCCAAAAATAATCGTCAATCATTTTTAAAAGAACTAAACTAAAGAGTTTTCTTTAAAATTTTCGTTGCAGGATTTTTGGCTAAATTGACATCACGCTTATGGCTGAAAGCATCATTGAAAAGTGACGAGAGACTCGAATTAATAAAACACATTATCCGTTCTATTCAAACTATCAAAATGTTTGTTTGGGAGGAAATATTCATTAAAATTGTCAAAAATGTTCAAAAGTTGGTTCACCCTTTATGAAAATAATCAAGTATACATTTATTTATGTAAATAAAAATGTGTAGCACACGAGTCAAAATTATCGCACGTGTCAATACACAAGGACAAATTATTATGCAAGTAATAATTTTTCTTTATGGAGACACGTGGATCTATATTTTCAAATTAATAATATACGAAATAATTTTCACTGGGGACAATAATCATAAAAATTAAAAAAAAAATTTCTTGTAAAAATATTTTCCGATCATGTTTTTGATCGACTTTCAAGAAATTTTCCTCAAATTTCTTTGAAATTTCTTGGAATTTTTATTATTACTTAGAACATTCAGAGAATTCACGATTCAATTCCGAGAAATCACGGTTCGAATTTCGATTGCAAACGGAAAACTCTGAAATTTTAATGACATCTTAAAATTCTGAGGAATAATTTCTAATAATTCTGAAATTTTATCTTAAGTTCGAAATTAGTCGGAAATTTACTGAAAATTTCTTCTCATAATCGAAAATTTTATCAAAATTTCTAATTTAATAAGAAATTTCCTACAAATTCCAACGGAAATAACAAAATCCTCTTGAAATTTATAGGAAATCGGAAATGTCATCGGAAAATTTCTCAAAATTTCTTCTATAATCGGAAATTTTATCAAAATTTTAATTTAAATAAAAAATTTCAAATCTCGAGTTTTAATAGAAATCCAAAAATTTTATATGAAATTCAAATGAAATTTTATCGGAAATTCCATTTAGTATAGGAAAATAATCTTTCCAAGAATTGTTAATGAAATTCAAAAAATTCTTTTCTTTATATAATTAAAAGAATATAACAAAAAATTTTATTTCTCTCCAGGAAAGAAGCAAAATATATCTACAAATTTAATCTAACGAGATTAATATCATCATCATTATTTTTTAACATTTCACAAATATCTCTCATCATAACTCTCGTATTTTTCGTCTTATTTCAACGTAACATGCAAAATGAAACTTTTTTTCTTCTCTTACTCTATTACATCGAATTACAACATCTTCTCAACTATTATTTACCACTTGGTAAGTTTTTTCCAAAAAAAAAAAATTTTTTTTCCTAAATTTTCAAAAAGAAAATTTTGAACAAAAAAATTTTTAAACAAAAATTATTTTAAAGAAAAATTTTAAAACAATTTTTTTCTTTACTTACAAAGCAAAATTATAAAACAAATAAACAATATTTTTCTTGTTCTTCAAAAAAAAAAAAATTATTTTTTCTTCAAAAGTTCAAAATTTTTTCTTTTACAAAAAAAAAAAATTCCCACCTCTTTTAATTTTTTTTTCCTACAGGATACGAAAAAATGACAAATGGATTTTTTTCACTCAGACGTATACAAGAATTTATAAATTTCACTGAAACAAAAACTAATATTAATAACAATAATAATAATAATAATGATAATAATGATAATGGGCAAAAATCCGGTACAATAATTATAGAAAATTTACCAGGAACAAAAAATAAAAATTTAACAATAGAATCCTCATCATTTGTTGGAATTGTCGGTGAACAAAAATTGGATAAATCAAATTTTCTCCGAAAAATTCTTGGACAATTGGCTGGAAATGAGGAAAAAATTTCCACTACCGGAAGTGTTGTCTACATTAATAATCAAAGTCCATTAATTTTTTCCGCAACTCTACGAGAAAATATTATTCTCAATCGACCAATGATTCGCGAACGTTATGAAAAAGTGATCAATGCTTGTCAATTGGAAAAAGATTTCGCACGATTTCCAAATGGCGACAACACCAAAATTGCTAATTATGACAACAACAACAACAACAACAACAACAACAACAACAACAACAACAACAACAACAACAACAACAACAACAACAGTAACAACAATAACAATAGTAATAATAGTACCAACAACAACAACAACAATAGTAACAACAATAACAATAGTAATAATAGTATCAACAACAAAAACAACAATAATGATAATAATAGCAACAACAATAATGATAATAATAGCAACAACAATAATAATAGTAACAACAGCAATAGTAACAACAACAAAAACAACAATAATGCTAATAATAGCAACAATAACAACAACAACAAAGAAAACAACAGTAATAATGATGACAGTGATTACAATTATAATAATTGTAATTGTGGCAATTGTAATTATAATAATAATGATGATGACAATAACAATAATATTGTCACCAATTTGACTGAGTGTCAAAAAATAAGAATAGCACTGGCAAGAATGATTTATTTCGACGCTGATATTTATCTTCTGGACGATATATTTCCAATAATTAATAAAGAAATTCGTCATATTCTATTCAATGAAGTTTTGTCGAAATTTCTGCAAAATAAAACAAGAATTTTGATCACTAATGATCGAAATCATTTGGAGTATGTCGATATAATTTATCATCTCGCTGAAGGGAAAATACTAAATCATGGTAATTATAAACAATTACATGATACATTGGAGAAAATTAATTTACCAGCAACAGTAAATGATAATTTTAAAGAAACATCATTGATTGAAAATATGGAAAATATCATTCGAAAATGTGAGAAAACAAAAAGAAAAATTTCAAATCAGATACCAGGGGAAAAAATAAAATTTCAATTATTGGAAATATTGAAATTATTAAATTGGTGGTCAATTGGATTTTTGTTTATTCTATTTTTCACGAGTCAAATTGCAATAAGTGCTGGAAATTATTTTATTGTCTATTCGTCGACTGATGAGGGGATATGTCATGATGAATTTGATAGTGAAATTATTGTTGACGATAGAGTGAGTTATTCGAGAATTTGCATGGAGAATAATAATTGGATATATATTTCCACTTTTAGTGGATTGATGACAATTGGAATTATTGTGACACTGGTGAAAATTTTATTATTTGCAAATATTTGGAAAAATATTTCTGAAAAATTGCAAAACAATATGTTGAGATCAATGGTGAAGGGAGGAATGAAATTTTTCTATGAGAATACATTGGAGAATATTTTAAAAAGGTATTTTATATTTCAACTTTAATTATAGTTAAAGAACTCTCAATTGAACTGTACAAGGAATGTATATCTTTGAATTTATTATATTTTTATGGTTGTTCTCATGGTTTCTTGGAACAAAATAAAGAAATTTAAATTCTAATCTAATTAATAAATAGAAATGAATTAAAATCAATGCAATTTAGACAAAAAGAACTTCAAAAAATTAGTTATTTTTATAAAGTTTTTAAAAATAATTAAAAAAAAATATTGCGACAACTTTGAAGCATGCAGTGATTTGGATTATAAGAAAATGTACTCATTTTGTTTTAGGTTCTCCAAGGACGTGAAAATAATGGATAAAAATCTTCCACAAACAGTGCACGATATTTTTTTCATGTTTTTTGTGCTGCTGTCATTGATTAGTCTAACAATGCTTGTCAATTATTGGCTGATGATACCAATCATAATTAGTGGACTTTTGCTGTATTTTTTAACAACGATGTACATTAAAGCTAGCTCAACACTGCATCAACTAAACACTTCAAGTAATTGATTAATTCAAAAAAAATCTAAGACATCATTAAAAATCATAAAAAGTTGTTAGAAACCATTAGAAATTACTAGCATTCATTATCGATTATAAATATTCATTAACAATAGCTAGCAACAATTACCACCAATCATTAGAAATCACTAGTATTCAATCACTAGTATTCAATCACTAGTATTCTAATTACTAGTATTCATTAACAATTGTTAGCAATGATAAGAAATCATTAGCAATCACTAGTAATCATTATTTGCACTTACTAGCAAGCATTAGGAATTATTATCAATGAACTGTATTCATTACATAAGACTAGCAACTTATAAGTCATTACCAATCACTACCAATGATTAAAAGTAATCTACATTTAATAGTAATCATTAGTAGTCAGCAGCAATTACTATCAATCATTAGGATTTATTAGAAATTACAAACAATCGCTAAGAGTCATTAACAATTACTTATATTGTGACGTTATGATTACTGATGAAACAAATTAATATATTTAAATATTCAATCCGAATCATTCGCATCGAATCCCGTCCAAGAAATACTCTGCTACTCGCAACTACTGCTTTTCTTAAAATCCACACAATCTTATCGGGGAATTCTGCCAAGCCGATGTCGTGATGCAAAACGGTCCTCTGAACAACGAACAACCAAACTTTCCGAATTTGACCGTTGAGACGCTACCAATATTCTCTACTCTCTGGTACTCTCCTCCGGCCCTCAATGAACGAAAAACACAATAAAACACATAATTAACGAAAACAACTATTTATTATTTTTATTAATAAAACGAATTAACAAACTATACAAAATAATTAATAAAACTCAAATAATTTTCGATTATGACACTCGTCAAAAACCGCGTCATGACTTCTCGAAAACCCGTAAGTAAGTGTCGTACCATCTGATTGTCCCCAGTAGGCTTCCTCATTATCAAATCGTTTCCTTGTTTTTCCTTCGCAATTTTTGAAAGAACCCTTCTTCTTTATCCCCACGGAACGGCACCTGAAAGAGACTAGGGAACGGTCGCTGACCATGTAACGTATACTGACAATTAATTATGCGCAAAATCATTTAAATTCTGATTTCACGAAAACCACAGCTCCTCACACTCTGATGCGAAATAAATATACAAGAGACTTGACAACAAACGAGATAGACCTGTGATAAGAAAGAGACAAAAAAACGACTCTCTAAACTCTGAAAATTCTTTTTCTACCCATGGCAAATTAGAAAGAGTAAGTAACGAAACACTTCGTCACAATATTCATTAGAAATTACAAGCAATCAGAAAGTGTCATCAGCAACTGTTTGTATTCATTATAAAATCATTGGTTATAACTGGAGGCCCAGATTTCCAATTATAATCAAGGGAAAAGGGCAGAACTCAAAAAAAAATTTTTCATCTTCTCCCGATTATCGGCTGTGGTTACTTTTTGTGAATTGTGAATTAAATTAACTTTGATGACCCAGACAATAATTGGAATTGTTCTACCAATAGTTTGGGACCAGCAAACAATTTTTGTTCTAACAACTCTTAATGGACAGAAGACAAAGTTCGCTCAAAAAATAAATTTTCATCTTCTGCTGATTATCGGCTGTGGTTACTTTTTTTGAATTGAAAATTAAATTAACTTTGATAACCCAGATATTAATTGGAATTGTTGAAGCAATAGTTTGGGACCAGTAAACAATTTTTATACTAACAATTGTTAGAAAACAACATAAAATTCGCTCAAAAAATAATTTTTCATCTTCTGCTGATTGTCGGCTGTGGTTACTTTTTATGAATTGTGAATTAAATTAATTCAGATGACGCAGATATTAATTGGAATCATTCTAACAATAGTTTGGGACCAGCAAACAATTTTTGTACTAACATCTCTTAGGGAACAGAAGACAAAATTTGATTATCGGCTCTGTTTACTTATTATGAATTGTGAACAATTGTTAGTCCCAGGACTCATTCTCAAGTACACGTGGATTATAAGGGCGCACAATTTCTTGCAGTGCCACAGGTGATCGTGGAAAGGTTAGATCCACAGAACATCGTGGAAGGAGAAAGAATGAGAAAAAGAAGCGCGTCGAGCCTTCTGAGTGTGTCAAGCTGTAGTAGCGAAAATACCATACGTAGCCCTATCGACTCAGAAGTAGACGACGACGCGATAGAAGAGACTCGCGAGATATGCTTAAGGCTCATAAAGGAGGAGGCGACTTGCCTTGACAAAATTGAGTTGGAGGTCGCAAAGATAATGAAGTCTTGCGACATTCAGAAGAACGTAAATAGGACGGTAAAAGATTGGCCCAACGTAATCGAAGTCCTGCTGAAAGAGGCAAAAGTGAAGCATACCGCGGCCGATGATATAGATGCAATCTCAAAAGCGTCATAAGAGATGCTCAGAAACGGAGGAGAGAGTTTGACAGTCCAGAAGAGACTCGAACTCAAACCGGTAAGAGGAAAGAGGAGAAAGCGCCTCTTCAATGGAAACGGAAGTATTGAAGCCAGAGATTCCTCGATTGGAAATAACAGGGACAAAAGGATCCGCTGTGCTGATCCGAGTCGGCCAAGGATTATCATATGCTGACGTTCTGGGTAAACTTCGCAAAGAGGTCAACCCGGACGTCTTCCATACGAGAATAGTAGCAGCAAAAGCTGTAAAGAAGGGAGACTTCTGATTAAGTTCAGAGGAGACTCCAACAAGGACGCTTTCACCGGTGAGGTCACTAAGGCTATTGGAAGCATAGGTGTCATGGATCATCAATGGGACTATTTATCTGCGAAGTCTAAAACCAAAAGGTAGTTCCGTAGGTGGATAGAAGGTTCGAAACCCAGGGGAATCAAAAAGAGGTTTTTAGTCGGTATTGGTTACTGCTTAAAGATCCTAATAATATTTGCTTGTTATTGATAATAACTTCTGGTAAATACTAGTAATTACTAAATGCTCTCAATGATTGCTAGTAATTGCCAACGACTTCTATTGGTTGCTGGTAATTTCTAATCTATACTTGCAACTGCTAACAGCTTTTAGTCATTCCAGTAATTGCTAATGAGACCTAATGATTTATTTTAATTGCTGATGAATGTTGCTAATTGCTAATTACTTCTGATAAATGTTAGTAAATGCTAATGACTAACAACTTCTAATAAATCCTAGTGATTCTTTACGTACCATCAAAGTGTAAGAATCATTAGAAAAACATTAATTTTTCAATTTTAAATCATTAGAATAATTCAAAAACATTAAAAATCATTGGAATAATTGAAAAACATTAAAAATAATTTACAAAAATTAATGAAAAATATTCTTTTTCTTCCATTCTCTAGCAGAATTATCTCTTCAGCAAACAGTAAAGGACACTCTCAACGGACTATCATCAATCCAATCCCTAAAAGCCGAACAATTTCTCATACAATTATTTCATAATCATCAGAATAAGGGAACAAAATTTGACACACTTTTAAGTCAAATGTCCCACTGTTACTGCTACTACATCGACATTATTTTCATCCTTTATCTTACAATTATGATCTCCATTTTTATTCTCACCAAAGCAAGTACAACAATCAGTGACATTGGTTTTATTCTCACTCAAACATTATCAATAGTCGCCATTCTTAAATTGGGTCTCTATCAATTAACACAATTTCCTAATGAAATATCATCAATTTCACGTATTATCGATTACAGTAAAAATATCATATCAGAAAAATCAATAAAGAAAATCCCCACCAAAGAAGATGAAAAATCAAATTTTCCCCAAATGGGAAAAATACAATTTTTAAATGTTAAATTTCGCTATACAATGAATCATCCAATTATATTGAATAATGCCAATTTTATTATTAATCCAGGTGAGAAAATTGGAATAGTTGGTAATTGTCCAAGTGATAAATATTCATTGATTGCAGCATTATTTCGTCTCGGTGAAATTGAGGGTGAAATTTTTATTGATAATTCACCGACAAGTGAAATTAAATTAGAAAAATTACGTTCAAAAATCAGTATTATTCAATTGGAGGAGGAAAATTTTATTTTAGGAACATTACGTGATAATATCGATCCAAATGGAGAATATTCAAACAATGATATTTTACAGGCATTAAATACAGTTGGATTATATATTAATGGATTAGAGACAAAAATTGTGACAATTAATGGCAGAAATTTTAATCATCAACGAAGACTATTGATATCATTGGCACGGGCATTTATTAGAAGAAATAAAATTTTAATTATCAATGATGAAATAATAATTAATCCACTATTTCAAAGGATATTTGAAAAATTTACCAAAAGTACAATTATCATTGTTGTTAATAGTTTAAATACTTTGATGAATTGTGATAAAATTATTGTTCTCAATAATGGAGAAACCGTGGTTAGTATAAAAAAAAAATTTTTTTATTTTGCAGTATAAAAATAATGTTTTTATTTTACACTATAATTATTTTTTATTTCTCAACATTTATATTATCTAACAAAAACGTTATTTTTATACGTTTTTACTCATTTTTTAATAATTATTTCATTTTTTTATTTTATCTTTTTTACAACTTTTTATTATAAATTTTTTTTTTCATTTTAATTATAATTAAATAAAATAATAAATTCTATAATTTATACAATGAAAGAATTAAAATGAAAAAAAAAATTAAATCAAATTATAATTTTATTAATAAAAAAATATTAAGCATTAAATATATTTTACATTTTTTCCAGGACTTTGGTCATCCTATAGAATTAGTTAAAACTAATGATAGATTTTTTTCTAATATTATGGAAAAATTTGTGTCAATGTAAATATACATATTCACATGTATAAATAAAAGTTTTTATAAAAATTTATTTGTTTGCAAATTTATTGCAGATTAATTAATTTAATAATAACAAAAATAACAAAAACAAAATTAATAATAATTATTAATTAATAACAAATTATTATCAAATTAATTACTAATACAATAATCAACGATATAATAATAGAAATGACAAATTACTAATAAAATAATCACTCATAAATTATAATAATTAATTAATTGATAAATATAACTATTTACTAACAATAATTGATTACTTAATAATAAATTACTAACATAAATTAATTAAAAACATTAAATAATTAATTAATAATAAGTTAATAAATAATTTATAACAAATAGATTACAATATACAATAATCATACTTTCGAACAAACAATATTTGTTAGATTTTGTTTATAATTTGTTTAAAATAGCAACAATTATTATAAACAAATATAAAGTAAAATAAAAAAAATAAATAAATAAATAAAAAATATTTTAAAATTTTTTTAAATAAAATAAACTCCGCCTAATTTTGTATTTTTTCTGCGGTCAATTATGATTGCCTGTTTTATCATTTTATGATATAAATTACTAATTACTAAAATTAGTAAAATTTAATTATTTAATTGTTTAAATAATATTCTATTTAGAACTTAAGTTTTTATTAAACTACTAACTCAATTTTAACATTGTGAAACGTAAAATTTTTTTTTAATTAAAGACGCAATACTAATTTCACTTAAATTAGTAAAATTAATTGTTTATTTCAATATGATGAAATTTAATAATCATTTAGTTAATAATTTAGTAACTAAAATTAGTGATAAACAATTAAATATTAAAAATACCTAGTTAATAGTAATAAATACTAATTATGCAAATTTGAGCAATTTAAAAAAAAATGTCCGCCATATTGGATCCGCCATTTTGAATTTTAAAAATTTTGAAAATCTGACTAGATTCGTAATCAGCGACTCAAAAATAAAATTACAAAGAGCGAACATAATCTACTTAATGATTATAATTAAATGTACAATTACCCGTGTGAGTACTACGCGTGTAAAAATACTTCCACGTGTATTTTTCAGTAGAATAATGTTTGTTTTTGAATTATTATAATTATTATAATAAAAAATAACATTAATATTAAACTTACATACTTAAAAAGTTTTAAAAAGAAAATGAATTTTTTTTCATCATTTTCATCAATGAAAATTTTTTTAAAAAAATTTTTTTCAATTATTATTTTTTTTTTAAATTAAATTTATTTTATGAATATTAAGTTCCTTTATAATTTTCTGACTCCAGACTTTACTCCATCGTCAGGGCATATAAAAATTTAAGTCTTCGTATATTTTAATTATTATTTTTTTGGTAAGATAATTATACATTAATTTTTATTTTATTTATTAATTGTTAAATTATTTTTTATTATTTTAATTATGTATTTAATTTTTATTGTTGTTTAATTTTGTATATTTTTTTTATAGTCTCCCTGAAGAGGAAATCATTAAGATTTCGAAACGTTGGAGTAAATAAATATTTTATTCATTGTCCGAATGTTTTCGTTCAATTTGCCTTAATTTATATTTATTAATATAATATATAATTATATATTTATTATATTATTTAAATAACTTTGACGTCAATATATACAGACGTCAGTATATAAAGACGTCAATAAATAAATTTACAGAAAAATATTCATTCAAAATAAAAACAATTCTACTACTTCGTATATTATTTAATCGCTATTTAACGATAATTGCTGAGTTACTCTTTTTATATTTTTCATGACAAGGAAAAAATTCATTTTGCTACATTTTTCTCTATTTCTTTCTCCGCAGTGAAAATAGAAAAGGAAACAAAATAATAATAATTATTTATACAGATAATCTTATCTAAATTCCGTTTGTTGTTTTTTTTCTTTTTATTAAGAAATTTTCCTAATAAAAACATTTCATAATTAAAAATAATTTACTTACATTAAAAGAGGAAAACAAGTGAAACAAAATTTTAGTTTAAAAAATTGTGTTAAATAAAAAGAAAAATTTAAAAACAAGTAAAAATAAAGACATAAATAGTTCTATAATAATAAATAATGTAAAATATTTATCTAATTGACAAAAAAAAAAAATTATGAACAAAAAAGAATAAGATAATATAATAAAATACATATTTTTTTAACTCTTACATAAATTACCGGTTTACCACAAAATTCATAAATTACTTATTTTTTTAAAACTTGTTCACAAAGCTTAAAAAAAACTGGAAGCAAAATATAATAAAACATTATTCCGGTAAGTATTTATTGTTTTGTTTATTCATAAACTTGTATTTTTTACGAGGAAAGCGGAAAATTTCCAAACCCTTGGAAACATACCATTTGATAAATTTTAACTTGTACACACATTCATCACAAGGCTAGAAAAAGAGAAACTTGTAACCAAAAAAAAACTAAAGTGATGATTCGAAAAATTTTTTAGGCATGGATAGAAATGAGAAAAGGGAAGTCAAAAATCCAAGGGAAAATGCAAATATTTTCTCAGTACTTTCCTTTGCGTATGTATTTTCAAATATTTTAATAAAAATTTTCATTTTTTTTCATTTTTTCATTTTCAAATTTTCATTTTTTTAATTACTGCTTCTTATTATTATTATATCTGAATTAATTAAATTATTATTAACTAACATCAACTACTAATTAGTAAATTAATTAAATAATTTATTAACTGGCATTAACTACCAATTAGTTAAATTAGTTAAATAATTTACTAACTTACATTGAATACCAATTGAACTTAAAATAACTATCATTCATCTAGTTAATTAATTGCTTATAATTTAACATTAACTAATAATTAGTTAATTAATTAATTTATTTATTTATTAAGTGACATTAAGTACCAATTATTTATTAATTAATTAATTATTATTTAACATTCACTACTAAAATTAGAAAATTAATTAATTAACTATTAAGTATCATTAACTGCCAAATAGTTAATTAATTATTTTTTATTGATTTATTATAAACTCACATCAACTACAAAGGAGGTAATTAGTTAATTAATTAACTAATTTATTAATTTGCAATAAATTTTATTTTTATTAAAAAAAAAAATTTTTTTATTTTTTTATTTTATTTTTTAAAATTTTTGTTAATTAATTAATTATGATGTAACAATAACTACCAGCTAGTTAACTAATTAATTGTAATTTAACATTAACTACTAATTAGTTATCTAATTAATTTATTAAGTAATATTAACTACCAATTAGTTTTTTTTAACTACCAATTAGTTAATTAAATAATTATTCTTTAACATTCACTACTAATCAGTAAATTATTTAATTAATTATTAGCTAAAACTAACTGCCAACTAGTTAATTTTAATAATTTTCATAAATAAGTTATTAATTACTAGTTATTAAAAAAAAAAAAAAAAAAAAAAAAAAAAAAAAAAATTAAAATTAACTAAATTTAATTAAAATTAACTGCCAACTAGTTAATTTTAATAATGTTTGTTTTTCCTACTTTTACCATTCGATTATGAAAATAAAAAAAAAATGTTTATTTCCTTTCTTTGTAGATGGTTATTAAAAATTTTTCTCCTTGGTAATAAAAAAGACTTGGAGGTAACGGATCTTTATTCGCCATTAAAAGAGCATACAAGTAAAAAATTGTCTGATAAATTGTCAACATTTTGGAATGAGGAGAAAAAACGTGAAAAAAATGGAAAATTAAAGCCAAACTTAATACGAGCATTAGTTCGTTGTTTTTGGAAGCAGTTTATATTTATTGGCTGCATTCAAGGTTTTATAGAACTTGTCGTAAGGTTTGTTTAGAAAAAAAGGCAAAAATAAATTATAATTATTTTTGTTTGCTTAAATTAAAAATTGAATTTTTTTTTTGTTTCAATAAAAAAAAAAGAAAAAAAATTTTTCTAAATATTTATTAATTATATATTTTTATTATTTTATTTAAACAATATTTCATTAATAAATATGTGGAAATAAAAATATATGTATTTATTAATATAAATAAATGTAAATAAAAATAAATAAAATATAAATAAATATATTATTAAATAATGCTAAATAATTGCTTTTCTTCAATATTAATATTATTTTTACAGAATTTATCAACCAATTTTTCTCTCGAAATTATTGCATCACTTTGAGACAGGAGATGTGTTTTTAAACAACGACAGTTTCTATTATGCAGGGGCTCTTATTTGTTGTTTATTAACTCATAGTATTCTTCACAATCTTTGTCTCTATGGATTACATCATTTGGGCCTTAAAGTGAGAATCGCTTGTGGAAGTTTAATGTATAGAAAAATTTTAAGAATGTCCAAAACTTCATTCCACGAGGACACAACAACCGGTCAGGTAATTTAAAAAAAATTAAGTTATAATTGAACAAATGAATTTATTTGTTAACTAATTAAAATGTTATGTATTTTATTTATATTATACTATATGTATATTTTATTTATAATATATTTTATTTTTATTATACTGTTAACAAACTAATAAACAAATGAATAAATTTATTTTATAAACAAATACTTGAAGCAAACTAATAAACAAATTTTAATAAATTTATTTTATAAACAAATTAAACTGTAGAATAAACTTGTTTTTTCATAAACTATAATTAATAACAAAATAATTAAGACATGACTAAAGTAATAAATAAAGTAATAAATTTGAATTTTACTTTTAGATTGTAAATATACTGAGCAATGACATTAATAATTTGGATACATCATTAGTTTATTTACATAATTTTTGGATTGCTCCTCTTCAAGCAGCTATTATTGTTTACCTCATGTATTGTGAAGTGAAAATGTCAGCAATTTATGGAATATTAGTTCTCTTTCTTAACATAATACTCCTAAGTAAGAAATTTATTTATAAAAAAAGAAAATTAAAAAAAAATTTTTAATTAAGTAATTATTTAGTCATTAATTAACTAATTAATTAATCAACAACTTACTAGTTTATTTATCATTAATTAATCCATTTTTTATTATTAATTAACTAACTAATTTATTATTAATTAAAAAATTAATTTATTATTAATTGACTAATTAATTTCTTATTAATTAATTCATTAATCATTAATTAATTATTTATTAACTAATTCAGAAATTAGTTAGTTAACTAATTAATAAATAATTATATGATTTTAATTGAAGTTAATAATAATTAATTAATTATACAATTAGTTAATAATTTAATTAATTGTCTAATTACTTAATAAATTCAATAATTATATAATTTACTATTTAATTTATTAATTACATAAGCAACTAACTAATTCATTAATTACATAATTAACTGACTAATTAATTAATTTACGAATTAATTAATTAACCGATTAATTAATTGACAAATTTTTAATAAAATTATTATTTTTACCCATTTATCATTAAAATTGTTTAATTAGCATTTTTTACCATTTTTCTTGTAAAATTTAGTGTCGGTTGGATCGTTCGTTCCAAATATAACATTAAATGCTTGCATCAAAACTGATGAAAGACTACGACTTATGAATGAAATACTTGCGGGAATACAAGTCATTAAAATGTATGCTTGGGAAAAACCATTTTCATTTATAATTAAACAAACCAGAAAGTGAGTATATTTGAAATTAAAAATAATGTTCTAACAAAATAAATTTTTTGGAATTATTTTGCTTGTCAAAAACAATTGTCTCTGTTTAAACAATTATTTTAGAAGTTATTTTTTAACCCATATTTGACTAATAGGAAACTTTTTTAAATATATTTTTTTGAGTTAAAAATTGTTATAAGTTAAAATTAAAAATTTCGATTTAAACAACTACAATTTTACCGAGCAAAAATTTTTGGTTTTTTAGAAATGAAATTAAAGCAATTAAAAAGAGTTTATTAATTGACGCTATACAATGTACATACGATACTTATATTCCACGTGTTTGTCTTTTTGTAACATTTGTAAGTTATGCCCTGTCAGGAAATGCATTGTCCGCTCAAATGGTTTTTGCCATAACTGCATATTACAATATTATGAGATATACTGTAAATTTGTTATTACAATTAGGTGAGAATATTAATGAAATTTTTTCCATTCAGTTTCTTTAATAAAAAATAATTTTTATTATCAATAAAAAAAATAAAATTATTTCAATTTTTAGGAGTACAAAACATTGGTAGAGCACTGGCAACATTACATAGAATTGAAGAATTTTTAAATACATCGGATGAAAAAAGTAAAATTATTAATTTATTAAATGAGAATAAAGATAATAATACAACAAATGTGAATAGTTATCGTATTGAATTAAAAAATGCATCAGCAAAATGGCCATCACAAAATTCAATGACAAATACATTGAGTAATATTAATTTTCAAGCATTAAATGAATCATTAACTGCAATTATTGGTCCAGTTGGTTCAGGGAAATCGAGTATTTTTCATGCAATACTTGGTGAATTGCCACTTAGTGAAGGACAATTAAAAGTATCGGGAAAAATTGCTTATGTGAGTCAGGACGCATGGATATTTGCCTCAAGTATTAGGCAAAATATTCTATTTGGCAGACCAATGGAAAAGAAACGCTATGAGACTGTCATTAATGTTTGTCAATTGGATCATGATATTGCAATGTTTCCTGATAGAGATCAGACGCTGATTGGAGAAAAAGGTTTTTTAATTTTATTTATACCTTTTCTTGGTCGACTTCTACCTCCAGTTTTACTTCTAATGCTTAACTTTTTCCCCCTCGCACTACGTTTCCGACTTCTACTGACATTTCTACCCCTACTTTTACCACTCATACTTCTCCTTTTTTTCTTGCCCACCACTTCTAATCTTACTCGTACCCTATTTCTGCTTCCTTTTCTTCCCCTCCTTCTACTCCTACCCCATTTCTACTTCTCTTCCTACTCTTCTTTTTCCTCCCACTCCTTCCCTACTTCAACTTTTAGTCCTTCCCCCTCTCCTAATCCTATTCTTACCTTTCTTTCTCGTCCCTCTTCTTCCCCTAATTCTACCCTCCATTTTCCTCTCACTCCTTCTCCTACTTTGATTTCTCTTCTAATTTTATTTTTACCCCCACTCCTGATCCCATTTGTACTACTCATTCTCATTCCTCTCCTTCCTCTACAATTACAGTCATCCCCCGCAACCTGCATAATTCGCAACTTGCATATCCTCGTAACCTGACGAGTAGTGGGGCGTCAACGTGCCTCGCTACTTGACTTCCCTCTCTACGCGAAACAGTGATGTACGTAGTGTACTGTGCCAAATTTTTCTGGAAACTGTATGTCTTGCATTCTCTTATTGCCCTGTACAGCCCTGAAAACTGTGACGTGAAGTGGTGGGGTGGCTATTTTTTCGATGGTCAGGTAGCGAATTTAAGAGAAGGGGAAAATTATCAAATTTGTGCAGGTTGCGGGGGATGACTGTACTCCTACGAATGCTACTTCTACTCCTATCTTTCTCTACTCCTTCTCTACTTTATCTGAGTCTTTCCCCCAATCCTAATCCTATTCGTATCCCTGTCTCATCACTTTTCTTTCCCTCATATTACATTTACCTTTTTTTTCTTCTCACTGCTACCCCTATTTCTACTCCATTTCTAGTTTTAGTTTTCCCCCACTCCTAATAATATTCCTGCCCCTCTTTCTTATCTCTTTCCTTCCCCTACTCCTACTTAAACTCTCTTTCCCCCTCTCACTCCTACCCCTACTTTCCCCCTCTCCTATTCTTACGTTTCCAATCCTAATCCTATTCGTATCCCTGTCTCATCACTTTTCTTTTCCTCATGTTACATTTACCCTATTTCTACTCCATTTCTAGTTTCAGTTTTCCCCCCACTCCTAACCTTATTCCTGCCTCTCTTTCTTATCTATTTTCTTCCCTTACTCCTACTTCTACTCTCTTTTCCCCTCTCACTCCCTACCTCTACTTTTAGTTTAACCCCCACTTCTGATCCTGTTCGTACCCCCCTTTCTCATCCCTTCGCTTCCCCTACTTTTACCGTCCTTTCTCCTTTTACTCCTACCTCTACTGCTGTTCCACTTCTTCTTTTTGTTTAACCCCTACTCCTGATCCTATTAGTACCCTTCTTTCTCATCGCTTTCCTTCCCCTACATTTACTCTTACAACAAATCTAGTTCCACTCCACAACCTTTTTTCTTTTCCCTTTACTACTCCAATAGTGGAGTAGTAGAGGAACCCACTACTTCTGTTATTTTTTCTACTCCATCCCCTCTTACGATATCTGCTACTCCTGATACTCTTTTCCTTTGTTGCTCTTCATAATTTCTTTCTACTTCGTCCCTCTTACAATATTTTTGATACTCCTGGTATTCTTTTTACGCAGTTTCCAAAATTTCTTGTTCTCCTCCAAACTATACTTCATCTACTACTCTTCTTTAGACCTACTCCTATTCCACCACTACTGCCACTCCTATCCATATTTCAACTCTATTGTTCTACTTCTATATTCTTCCTTCCTGAACGACTCTATGGTGTTCTTCTTTCCTCTCTTATTTCTCATGGTTACCCCATTATAAAATTACACCTATTACTTCTCTTCTTCCTTCTTCTCCACTTCTTCATCCTCTTTATAATCTTCTGTAAATGTTTTCTACCTCTTCCTCTTTTACAATATCTGCTATTCCTGATACTTTTCTTTCCTTGTTCCCTAAGCATCTTGCTCTTCTACTCTTCAATCTTCTCCTCTATACTTTTGTGTTTTTTCCTTCTCCTCTTCCTTCTTCCCCTTATATCCAACTCCCAATCCTTAAAGTTCATCCGTGTTACCATTAATCCTCAAACTTCAATTATTTCCTTCTGTATTATATTATACCTATCTCCTCCTCTTCCTCTTTTACTCTTCTTAGATTTTCTCATCCTTTCTACTGTCCAAATTCTCCTCCTCCTTTAACTCTTCTTTCAATACGTTCTTTCTTTTTATACTTCCCCATCTTTTTTTGTCACTTTACGTCTCCCTCCTTCTTTTCTACTTCTTCTTTTACTCTTCGCGCTACGGATATTCTTCTTCTACTAGTCTTCCACCTCCTCTCCTATTTTCTTCCTCCAATCAACATGAGAATTTATTCCACAAAGGAGGGGAAGTAGAAGAATAGTCAAAGAAGAAAAGAAGTAAAGAGTGGAAATAATTAAGAGAAATAAGAGTAGAAGGAATAGGGACAAAGTGAGAAAGAAATGAGTAGAAGGGGGAAGGAGTAGGTAGAAAAGGTATAAGAGTGGAAAATTAGGGGAAGGAAAAAGAGGAGGGCGGAGAAAGGAAAAAGAAACAATAATGGGAGGGGAAGTACTACTCCTACCCCCTTTCTTATTCCACTCCTTCCTATCTTATTTCCTTGTATTTCCATCTCTCTTAATCATATTCTTACTCCTCTTCTCACTCCTTTCCTTCTCCTAATCCTATTCCTGCTTCTCTTTTTCATTCCTTTTTTTCCTCTAGTTCTACCCTTTTCTCCTGGCACTCCTATCCCTAAGTTTAACCCTGCTTTTATTCCACTTCTACTTTCAGGTTAACCCTTACTCCTAATTCTATTCGTACCCCTCTTTCCCATCCCTTTCCTTACCCCTACATTTACTTATACACCAATTCTAGTTCCACTCCTACCCTTTTTTCTTCTTCTTGTACTTACTCTAATATTCCAATATTCAGTAGTGGAGGAACCCACTACTTAGGGAATATTGGAGTTTTATTCCTCTCCTAATCGCTCTGGTCATCTCCCTTCTATTCTTTTCTCTCGTGGTTCACCTCCTTATAAAATTATTCCTTTTCTTAGTCTTTTCCAATCATTTTCTCTCCTTTATCTCGTTGTCATCTTCTGTTATTTTTTCTACTCCATTCCCTCTTACAATATATTCTTGTTCTTCTATTCTTCTTCATCCTTTTACGCTCCACTCTCGTGAGCACAAGGAGAAAAGAAAATAGAAAAAAGGAAGAGAACATTAGGAACTTGGAAGAAGCGGGAAATAGTAACAAGGGCATAAGTTGTAGTGAGAAAGGAGAGTGGGAAAAGGAAAGTAGAGGAATAGAAGGAGAAGAAAGGAAGTAAAGAAGGGAAAAAATTAAGAGAAATAAGAGTAGAAGGAGAAGGGAAAAATTAAGAGAGGAATGAGTAGAAGGGTGACTGGGTATGAAGAAGGAAAAAGAGAGGAGGTATAAGAGTAGAAAATTAGGGGAAGGAAAAAGAGGAGGAGAGAGATAGGGAAAAGGACATTAGTAGAAGGAGAAGTTTTGTAAAGGAAATGTAGGAGGTAGAAGAAAAGAAGTAGAAGAGTAGAAGAAGGAGAGAAAAAGGATAAGGACATGAGTAGAATGGGGTGATTAATAAAGGAAGTGATGGAGGGGATGAGGAAAGAAAGAGAAAATTGGAGGAATAGTAAGAGAAGGAGGGCAGGAAAGAAAATATAAAACGGACAAGAGTAGGAAGTGTAAATTAACAAAGGAGATGGAAGAAGTAGAATATTAGAAGGAGGAACAAAAGTTGAAGGAGGAGAGAAAAGGTAAAAAAGGCATGAATAGGAGAAGGATATTAACGAAGCAAGTGGTGAAGAGGGAATAGGAAGGGGAAAGTAAATGAAGAAATAGGGGAGGAGGGGAAGGATTAGAAGAAGGAGAAAAGGAGTAAAAAGAACATGAGTAGGAGGAGCAGGTTGATAAAGGAAATAGAGGAAGGGAAAGAGTGAGAAAAGGTAATGTGGGAAGGGACAGTTGGAGGAAAGTTGATGGAGGAAAGGAAAGGTAAAAAGGACATGAATAGGAGAAAAATATTAACGAAACAAGTGATGAAGAGGGAGTAGGAAGGGGAAAGTAAAAGAAATAAATAGGGAAGGAGAGGAAGGATTAGAAAGAGGAGAAAAGGAGTAAAAGGAACATGAGTAGGAGGAGGAGGAGGTTGATAAAGGAAATAGAGGAAGGAAAAGAGTGAGAAAAGGTGATATGGGAAGGGATAGTTTATTCGACGAACGCTCAGGGAAGAACATTCACTTGATTCTTCGTATCCTAATTCCTTCTCCACTATCTTCCCTCATATTCCAATAAGTTCATCATCTAAATTAATTTTTCTAATCAACAAAAAAAATTTTTCACCACCTCAATGATAATTTTACCATTCAAGGTATGACTCTAAGTGGAGGACAAAGAGCAAGAATCAACTTGGCCAGGGCTGTGTACGCAGAAGCCGATATCTACCTCCTCGATGATCCCCTATCAGCAGTCGATACACGAGTCGGGAGACTCATTTTCCAACATTGTATCACTGAATATCTCCAAGGTACAACAAGAATTCTAATCACCCATCACTTCCAATATTTAAAAAAATTCTCAAATATATTCGTCCTCGACAATGGAGCAATCAAAGCCTCCGGAACATTTCAAGAACTAAAGAACAAACAATTAGACATGTTAAAGACAACACTTGATAATGATGACTATTTAGCCGACGATACGAGCAATTATGACACCCAATTAACGCAATCAAATGAAGATAAAGTACAAGACGAGGAGACCGAAGAGGAAGCTGAACATCGTAGCATCGGCAAAGTATCAGGAAAGGTCTATTTCTCCTATTTTAAAGCCGTTGGTAGTTGGAGTTTTGTTTGTCTAATGATCAGCATTAGTATTCTAAATCAAATTATATCGAGTGGCGGAGATTACTTTGTAGCTATTTGGGTGAATGATGAGGAGAATTTCAAGAAGGATGTTGAATTTAAAGGAATGGATATTGAAAGGAATGAGGAGGAATTGGATAGAAATTGGTACATTGAGATCTATAGTGCATTTATTACATTGACGATTATTATGATTTATATGGAACTGATAACATTCTTTGAAATGTTTTCGAGAGCATCGAGGAGGCTGCACGATTTTATGTTTTCTAGAATTATCAGGGCGACAATGTCATTCTTTCACAATAACCATTCCGGTAGAATTATGAATAGGTGAGTTATATTTTTCTGCTTCTCTATTTTCTATGGTCGGTGTTCATTTTTCTGTTGCTAATGTATCTTTTACTGTAGATGATGTTCCTTCATTTATTTTTGATGCTTCTTTTTATGCAGCTGCAGCTTCTTCTCCAGTTGCTGATGCTCTTGCTGTTTATAATGCTTCTTTTACTGTTTCTGATGCTTTTTCTCCTGTGACTGATGTTTCTTCTCTTGTTACTAATGCTACTTCTACTATACTACTCTTTTGCTGATATTTACTCTTATGCTCTTTTTGATGATGGTTCATCTGCTACTGCAATTACTTTGGTCATTGAAACAATTTCTGCTTTTGCAACTACTCATTGTTAAGCTACTACAAATATTTCTGTTATTGCAACAACTTCTTCTATTGCTACAACAACTTCTGCTGTTGCAAATATTTCTATTGATATTTTATCTACTTACTCGGCTACCTTTCCAGCTACTACTGAATTATTACCATCACAAAAAACCCCCGTTGGAGTATTAGCTTTAAAATTATCATCATCAACGAAAAAAACAGTGGAGAAACTAATGAATTATCTTCTTTCAGATTCTCTAGAGATATGGGAACAGTTGACAGATTTTTGCCAGCCAGTTTAGTAGAAGTAACTAAAGTTGGATTATTAATATTGGCAGTGAGTATAATCTGCACCATTTCAAATCCCTGGCTATTGATTCCAATTGTTGTACTTGCCTGGATATTTTATGCTCTTAAAAGAGTTTATCTGAAAACAACACGAGACATCAAACGTCTGGAGGGAATAAGTAATTATCTTCTGCATTATCATCATCATCATCATCATTACCATCATCATCATCGTAATTATCATTATCATCAGCAGCATCCTTATTATTATCATTATCATATAATTGTAAGCATAATTGTAAGCAGCATTCTTATTACTAACATTATCATTATTATTATCATCAGCAGCAGCATTACCATTATCGTCAACATTAATATCACTATCATCATCATTATCACCAATACTAACAGCATTATTATTAATATCAGCATCATTACCATTATTGTCATAATTGTCGTCATCGCTATCATCAGCATTAACATTATTATAATTTGCAACTTCATCATCATTAGCATCATCATCTTAACTATTATCATGATCAACATTATTATTATCTAATCAGCATTTTATCTAGTTAGTACAATTATTACATTATTATGCTTATTATCTATTCAATTTCAGCGTCATCGCCAGTTTTCAATCATCTTATTGCAACACTACAAGGACTTACGACAATTCGTACATTTAATGCTGAAGAAAGTTTAGTGAAAGAATTTGACAATCATCAAGATTTACATTCAACGGCTCTCTACCTATCATTATCGTGCTCTCACGCATTTACCTATTATCTTGAAATTTTATCAGTCATCTACATAGCAATTGTCATCTATTTATTTCTTCTCATTGATTTTGGACAAAGTACAGCTACAATTGGCCTCGTTATATCGCAATGTATATTTCTCTCTGGAATGATTCATTGGGGTATTATTGAGGCAGCAAATTTGGAGAATCAAATGACATCAGTCGAACGTATCGTTGAATACACTAAAGTTGAGGAGGAAGAGAACATGAATTGTGACTATGATAATAGTGTCAGTAATGAATGGCCAAAACAGGGGATAATTGAATTCAAAAATGTTACGTTACGTTATAATCCAACAAAGAAGCCGGTATTGAAGGATTTTAATTTTATTATTGAATCACGTGAGAAGGTGGGAATTGTCGGTAGAACTGGAGCTGGAAAATCGTCGTTGATTACAGCATTATTTCGATTGGCGCACTTGGAGGGTGAAATTTATATCGATAGAGTGGCGACAAGTAAATTGAGACTTGATGATTTGAGATCGAGATTGAGTATTATTCCACAGGAACCATTTCTTTTTGTTGGAAGTCTAAGGATGAATTTAGATCCGTTTGATGAATTTAATGATGAGGATTTGTGGAGTGCATTGAATGATGTGGAATTGAAGGAGATGATTGTGAAAATGGATGCTGGATTGGGAATGAGAGTTTCGGATGGTGGTTCTAATTTTAGTGTGGGAGAAAGACAGCTTCTTTGTTTGGCGAGGGCGATTCTTAGGAAGAATAGAATTTTAATTTTGGATGAGGCAACGGCTAATGTCGATCCAAGAACGGATGATTTAATACAGAAGACAATTAGGAAACGATTTATGGATTGTACTGTTCTTATTATTGCACATCGATTGAATACTATTATGGATTGTGATAAAATTATTGTTTTGGACTCTGGATTCTTAGAGGTAAGCTGGTATTTTTGGATTGTTGTATTTCTGTTGTTGCAAGAACTTTTTCTAAAGGTGCAATTATTTCTGATGCTGTAACTAGTTTTAGTGTTGCAACAACTTCTGATGTTACAACATCTTCTGCTGTTGCAATTAGTTCTTCTACTATGTCTAATATTTCTGTTATTGCAGCAACAATTTCTTCTGCTGCAAACATTTCCTCTGCTGTTACAGCTACTTCTACTGCTGCAACAATTTTTGCTGCTGTAACTACTTCTTCTGCTACTTTAAATATTTTTGTTACTGTAAATGTTTCTTCTACTTTTTTGCTACAACAAATATTTCTGTTACTGCAACAGTTTTTTCTCCTATTACACCAATTTTTGCTGCTGTAACTACTTCTTCTGCAAATGTGCAAATATTTTTGTTATTACAAAAGTTTCTTCTACTATTGCAATTACTTTTTTATTGCAACATCTTCTGCTTCTGCAACTACTCATTGTTGTACTAGTGCAACAATTTCTGATAATAAAACTGTTCGTTCTGCTTATAAAATTTTTTTTTATTGCAACTGCTTCTTCTTCTGCTCCTGCAATTATTTCTTTTGCTGCAACATCTACTTTTGCTGATGCAACTACTTTTTTTGATACAACAAATATTTCTGTTACTGCAATATCTTCTTGATCTAATTTTTTATTATTTTGCTGCATTTAATTCCAATACTTGTTGACCAAATTTTTTTCTAATCAAATTTATTTTTTTCTTATTCTAATTTAAGGAAATGGATCACCCCTACAAATTGTTGAACAGAGGGACAGGTCTATTCTACGAAATGGTTCAACAAACTGGTCCAGAAATGGCTAAAGTTTTAACAGAAATGGCAAAAACTAGTTTCAAAAAATTATAAATAACAATTTATACTTCTTCTTTTTCTTCATTTCTTTATAATGCTTTTTGCAAATATTTTTTTTTTCATCTCTAAACTTTTTCCTTACTTCCTAGACCAATCAACGAACGAACTCATTATTACATAGTTTCTTTTTTCTTGAACCTCTTGTAAAAATATACTTTTAATTCTGAAGAATTTACTTTTGTAAATAAATAAATAATAATAAAAATTCTTACAATATTTAATAATAATAATAATAATAATAATAATAATATTGATAAAAATAACAACCATATTGTTAATAATAATAACTTTCTAAATTTGAATTAGTAATAATAAAAAAAATAGTAATAAAAAAATACTAATTCTACTAATTCATTAGTAAAATTTACAAATTCCAAAGGAAAAAGTTAGTCACTAATTCAAATTAGTTACCATTTTTACTAATTTAAATTTAAAAATAATAATAATAATAATAATAATAAAAATAACAACCATAATGTTAATAATAATAAATTAATGTTAAATAAAATATAATAGTTATAATATATTATAAAGTTTTTAAAATATATAATAATAATATGATAATTATAAAAATTAAATTATTTGAAAAATTGAAAATAAAAATAAATTAAGTTTAAAAAAAGTAAATTTAAACAGTAAACTTTCCTAAAAAAATTTTTTTTAACTAAACGTAGGGGGGGAGGATTTTTATTTTAACAAAATTTTTTTAAAATAATTTTTATAAAAATGAAATTTGAAAAAAAAATTTTTTCTTTTCTGCGTTTTTCGACTATCATTGACGTCCCTGACGAAGGGTGAATTCTGGGGCGCAGAATCGACGCAAATGAAACGTCGTCAGCTGCTGTGCTTCGATACACACGGAAATGTATTACTAAAAATATATTATAACCGCGAGAGAGAGAGTCACAAAATGTTGATTCACACAGTAAAATTTCTAAAATATCATCAACGACCAGTTTTGTTCATATAAATTTTTTCATCTGTGCAAAAATTTACAATTTTTTTCATCATCATTAATTTAAAATTATAGAAAAAAATTTTTTTTTTCTTTCTTGAACAAAATTTCTAATTTTTTTTTGGCATAAAATTCTGTGATTTTTTTTCTATTTTATATATATATATACATACATACATATATATGTATATGTAAATATATATCTATAATTGCAAGTATTTTACGCATTAAGAAAAATTTCATCGAAACGACGAATTAATAAAATAGAAAATGGTGAAAAAATTTTTGAAAAATTAAAAAATTGATCGACAATAATTTTTTGGAGTGAAAAAATATTAAGTTTTTTTTTCTATTTATTAATAACGAAATATACAAGTTGTTATTTTTTAAATTATTACAAATTAATATTGTGTCAGTGTGATAAAAAAAAAATTGATACTTTTACTGGAATAATTGATTTTTTTAATCAAAGAAGAAAAATTATGAAAAATTGTTGATATATTTTTCCTACCAATTGAAGTAATTGGATTATTTTTTGGTAAGTGCAATTTTTATTTATTTACATGAAAAAAATGTAATTAGGAATTTGCAATTTTTTTGTTCAATTTTTCTCAGAGTTTATTAGAAATAAAATTGTAAAACATTCAATTAATAAACAATTATTTATTAATTAAATTTACTATTATTTTTTATTTATTTATTTTCATTTATTTATTTATTTATTCTATCTATTAATTTATTTTATTTAGTTATTTATTTTATTTATTAATTATTACAGTAAAAAAAATAATTTAGCAAACAGTAAAATTCAAGTTTAAAAATGAAAAAAAAGTCAGTAAAAAAACAAAAAAAAAATGCTAATAATTAAATATTACATCATCTTAAAATTTTCAATTTTTTAAATTATAATTAAAACCTAATTTCTTTAATTAAACTTTTTTTCTAATTACATTTTCATTTGTTTATTTATTTATTAAATAATTTTTTTATTTATTTGATTTCTAAATATTTTCTTTTTCATTGATTTCAATATTTTCAGTTACAAAAATGAATAATAAACAAAAAAATGAGAGTCTTATGTCAGTTGTACTACCTCAGGAATTTTCAAATTCACAAAGTTCAAAAAATTTAATCAATAGTCAACAACCACAGGTATGAAGGTTTATTTTTTAAATTAATTAAATAAAAAAAAATCTCCCTTGTGATTAAATAAAAAATCGATGACTAATAATTCTAATTATATGATAAGTTATTAAAAATTTAATATTATTTTAACTGTTAGCAATTAATTAGATAATTATTTATAACAAAAAAATTTGTTTATTTAACTTTTTAATAACAAAAACTGATTAGTTATTGAAAATATTAATAACAATTAATTTATTGTTTTTCATAACAGTGAAGTAGTTAATTATTAAAAACAATTTTTTGTTAAGGAAGTTTGTTAATTGTTAATAACAATTAATTAGTTAATTACAAGTTATTATTAATTAGTTAATAAAAATTTATTAATTCTTATTAATATATTATTAATATAATTATTAATATAATAATTAATAATTTATTATTAATAACAAATAATTATTAATGCTAATAACAATTTATTTTTATTATGAACAAATTATTTTATTATTATTAGTAATAACGAAAAGCTTGTTAAAAAATATTTTAATTTATTATAATTAATTAGTATTAATAATAGCAATTATTATTATTAATTTTGAAAGAAAATAACAGAATTAAATGAACAATTTTTTTTTAAGGACGAAGAAACGTCGGATTGTCCTCTATTGACACCAAGTCCCACAATTCGTGTGGTGAGAAAAATACCGGAAATGATTCCAGTTTTTAATCATATCGAAAGTCCTTTGGAAATTCCAGCATCTCCAAGTTCGGAAAATATTAATTCTGAAGATGGACTAAATGTTTTTATGAATATTGTTAACAGTTCGAGTAAACCACTTCACGATGGTAAATATAAAAAAAAGGAAACACTTTTTTCGTTTTTAATTTCAAAATATTTTTTTTTATAAAAAAATTATTTTTTTTTAGAAAATATTTTTTAATTTCAAAATTATGTTCTTTTGGAAAATATGTATTCAATTTGAAAATTATTTTTTTGGAAAATATTTTCTAATTTAAAAATTATAACTCAAAATAAATTTGTTTTTAATTTAAAAAAAAACTTTTTTTGAAACAAAAAGTAAACTTTTTTTTATTCAATTTTTTTGTTTTAATATAAAAAATTTATTATTACAATTTTTAAAATTTTTTCTGAAGTTAAAAAACACATTTTTGTATTAGATAAATTATTTCTTGTTTCTTGTTTATTTAATTAAGAAAAATTTTGTTTTTATAAAAAAAATACTCTTCAGTATAAAATAATTTTTCTTCTTTATTAAAATATATTCCTTAGTTTTAAAAAATTGTTTGTTGATTAAAAAAGTATTCTCTTTAATTAAAAAACAATTTCGTTTTTTGTAAAAAGATATTCCTTAGTTACAAAAAAAAGTTTTTTTATTTAAAAAGTATTCTTCAGCTAAAAACAAATTTTAATTTATCAAAAAAATATTCTTTAGTTATAATAAATTGTTGTTGATTAAAAAAGCATTCTTTAGTGTCTAAAATAATTTTCCTTTATTAAAATATATTTATAAGTTCCAAAAATATTTTTTTTGATTGAAAAAGTATTCTTTATTTAACAACAAATTTCGTTTCTTATAACAAACAATATTCTTTAGTTGCACAAAATTTTCTTTCTTTAAAAAAAATGTTCTTCAGCATAAAATAATTTATCTTCTTTACTAAAATGTATTCTTAATTTAAAAAAAATTATTTGTTGACAAAAAATACCTATTCTCTTTAGTTAATCAAAAATTTTGTTTTTTATAAAAAAATATTCCTTAGTTACAAAAAAAGTTTTTTTCAGTTAACAACAAATTTTAATTTATTAAAAAAGTATTCTGTAGTTATCAAAAATTTTGTTTCTTTAAAAAAATGTTCTTCAACATAAAATAATTTTCTTCTTTATTAATATGTATTCAGTATTATCAAAAAAATTATTTTTTGACTAAAAAAATATTCTCTTTAATTAAAAAAAAATTCGTTTTTTATAAAAAAAATATTTCTTAGTTACAAAAAAAAAATTTTTTATTAAAAAAGTATTCTTCAGTTAACAAATTTAATTTATCCAAAAAAATATTCTTTAGTTATAAAAAATTGTTGTTGATTAAAAAGTATTCTTTAGTGTCTAAAATAATTTTCTTTCTTTATTGAAATATATTTTTTAGTTACAAAAAAATTTTTGTTGATTGAAAAAGTATTCTTTATTTAACAAAAAATTTTGTTTTTTATATAACAAATGATATTCTTTAGTTACAAAAAAATTAGTTTCTTTAAAAAAATTATCTTCAGCTTAAAATTATTTATCTTCATTACTAAAATGTATTCTTCATTAAAATAATTTCTTTTGTTGATTAAAAAAGTATTCTCTACAGTTAACCAATACTTTTGTTTTTTATAAAAAAATATTACTTAGTTACAAAAAAAAATTTTATTTATTAAAAAAGTATTCTTCAGTTAACAACAAATTTTAATTTATCAAAAAAAGTATTCTGTAATTATCAAAAATTTCATTTCTTTAAGAAAATGTTCTCCAACATAAAATAATTTTTCTTCTTTATTAAAATGTATTCTTTATTTAAAAAAATTTTTTCGTTGATTAAAAAAGTATTCTCTTTAGTTAACCAACAATTTTGTTTCTTATAAAAAAAAATATTTCTTAGTTACAAAAAATAATATTCTTTGAATATAAAATAATTTTTCTTCTATATTAAAATATATTCTGTAATTATTAAAAAATGTTTGTTGATTAAAAAAGTATTCTTTAGTTTACAAATTTAATTTTTTTAAATAAAAAATATCTTTTAGTTAGAAAAAAATTTTTTTTTTATCAAAAAAATATTCTTTTGGTTAAAAAAAATTTTAATTGATTAAAAAAGTATTCTTTAGTTAAAAAAAGTTTTGTTTTTTTTGTAATTAATTTCTTAATTAATTTATTTCCATTAATTTCTTCTCTCAAGATAAATAAACAAATTGTTTACAAGAAAAATTAATTCAATTACACAATTAGGGGAAAATTATAATTTTACCTTTACCATAAAAAATGGAAATAGGACCGTATACTTCATGGTCATTCTTTTATTGCTCTTAAAAAGTGTTTCGTCAGAGTCACGTGATCACTTTGCGAAGCTCGTGCTCCCCGCATTTAACAATTCCATCACAATTCATTTTTGCCCACGCGAAAGAATAGAAAATAAATTTACGTGTGTCATTTTTTTGTCCTCTTGTCCACAGTTTTCAAAAACAGAAAATTACCAGTGAACATTGTTTTGAATGGAAAAAAAAGTTTTATTAACATAAGTGAAATAAAAAAATTTCCTTAATTAACAATTAATTAAACAATTGCATTAATTAATTTTTCTTTTTTTTATTTACAAAACTAACAGTTTTACAACTAAATAAATAAATGCACAAGCTTTTCTTTAAAAAAAAAAAATTATGTTTACAGAATTGAAAAACATTAATTAATTAATAATTTTTTAAATGAAAAATTTTTTCTTCAAATTAAATCAAAATTTTTTTTCTATTTCTTTCAAATTGTTTTTGAGTGTAATTTAATAAATTTCAAATAAATGAAAAAAGCCAGAATTGAAAAATTTATGAAAAATAAAAAATTAATGAAAATAAAAATTTTACTATTGTTCAAAAAGTGTGTTTAATTTAGTGTAAAATAATGTGAGGATAATAAAAGAGAAAGAGGAAAAAAAAGATTTTTAGAAATAATTTTTTTTATTGTATTTTAATTAATTATTTAAAATTTTAAAAAAAATTTCACTTTTAAACTTTAGATTCTTTATAATAAATGTGAATTGTGATTTATATATAAAAATATTCAAAAATGGAACCAGTGAAGATTGTTGAAGAAGGTATTGAGTTCTGCGATAGCAAACATTTTTTTATCGATTGTAACATAAAACGCTCATTGTAACAATAGTATTCTACTAATTAAACCACACACCCTCCCCCCTTTTTATTTAATGACACATTTATTTATTTATTTAACAAATAATATTAATTTATTTTGCTATTAATGAAAAAAAACCTAAAAAAAAAAGAAATTATTAATAAAATTTTATAATAAAATAACTATAATTTGTAATTAAAAAAAAAAAAAAAAAATTGTTAACGTCTTTCAATTTTAATTTGTAATTGATTTAAATTTATTATCAATTACTAAACAAATGAAATTGTTATTGAAATTAAATTAAAATACAAATTAAATTGAATCAGGATCAAAATTTGACTTTTTGATTAATTACATAAATTTAACAATTACATTTTTTTCATAAACAAACTGAAATTCAATAAAAAATAGTTGATAAACATTTTTGACAGTGATTGAAATTCTTTCAATTTAAGTTCGTCAACTGTTCATTTCACAAATTTCACTTAAATTAGTTCCACTTAATATTAATATTGACAAGAATAAAGCTTCATACATTCTAATCTATACGTTGATTCATCAATAATTCATTTATTTAAATTTAATATCACATTTAAATTAAAGCACAAAGAAAAATTTTTTAACCATAATAATATCGAAAGGGGAGAAATGCAATTAATAGAATAACAATAATACAAAAAACAAGATGAAAAAATTTAACAATAACAATAACAACTACAATAACAAAATACAAAAAAATGTCAATAACAATAACGATAACAATAACAATAACAATAACAATAACAATAACAATAACAATAACAATAACAATAACAATAACAATAACAATAACAATAACAATAACAATAACAATAACAATAACAATAACAATAACAATAACAATAACAATAACAATAACAATAACAATAACAATAACAATAACAATAACAATAACAATAACAATAACAATAACAATACAAACAACAAAACTGCAAAAACAATATAAAAATCAACAAGAAAAATTATAATAATAAAAGATTATGAGAATAAAGAACAAAAACAATAAAAATAACTGTGACAATGGCAATAATAAAATATCAAAGAAAATATAAAAACAGGAAAAATTAAAAAATTGTTAATAACAACAGAAAGGGGCCGTTCAAAAAATACGTAACGCTTTAGGGGGGAGGGGGGGTCAAGCTATTTGTTACGGTCAGCAGAGAAAATGGCGCTAAAATAGCAAAGACGAAGGCAAAACACAAACTATGCAGCAACAAAAACAATAACAATATATAAGAAAATTATAACATTATCGATATCAAAAACAAGAACAATAATAGCAATTTTTATATAAAAAGAATAAAGAATGACATATTAAACAGAAACAAATTTAATTACAAAATTACAAAAGCAATAAACAATAGCAAAAATAAATGCTGCGCAAGAACAGACAAAAGAACAAGAACAATAACATAAGTAAGAATAGCAACGAACACAAACAAAAAAGCAAAAAATCAATAGAAACAATAACTAAACTTAAAACTAAGAAAAACTAAAAACAGCAACAACAAAAAAAGCAATAAACAACAATAATAACAGCATACATCAGAAAAAATACAAAAACTGTTGCTATTGATAAAGTTATTATTATTGTTTCTGTATTTTGATATTGCTTTTGTTATTGACATTGTTATAATTTTTCCTGTTATTTTAAAAATTGTTTTTGCTATTGCTATTGTACCAGTTGCTATAATTGTTTCTGCATTTTTGTTGTTATTAACATTTTTAAAATTTTTCCTTATTTTATATTGTCTTTGGCATATTATTATTGCTATTGTTACAGTTATTTTTATTGTTTTTGTTTCTTATTCTTGTAATTCTTTTTATTATTTCAATTTTTCTTGTTGATTTTTATGTTGTTTTTTCTGTTTTGTTAATTGTATTATTATTGTTGTTGTTATTATAATTAATGACATTTGTATTGTTGTTGTTGCTATTTTATTTTATTTTTACTTTTATTATTTTTTAATATAATTTTTATTATTATTTACTATTGTTGTTGTTTTAATTATATTAATAAACAAAAAAATTATTGTTTTTATTGTTGTTATTATAATTATTGACATTTGTATTGTTGTTATTGTTGTTTCATTTTATTGTTACTTTTATTATTATTTTTTATTATAATTTTTATTATTATTTACTATTGTTGTTATTGTTGTTGTCTTGAATATATTAATAAACAAAAAAATTTACGAAATTTACAGAACCGAGTTCTCGTGATCCAATGGTGGAATCAACGAGTAGCAGTAGCAATAGCAGTATCAAAAATGAACCAGTTTGTACACAATTGCTCACACAATTAAATGAAGCTTATCAACATTTGGCACCAGACGCACAGGCACTGGTAAAAATTTTTTATTAACAAAATATTTTTAAAAAATAATTTTTTTTCTTTAAATTACAAATATTTCTTTTTTTTACATTTAGCAAAATTTAATTTTAAACGTATGTAAAAAAGCCATTCATTTTTAAAAATAATATTTGTATTCATATTTGTCGGTTACGGTTTCATTTTGCTTTTTTTGAAACTTTGACAGAGTCAAGTGTTAATTGTAAGAATTAATACTAATACAATTGTTAAAAGTGACAAAAAAATAACTAAAGAAATAAAAAAAAATTTACTAATAATCATATTTTTACTAAGAAAAAAATAATTTTTTTTATTAAAAAATACTAATTGTTTATTAATAAAGAAATTGTTTTTAAAAGTGTTTTTAATTAACTTATTGATTTAATAATTAATTTTTTTCGTAAAATACATTTTCTAATTAATTGTTGATAAACTAAAAAAAAATATTGCAACAATTAACTAAGTTGTTAAATTAATTTCGAATTTTATTTGTAATATATGTTAATATTAGTTAATTAAATAAATTATTTAAAAAATGAAAATCAGTAAATAAGTTTGTTAATTACTTAATTTAAGTTTATTAATTAATTTAGTATTAATTAAAAAAATTAATGAATAAAATTGAAAAAATAAAAATAAATAAACAAATTACTTTTTTTAGGAATTAATTTTATTAATTACAAAGCTAATTATAATTTGTTTATAATATTAAATTTTAATGAACAAAAAGTTAATTACTTGTTTAATTAATTATTTAATTATTTAAACAACTAATCTGTTTATTGATTTTCATTTTTTAAATTTTATTTAATTAATTAATTAATTAATTCCATTAATTAATTTTTTTCACCTAAAAGTAATTTTTTAATTAATAAAATAATTTTAAATTTTAGAAAAATTGTTTTAAAAAAAATTACTTTTGACAGTTGTCATTGAATTTTATTATTGATGAACAAATTACCTTGGCACGGAGTGAAATATTTCATGGCAACTCAACAACAAATAAAATAAACTCGTTAACAATTATAACTTTGACTCGCTTTATAAGTGATTTTGATAAATTCGCGTGTTGACTGTTTTTTTTTGTTCTTCGTTTACAATCACGTGCTTCAGTGTTTCATTCATGAGGGACACGCACTTTTTTGAAATTAATCAATTACATAATGAGAATAATATTACAATCCAATCAAGTCCTTACGTTCAAAAAAATGTAATAATTTATTGTTACTACAGTGATAGCATTTTTTTAATTATTTATACGTGTTTTATAATTATATTCACAGTTTTAATTGTTAAATAATAATTGTTATATTGTTTGTGATAAGATTATTAAAAAAAAAATCATTAAAAAAAATTATGTGACACTTTTATTGTAACAAAAGTAGTATTTGATTGTTACATAATTAAAACAAAAATAATATTTTATTGTTACAACATTTTTACGAAACAAACATTTAATTATAACAAAATTTTTACTAAAATGTGATGTTGTTATTGTAACAAAATTAATATCTGATTGTTGCAAATTTGCATTAAACAATTATTATATTCTTACAAAAATTTTACAAAATTATTACAAAATTATTACAAAACTGTAATAAAACTAATTTTGATTGTTACAAAAGTGTAAAAAAATAGAAATTTGATTGTTTGTAACAAAGCAAAAATTTAATTTTTAAAAAATGGTTACAAAATTGTAACAAAACTAATTTTTTTGGTTAAAAACTTGTTTCAAAATTGTAGCAAAACTAACATTTTATTTTTACTAAATTGTTACAAAACTGTAACGAAAATAATTTTGATTGTTACAAAAATTGTTATAAAATTGTAACAAAACTAATTTTCATTTTTTATATTCAACAAAACAAATAATTGATAGTTACACAATTGTTAAAAAACTGCAACAAAAGTAATTTTTTTTTAGTTATATAACTGTAACAAAACTAAGTTTGAAGTTTAAAAATTGTTTCAAGTTTGTAACAAAACAAAAATTTGATTTTTACAAAATTGTTACAAAACAGTAACAAAACTAATTTTGATTGGTTAAAAAATTGTTTCAAAATTTTTGACATAATATTAACTGTTACTAAATTGTTACAAAATTGTAACAAAACCATTTTTGATTTTTACTAAATTGTTACAAAAATATAACAAAAATAATTCTGATTGTTATAAAATTATAACAAAACAAATTTTGATTGTTACAACATTGTAACAAAACTAATTTTGATTGTTACAGCAACATTACACTAATATTTTTTATTATTTTCGTCAATGAAAATTTTGTTATAAAATTGTTGCAATACTTGATAAAAATTGCATATCAAAATTCTAGTAAAATGTCACATAATATTGTAATTTTTCACAAAAAAAAAAATAATTCTCATTCTGTTATGTAAATACTGATTAAAATATTTACCCATCAATAATCGGATGCTGTTCTTAATTTGTGGACGCTGTAATTAATAACACTAATCGACTACTACCATGTTGCTTTGTAACAATTTTTTCGACTCACACTATAACTCTTTAGTTTTACAATCAGGAGAACGGAGGAAAACCGCCATTAGTTGGAATACAATTGGTCGTTCCTAAGCCACCAAAAAATTATATTTTCACCAAATGGAATTGGCCCTTAATAAGAAAAACATGTTTCTGGTCAATGATATCAATATTCATTGGTTGTGTAGCACTCGTCATTGGCGTTATCATAACAATGCCAAGAAGGTAATAATAAAAAGAATTTATTGTTTTTTTTAGCAAATATTAATTTTTGAAAAAATATTCAATTAGTGAAAAATATTATTCCACACTTGTAAAATCAATTTGCACTTACTGCGCAGCGATAGAATACGCACAGACCTACTGCGCAGGGGTAAAACAAACTGCGCGGACGCTTTCTAAATGGAATACTGCTGCGCGTCGTTCGGAAAATGGTCTATTCTTTACTTCATATACTTTTCTATTAATTCTAAACACTTTTTTCTGAATTACGCAACTGGAAAATACTTTTTACTAAATTCTACCTGCGCAGTAGTTTCTAAAAGTCTCTAAATCTGCGCAGTCAATTCTAATAAACTCTCCATCTGCCCAGTAACTGTGAAAAATATTATTCCACAGTTGTAAAATCGATTTACACTTACTGCGCAGCGATAGAATGTGCGCAGACCTATTGCGCAGGGGTAAAATAAACTGCGCAGACGCTAATTAAACGAAATACTACTGCGCATCGTTTGGAAAATGGTCTATTTTTGACATCGTATACTTTTTTTTAATTCTAAACATTTTTTTCTCAATTACACAAATGAGAAATACTTTTTACTAAATTTTGCCTGCGCAGTAGTTTCTAAAAGACGCTAAATCTGCGCAGAAATTCACACAGAACACTAAAACTGCGCAGTAAATTTTAATAAACTCTCCATCTGCCCAGTAACTGAAAAATATTGTTCCATACTTGTAGAATCGATTTGCACTTACTGCGCAGCGATAGAATGTGCACAGACCTACTGCGCAGGGATAAAAGAAACTGCGCAGACATTTTCTAAATGGAATACTACTGCGCATCATTCGGAAAATGGTCTATTTATTACTTCGTATACTTTTCTATTAATTCTAAACACTTTTTTCTGAATTACGCAACTAGGAAATACTTTTTAATAAATTTTGCCTGCGCAGTAGTTTCTACAAGAAGCTAAAACTGCGCAGTAAATTTTAATAAACTCTCCATCTGCCCAGTAACTACGAAAAATATTATTCTACAGGTGTAGAATTGATTTGCACTTACTGCGCATCGATATAATGTGTACAGAACTACTGCGCAGGGGTAAAAGAAACTGCGCAGTAGTTTCTTCAAGACGCTAAAACTGCGCAGTAAATTCTAATATACTGTCTAAATGCGGAGTTACTTTAAACCCACTCTAAAATTTGTATAGTGTGTTGAAAAGTATTTTTAAAGTCGTTTTGTAGTTTTTAGTGGACTCTGCAGCAGAGTGGTAGCATTTGTGACACTACAAAACGGTGTAATAGCGTCAATTGCACTCTAAAAGTGTGCAGTATTTTTAATTCCACTCTAGACAATTGCTTTTCGACTCTAAAACTGCAATGAAGTGAATATACTGTCTTGCTATAGTTTCTATTGAATTGTATGATTGTAAAAGAAGTTTCTATTAGACGCTAAAATGCGCAGTAGGTTCTGATGGACTCTAAACATGCGCAGTAGCTGCTAATTAACTCTAAACATGCGCAGTAGCTTCTGATGAACTCTAAACATGCGCAGTAGCTTCTGATGAACCCTAAACATGCGCAGTAGCTTCTGGTGAACTCTAAACATGCGCAGTAGCTTCTGGTGAACTCTAAACATGCACAGTAGTTCCTATTAAACTCTAAACATGCGCAGTAGCTTCTGATGAACCCTAAACATGCGCAGTAGCTTCTGGTGAACTCTAAACATGCGCAGTAGCTCCTATTAAACCCTAAACATGCGCAGTAGCTTCTTGTGAACTCTAAACATGCGCAGTAGTTCGTACCAAACTCTAAACATGCTCACTAGCTTCTGATGAACTCTAAACATGCGCAGTAGCTCCTATTAAACTCTAAACATGCGCAGTAGCTTCTGATGAACCGTAAACATGCGCAGACACATTTTTCCCGTCAAATTCAATCAAAATTAACCTAATTTCAATAATTTTAGATGCGATCCTGAGGTGGAATGGTGGCAAGGAAGTTTGTTTTACGAAATATTTCCCGGTTCCTATCAGGACGGAATGGCAATCAACGATGGTATTGGTGATCTACCGGGAATCACAAAACGACTCGATTATCTACAAAAACTTGGAGTTAAAGGCGTGAGATTAAATTCAATATTCCCCGCCGATCATTATCCGGAATATTACTACAATGTCACTAGTCTAATGGACGTGAATCCAATTCTTGGACAAATGAATGACTTTGACGAACTAATTCAAGAAATTCACAAACGAAATATGACACTTATTCTCGATATTCCACTCTATCCGTTCGTTAAAAATCTTGACTTAGCAAACATTAATAACGATACTAGCCAAATTCTTAAACAACGAAGAGAAATTCTAAGTGAGCTTCTACCTACAATGACACCATCATCTTTAGAGGTTATGTCAACTTTGCTTTTGAAAACTTCTCACATATCACCTTTTTTCTTAACTATAAATAATTTTTTTTAGATGGTGGGCGGTATTTTACCAACGACGACTAATTTTGAAACGGAAATTGAAGAAAATGATGATATCTCCTCTGCTATTAGATTTTGGAGCAAAAAAGGCGTCGACGGCTTTTATTTAAAGGGTCTTGAGAATTTTGTGAATGAAAAGAGTTTTCCCAACAAATTACGCTATTGGAAGTCAATTCTCGGAATGGGGAGAATTTTAATTTGTAGCATTAAAACACTGACAGATGCAACAAGTGTTTTGGCGAAGAATGCAATTTTGAATAGAATTGATTTAATTGACGTTCACATTAGCGTGGCGAATGGAACAAATAATATTCGTGATCAAATTAATAATATTCTTGATGGAATTTTATTTGAAAAATCCGGCTATCCTTGGGTACATTGGAGCATTGGTAATGTTGACACAAAACGTGTGACATCGACATTAAATGTGAATAATGCGAGTGTCGCTGTTGTTCTCATGACGATGATGCTGCCAGGCACTCCCAGTATCTTTTACGGTGACGAGGTAATGAGTGCGCAGAAATTTATCCACTGGAAACTTACTGCGCAGCACCTGCGCAGAAGTTGAAGGGTGAAAATATTTCTGCGCACGGGTGTGAATCGGCTTTAAAATGCTCCGGGGAAATTGAAAGGTACATTTTTTTTTCTTTTTGCAGAAAGGAATCCTCGAGTGTGATTGTCCTGAACATGCAGACTTGGAGCACGTTCATAATTTAACACCAATGCACTGGGATAAAAGTGATGCCATTAATAGTGGAGCTAATGAGAAATTTTCCTCTTATCAAATTCCATGGTTGTCGAAAAGTAACGATCCAATTGAAACGAATCTACGGGATGCGATTTCAAATATGACCAGTATCAGAAAAGAAACGCCGACTATTTACGTTAAGTCTGTGATCAATAATAATAAACCAAAGGCGAATTGTGATGTTCGGTAAGTGTTTTCTACTTTTTTGGAATTGTTCGATATTGTTTATCAGGCTGGGTGATAATTCTTGTGGGGAAATTATCTGTAATTAGTTTATGAATATATCTGCACTCACTGCGCAGAAGTTTAGAGCGATCTCAGCTACTGCGCATTGCAAGCTAAATCTGAGAAATAATGTCAAAAATTGCTTTTATTGATGCGCACTACCTTCTATTAAGTTCTGGACCTGCGCAGTAGAATTTTTTGGATTCTAAAACTGACGTAGTGGTTTCTTCTGTTCTCTAAACCTGCGCAGTAACTTTTAATTTACTCTAGGCTTGCGCAGTAGCTCCTAATAGTCTCTAAATCTGCGCAGAAGCTATTATTTGACTCTAAACATGCGTTCTAGACCCTATTGAACTTTACACGTGCGCAGTAAATTATGATAGACTCTAAACCTGCGCAGAAGCTTCTAATTGACTCCAAAAACTACGTAGAGGCTTCTATTGAAGTCTATACGTGCGCAGTAGCTACTGATGAACTCTGAACCTGCGCAGTAGTTCTCACTAAACCTTAAATCTGCGCAATAACTTGCATTGAACTCTAAACCTGCGCAGTAGCTTTGAATCAACTCTAGACCTGCGCAGTAGTTTCTGGTGAACTCTAAACATGCGCACTAACTTTAAATACACTCTAGAGCTGCGCAGTAGTGTCCATTAGACTCTAAACTTGCGCAGTACTTTTCTAATACCCCCTAAAACTAAACTAATGACTAATCATCATTAAAAATTTTTTTTTCTATGTAATAACAAATTTAAATTACATTAAAAATTTATTTTAACGATATTCATAATATTAATTGAAAAAAAAAATTCTCCAGATACACAAAAGACGAATTAATCGTGATTGAAAGAAGATATCGACGACGAAATTCATACGTTTTTGTAGCAAACTTGGGTAAAATATCACAAATGAAAGATTTATCGAATCTCTATTATGGTGGACATATGGTTATTGGTCCAAAGCACAAATTTGGTGAAAATGTTTATTTCAAACAACTCAGTATCCCACCTGGAGAAGCATTTGTGATTAAACTCGATAAGTAAATATTTTTCTTTTTTTTTAAAAAACAAAGAGAACAAAAAAAATATATTATAAATATATACATACATTTTAATTAAAATATTTATTGAGAAAAAACAAGAAAAAAGAACTAATTTTTTACACACTGTAGCATTTATTAAAAAGTACTTATAATAATTGACACAAGTGGAATTTTTTTTCTTTATTATATGTGTGAGTGTTTATTAAAAAAAAAGAAATTTTCTCATTAAACAAAATTTTTTTATATTTCTTTTTTTTCTTATATAATATTATATATAATATTGGATAAATTAAGACTGTTGTATTCACAATGACATCGAATGTTTTACAAATATAATTCATACCGTGATTCAGATTGTTCGATTACTAAAATTTTATTTACTTAAAAAATTAAAATATAAAAATTTTAAGAATTTTTTTTTTTTAAAGGTGATATAGAAAAATTAATATTTTTAATGTTACAATTAATACGTAATTGTTGAGTGTGCGTAATCCTGTTTATTATATTATTATTAACATTCTGTTATTATTACTATTAGGTATTATTGACATTATATTATAATTATTTTTTTAATAATAATAATTTATGAATTTATTTATTTATGAAATTAATAAAAATTTAATTACTCAATTTTCAAAATCAAAACAAATTTAATTTTCCCGCGCTTAATTTTCACTGGTCGAATGAAAAACAACGCGCATTACGCACACTCAAACTTCTGATGAATTTAAAAATAATTTTTTAATTATTGTTCAATAAAATTTTACATTTACAATAAAAAATACAATTTTTATACCGAAATCAAATTTTCACAATTTTTATTTTCAATATACCGGATGTTATAAAAAGTATTTTAAAAAGCGAAATAAATATTAGGATTTTTGAAGAAAAAAATAAGTGTTAAAATAATTTTCTTTTTTTCAACACCCGGTATATAAAAAATAAAAACAAAAATGAAAAAATTGACAAAAGAACAATAAAAAACGAAAATAGAATTTTTTTTAAATACAAATTAAACGAAAAAAAATATGTTTACAAAAAGAAAATAAAATACCTACGTATACGTTAAATTTGCGGAATTGAAAATGTTAAAATTTTAGAATTGAATATATAATAATTTTTATTCAGGGATTTTATTAGTGTACAAAAAAAAATTTTCACATCATTATGATTGTATAGATTTTTGTTTTAGGGAAAAATACGAGTAGTTTAAAAATGTATTTTATGTAATAAAAATAAAAAAATTTATGTTTAAAAAATTGAAATTTATTTCCCCCTCTATTTCTTTAGTAAAAATTTTATAAAAAAATGAACTTTCAGTTAATTTCAAATATTCCAGCGTAAAATTTTCATTGGTCGAATAAAATTTTTAATAGCTGCGAAAAAACAATGCAATTTTTAAGGAAATTATTAAATGTTAAATTAACTAATTAAATTAACATTTATTTATTAAAAAAAAAGTTTCTATTTTAAATGAACATTTATTTAATTTCAAATATTCCCGCGTAAAATTTCCATTGGTCGAACAAAATTTATAGGATGATTTGTAGTATAGCTACGAAAAATATGCAATTTTTAAGGAATTTATTAAATGTTCATCAAATTAATTAAATTAATAATTATTTAAATCATAAGAATTATTTAAATATTAATTAATTATTATTTAATTATAAATTAAATTTATAAATTAAATTATAATTCAGTTAATTACAAAAAACAAAAATATTAGTCTCCGAAATGCTCCGAATAATAAACGTGTTTACTTTATTTATAAAAATTAAATAAAATAAAATTAAAAAAAAAAAAAAAATTTGTATTTTATTTTTAAAACTTGGAAAATTTCACTACCCTAATTAATTAAATTAATAATAGTTATTATTTTATATATATAATTCAATCATTAATAAATTGATTAAAAACAATTGCATAAATTATAAATTTTTATTTTTTTTTGTCAACATTTTCATTCACTGGAAAAAGAAAAAAAAAATAAATTAGTGGAAATTATTTAATTTCCATTTTGAAAAAAATTGACCGTATGCATAAAATATTAATTAAAATAAAATAAAGTAATTTTCAATTGAAAGAAAGTGAAATGGAAGAAATGCAAGTTTTCTCACAAGCGGTGAAAAATGACAGTGTTTAGTATATAAGGACAGTGAGTCGCATTAGAAATTTAGAGGTTCCCTCGAGGCACACCTACGGAGCTAGTGTTGCGGAGTCCTTGTGACTATCAGCTGCTCTGAGGAAGGTCCCTGGACACGTTGGCAGAAAGTGTCGTGGCGTAAAATTGCCACCAGCCTCCACCGTCTCGTTCACTATTGGGATGGAAGCTTCTTCAAAAAAGCCGACCTTGAACTTGGGTGTGAGAGTGTTGGTCAGAGCAAAGTAATGTGTGACGATCGAGTTAAGAGGTACTTCTCTTTCAATTTCGATTAACCAAACAGGGCCCACTCCGAGGAAACCTTCTTTTTTCCAATTTTTTTTTAGTTTTTAAATAATTTAATTTAAAGAATTAATTAACTAATTAATTAAATAATTAGTAATTTTTCATAATATTGTTATAATTATTTACTTCTTTCTATTTACAATATTTATATAATTTTATATTTTTAAAAATTAATAAAATAAGAAACAAAAAAATAATGAACTTAAAAAAAATAAATCAATTATTTTGGAAAATGTATAAAAAAATACGATTTTTCAAATAGCAGAGGGTAAAAATGAAAAAAGTCCAAAATTTGGAAAAACTGATATATCGTTTTTTTGTTTAATGATTGTTAAAAATATAAATTTCATCATTTTTCTAATTGTACAGATTCGTTGTAACAATTAGAAGCAAAAAAAAAAAAGATGTCTAATGAGCTATAAAAGTAAATATTTAACAATTTTATCACTATATAATAATAATTATATAACATTTTTTGTCATTCCTACAAATAAAATATAATATATTCATACATTTATAATATTTATCACTAAACTATAAAAAAAAAGCTAAAATTTTTTTTCATAATTTACAATAAGAAGAGAATTAAAAATTCCATTCACAAAAAGTGAAAATATTTTTTTTCGTGCGAAAAAACAAAATTTTTTCGTAGACAAAAAATTTTTACAAATCAATTTCGTTTTTTTTTTCATCCGACATTTTAAAATTTATTACAAAATTCGAAATTAATAGCAATAAAAAAAAGTATTCGATGGCGAAATTTATTCCATGACATTTGATAATTTAAATAGTTTTTCGTTTATTTAAAAATATTTTTAATAGTTTGTCGTTTCGAACAATTAATTTTCAGCAGAAGAAGAAAAAAAAGGAGAGATATAATAATTATTACAATAAACAATAATCGCAGAGTAATTCAAATATAATTGCAAAAATTATTCAAATAAAAAAGTTGCAAAAATTGTTCGAATAAAAAAATTGCAAATCCAATTATTTGAATAAAAAAATGCAAATAATTATTCGAACAAAAAAGATGCAAATAATTATTATAATACATTAATTGCAATTATATAAAAAATCATTCGAATATTGTAATAATTAAAATATCTATGATAATTCGAAAAATGAAATAATATTTACAGTATAATTAATACAATGATGTAATAATTACAATAATATGATAATTATTAATAATAATATAATAATGATAATTGCAATAACGATGATAATTGCAAAATACAAATTTCAATACTATAATTACAATGATCTAACAATTACCCAATAATTTAATAATTACTGAATAATAATTACAATTAAATATTTACAATAAAATGTAAGAATTAGAATATAATAATTATAATAATGTAACTATTTTTAAAGAATAATATTTACAATTGTGTTTAATAATTACAATGAAATAATTGCAATAAAATAATTACATTAAAATAATTACAATAAAATAATTACATTAAAATGATTACATTAAAATAATTACAATAAAATAATTACATTAAAATAATTACAATAACATAATTACATTAAAATAATTATAATAAAATAATTACATTAAAATAATTACATTTAAATAATTACATTAAAATAATTACAATAACATAATTACATTAAAATAATTACATTAAAATAATTACAATAAAATAATTACAATAAAATAATTACATTAAAATAATTACAATAAAATAATTACAGTAAAATAATTATAATACAATAATTACAGCAAATTAATTACTATATTATTATAATTACAGTAAAATAATTACTATATGTGACGCGATCTGAAGAAAGGGACCTTAGAAGCAAATCATTTTAAGGTTGGGTTAGAGTTACTTTTTTCTTGTTTGAAAGTTTCTTTTTACTTATTTCGAATTAAAATCAGTGTTTATTAAATATTTTAGTTTTAATGAAGACTTAAACTTCAATGATTTATATTGACAGTTGATCCTTTTTTTGTATTTTCAATTAAAAAATTGCAAACATAACCTATAATTTTTTGCTTCTAAGGTCCCTTTCTTCAGATCGCGTCACATATTACTATAATTACTAATTAATAATTATTATAAACTGAAAATTACAATATAGGAATTATAATAGAGCAAAGAAATTACTAATTAGTAAATAAAATAATAAATTAACTGTTAACTACTAATTAGTAATTATTGTAGTGATTTTAATATTGATTCGTAATTACGGTAGTGTTTTAATTATTAATTAGTAATTACTGTATTTTTATGACTGCAGTATTTTTCTTTTTGATAATTCTTTTATTTTGATTATTAATTAGTAATTTTTTTAGTGCTTTCATTTTATTAATTAGTAATTATTGCAGTACTTTAATTGTTTAATTATTAATAATTCAAAATATGTTGTATTTTAATTATTCATTTGTAATTTTTGTGGTTTTTTAATTATTAATTAGTAATTTTTATGGTATTTTCATTATTAATTAGTAATTATTGCAGTACATTAATTGTTTAATAATTAATAACCCAAAAAAGTTGTATTTTAATTATTAATTTGAAATTTTAGTATTTTAATTACCAGTTGGTAAATATTATAGTGATTTAATTAATAATCAGTAATTATTCCTTTATTATAACTAATTAGCAATTAGTAATTATTACACTATTTCAATTACAAATTAGTGATTTGGAAAATTTTTCAATTTACTCATTAATAATTATAATTTTATAACAATTACTTGTTAGTAATTAAAAGAGTTTTAAAAACTTTTTTAATTACTAACAAGTAATTGTTATCAGAATATTATAATAATTACTAATTGATTATTGCAATATTGCAACAATTACTAATTAGTAATTAAAATTAAAAAATGCCAAAAATTACTAGTTAATAATTACAATAATATAATAATTACTAATTAGGAGTTAATATTTCCATCTATTAATTATTAATCAGTAATTAAAACAATCTAATAATTAGTAATCGGAAAGTAGAATAATCTAATAATCAGTAATTAGTATTTAAAATAATGCATTAATTATTAATTACTAATTAGTAAATTATTGTAGTGTTTTACTTATTAATTAGTAATTATTGTAGTATTTTAATTATTTCTTAGTAGCGAAAATAATCATATAGTAACTAATTAGTAATTAAAATATAACAATTTTAATGTAATAATTGATAGCAAAGCAGTAATTTTTAATTAATAATTTAAAAAATAATAATTGTAATATAATAATTACAATATATATTTACAATAATCTAGTAATTATAATAATACTATAATCATAATAATATAATAATTACAATAATACTATAATTACAAATAATATAATTATTATAATAAAATAATAATAATTATTATAATAATAATAATTACATTTGAGGTATTTCGAAGTCAATCTGGCTCGTCATTGTAATTCGCGAAAAAAAATACAATATATATATATATAATTATATAAAGAGAAAACAATTAATATGCCGGTCTTGATTGAGTCCTCCAGAGAAAAAAATTACAAAAAAAATATATATATACAACAACAAAAAAAAAGAAGGCAAAAAAGTAAACTCGACTCGCGAAATAAAATTTATAATATTTAAGTAAAGTCAAAAAAAAATCTAAAACGCGTGCAATCATCATTCACACACAAAATTGCCTCACCTATTTATAATCTATTTATAAATTTCAGTTTTTTTTCAGTCTTCAGGCAACAGTCTGTTATCGAGAATATTTACACATTTTTTTTTACTTAGAAGAGTGGGAGAGACTATTTACAGAAGAAATTTTTTCCACTTTTTTTTTTGTTTTCTCCTCTCAAAAAACAATTTGTTATTTATATATAAATAATAGAAAAAGAGTGAGTGAGTGAGAAAGAGAGTGATAGAGATGGTGAAAGGGAGAAAAAAAAGAAGAATGAGAGAGGAGAGCAAAAAAAAAGTAATGGAAAAATTAATAAATGAGCGCACTTAAACAATTTTTATGGCATTATCGATGTGTAATTTTGACATTGTTTTTTTCACTCGAAGAGCAGTTAGTCGTACAAGTGGATTTTTATTCCAGCATTCGGCCATTAATTTACCCAGGGCAAATAGAATCTGAAAAAAAGATAAGAATTTTAGAAACATTGTATTTTTTTAAGTTTTTAAAAATGTTTGTATTAGTTAATTAGGAAATGCTACGCACGCTGTTAATAATAATTAATTTTTAATTAATAATTATGAATAATTTATTATTATTTGAATTTTTCCAGAATTTTTCACGAAACAATTGTCACAATTCTAATTTTTTTTCCAATTTATTATTATTATGCAAATTACAAAATTTCTCATTTTTAAATATAAAGTGCATTTTATTAAATATTATTGTTTATATTTTCAAAAATTTTCATATAATTCTTCGAAAAAATCCATAAATTTTCAAAAATAATAACATTCTTCGAAAGAATTCAATTATTTTTTATAAATAGTAAATTTTTTTAACAAAAATTCAATTATTTTCAAACAAAATTTTAATTAAATTTCACGAAAAATTTCAATTATTTTCTAATAATTTTAATAAATCCTTCGAAACAATAATTGATTTACTTTTTTTAAATAGTAAAATCTTTGCAAAAATTTAATTATTATCAATAAATTTCGGGTTATCAATTTCACGAAAGAATTCATATTTTTATTTCTTCATTCGTTATAAAATTTTTCAAAAAAACTCAATTTTTTTTTCGTTTTGAATTTTAATAAATTTTCCGAAACAATTGAATTATTTTTATGAACAGTAAAATTCTTTTCAGAAATTCAATTACTTTTAATAAAATTTCAATAGAATTTCATAAATAAATTCAATTTTTAAAAAAATTTTAATAATATTTTTTGAAAAAATTCAATTATTTTCTATATAGTTTTAATAAATTCTATAAAACAATTGAATTATTTTTTTTATTGTTAACAAAATTTTTGGGATGAATCCAATTATTTTCTAAAATTTTAATAAATCCTTCGAAACAATTCAATTATTTTTATAAACAGTAAAATTCTTTTCAAAAATTCAATTATTTTTAATACAATTTCAATAAAATTTCATAAAGAAATTCAATTTTTAAAAAAATTTTAATAATAAATTTCGAAAAAATTCAATTATTTTCTATAGTTTTAATAAATTCTTTGAAACAATTCAATTATTTTTTAAATTTTAATGAAATTTTTCAAACGAATCAAATTACCTATTTTCTATAATTTTAATAAATCCTTCGAAACAATTCAATTATTTATATAAACAGTAGAATTATTTTCAAAAATTCAATTATTTTTAATAAAATTTCAATAGAATTTCATAAATAAATTCAATTGTTTAAATATTTTGAATAACATTTTTCGAAAAAATTCAATTGTTTTCTATAGTTTTAATAAATCCTTCGAAACAATTCAATTATTTTTTAAATTTTAACAAAATTTTTCAAAAGAATCAAATTATTTTCTAAAATTTTAATAAATTCTTCCATACAATTGAATTATTTTTATAAACAGTAAAATTCTTTTTTAAAATTCAATTATTTTTAATACAATTTCAATAGAATTTCATAAATAAATTCAATTTTTAAAAAAATTTTAATAATATTTTTCGAAAAAATTCAATTATTTTTATATACTGTAGATTTTTTTTCAAAAATTCAATTATTTTTAATACAATTTCAATAAAATTTCACGAATAAATTCAATTTTTAAAAAAATTTTAATAATATTTCACGAAAAAATTCAATTATTTTCTATAATTTTAATAAATTCTTTAAAACAATTCAATTATTTTTTATTTTTTAACCAAATTTTTCAAAAGAATAAAATAATTTTCTAAAATTTTAATAAATCCTTCGAAACAATTCAATTATTTTTGTAAACAGTAAAATTCTTTTTTAAAATTCAATTATTTTTAATACAATTTCAATAAAATTCTTCGCAAGAATTCAATTATTTTCATAAATAATAAAATTCTTCCAAGGAATTTAATTATTCTCAATTTTTTTTGACAAAATTCTTTGAAAGAATTTAATGATTTTCAAAACATTAATTATTAACATTATTGTTTAATTTGTTATTAAATGAATAATTTATTTATTATTATTTTAATAATTATTTATGGAAAAAATTGTTAAATAATAATAATAATTATTATCTTAATTATTAATAATATTAATTAATAATAATTATATTTATTAAACAGTTTTTTCCATAAATAATTATTAATGAATAATTATTAAAATATACTAATAAATAAATTATTTATTTAATAACAAATTAAAAAATAAACCCAATTGAAAATAGTAATCTTAAATAAAGAAAATAATAAATAACCAAACAGTATATGTAAATAATTATAAATTATATATTATATACTATATTTAAATAAATAAATGATTATAAATAAAATAAATAATTAATTAATAAATAATAATTAAAAATAAAATATGTAAATAATTGTTGAAATACTTACGGGATCATTTTCCCATCGTGTGGGTATAATGGGCCTCAGCCTTTTGACGCAAACTGCAAGTCTCATGTCATCGAAATCGGGATCATTGGGAACAACGTCGTGATATGGCAGTGCGTACGGCTCTGCCGTCGACACTTTTCCACCGGTGGCACATCGTCTACATGCCTCCCACAATACAAGACCCACTGAATACATATCCGCCATTTTGAATGCATCAAACGACGACGTATTTAACGACTCGTCCAATACTTCCGGCGCCATGTAACGTCTTGTACCAACTCGTGTGTTTGGCGCAATATCAATCTCTCCACTTTCGCTGCAATCGAAAAGGAAAAATTAATTTTACTGCATAGGTACACCAAAGTAGCATATTTTAGTGGAAAAGTACTTTTCCCAACAATTTTTTACTAAATAATGACGAAAAGTACTTTTTTTCGCACGTTTACCACACTACCGGGCGAGAATCACATACTTTAGGCCCGCTTTAACTGACCAGAATAACATTCTTTCCGCACGGGTAGTAAAAACATTGTTTTTATTCCCAAAAACACTTATTTTGAATTTTGTTTTCCAAAACTAATATTACTAATATTAATTACTATTGAGTAATAATTTTAAATTAATTAATATTACTAATATTAATAAATAAATAAATTTTTTTTAATAGTTAATTTGAATATTAATAATAAGGGAGTAAAGTCAGTGATCTCGGTGTTTCAAAAAAATTTTAAGAGAAGATGTAACTAACAAATATGATAAAATTTTATCCCTAACTAATATTTATCAAAATTTTAAACAATTTTTATAAACAAATTATGATTTGAAAGAAACAAACATTTTCTATAAACATTTTAATTTTATACCGCACTCTCATTTTTATAATTGCAATATATATTGAAGATAAAAATTGTTTAAGATTAGTAGTAAAAAAAATTGTTTTTCCTCATACAAATTGTTATAAACAAATTATATAAACAATTAAATTTTATACGAAGATATGTAAAAAAATTTGTTTTTTTTTAAATTTATATAAGCTTATTGCAATTAAACTTTCTTTCTATCTATGAAACTGATGTTTTGCAATAAATTTTCTTAATTATTTAAACAATTTTAATAAACAATTGAAATGTACGAACATTTTTAGGCACAAAAGTTTCAAATTTTTTGCAATTAATGTTTTCTTAAGCCGCCCAGATAATATCTTTATAAAAAAGTAATTATACAAATAACTTTATCGTTTGGTTTTAATAAACAAATTATATAAACAATTACACTTTAGGCGAAGTTATGTCTAAAAGTAATTTGTTTTTTTAATAAATTTATTTTAGCTTATTGCGATTATACTTTATCTTTATGAAACTGGTATTTTACGATATTTTTCCTTAATTATTTAAACAATTTTAATAAAAAATTGAATAGTATGGACATTTTTAGACACAAAAAAAATAAAATTTTTTGAAATTCATGTTTTTCTAAGCCGCCCAGAGAGTATTCTTATAAAAAAGTTTTTTTGCAATTAACTTTATCGTTTTAATAAACAAATTAAATAAACAATTACACTTTAATCTATGTTATGTTTAAAAGTAATTTGTTTCTTTATAAATTTCCTTTATCTTATTGCAATTAAACTTTCTTTTTATAAAACTGATGTTTTGCGACAATTTTCCTTGATTATTTAAACAATTTTAATAAACAATTGAATCGTATGCACATTTTTAGACACAAAAGTATCAAATTTTTTGCAAATTAATATTTTTTCAAACCAGTCAGAGATTATTCTTATGACAAAGTTATTTTGCAAATAACTTTATTAATTAAATACACAAATTATATAAACAATTGAATCATATGGACATTTTTTGAAAAAAAAGTTCAAATTTTTTGCAATTAATGTTTTTTCTAAGCCGTCCAGAGATTATCTTTATGAAATAGTGATTTTGCAATAATAACTTTATTATTTTAATAAACAAATTATATAAATAATTAAACCTTAGGGCAAATTATGTTTAAAAGTAATTTGTTACTTTATAAATTTAATTTATTTTATTGCAATTAAACTTTCTTTTTGTGAAACTTTTGTTTTGCGATAATTTTTTTATTATTTAAACAATTTTAATAAACAATTGATCAATACGGACATTTTTAGACACAAAAGTATCAAATTTTTTTCAATTATTGTTTTTTTCTAAACCGCCAAGAGGGTATACTTATAAAAAAGTTATTTTTCCATTAACTTTATTATTTTTATAAACAAATTATATAAACAATTACACTTTATGCGAAGATATGTCTAAAAAAATGGTTTTTTTAATGAATTTACTTTAGCTTATTGCAATTGAACTTTTTTTAAATGAAACTTATGTTTTGAGATAATTTTCTTTAATTGTTTAAATAATTTTAATAAACAATTGAATAGTACGGACATTTTTAGCCACAAAAAAGGATTCATTTTTTTGCGAATAATGATTTTTCTAAGCCGCCTAGAAATCATCTTTATAAAAAAGTTATTTTTCAATAATAACTTTATTGTTTTAATAAACAAATTATATAAACAATTACAATTTAGATGAAATTATTTCTATAAAAATTTTGTTTTTTTTTAATAAATTTGCTTTATTTTATTACAATTAAACTTTCTTTTTTATGAAACTGATATTTAGCGACAATTTTTTTTAATTGTTTAAACAATTTTAATAAACAATTGAATAGTATGGATAGTTTTAGACACAAAAGTATCAAATTTTTTAATTATTTTTTAATTATTTCTAATTATTATTTTCCACAAATTTTGGTTTTTAAAATACCAATAATTTCGAAATTTGTGACGCGATCTGAAGAAAGGGACCTTAGAAGCAAATCATTTTAAGGTTGGGTTAGAGTTACTTTTTTCTTGTTTGAAAGTTTCTTTTTACTTATTTCGAATTAAAATCAGTGTTTATTAAATATTTTAGTTTTAATGAAGACTTAAACTTTAATGATTTATATTGACAGTTCATCCTTTTTTTGTATTTTCATTTAAAAAATTGCAAACATAACCTATAATTTTTTGCTTCTAAGGTCCCTTTCTTCAGATCGCGTCACATTTATTATCAAATTAGGTTCCAAAATAGGTCAATCGAAGCGTTTTTTAATGCTCTATAAGTTGGTAATGATAATTTTAAACTTACTTCTACATTTTTCAACAAAATTTTCAAAAAAGTCTTATTTTCCAAAATTTTTTATTTTTAAAAGTTTAATATTTCCGGTCAATATGGACGAAAAATGTTCAATTAGGGCTCAAAAGATGCGTCTAAAGAAACTCTACAAAATTATGGAAAAACATTTATAGGTGTCTTAACATTTTTTTAAAGTTATGGGCAAAAAACGTTTTTTTGCAAAATTAAAAATTCAAAAAAAGTTTAGTTAAACTTTATTAATCTATCACAAAGTACTCTCATATTATGGCCGCAGGTGAGATCTACAATTTAAAAAAAAAATTCAACCCAAAAGCTCTTGATGATTTCGAGATATTTATGAAAATGTGATGTTTACACACACATACGGAATGACATTTTTTAAAAATGTAATTTTTGAACCCCTGAACTCGAAAAATTTTGGTATTACAATACTTTCTCTATGAGGAAGTTAAAAAAATAAGAAAGTCCCAAAAACACAAAAATAAAGATAAAAAAAAACAAACCTCAAAAATCGCACAGCGAGTCCAAAATCAGCAATAACACACTCGCCATTCCTCTTGACGAGAATATTCCTCGTCTTGATGTCACGATGAGCAATAGCCGGTTTGCCACGCGTTCCAAATATCTCCGTATGCAAATGCGCAATTCCCGACGCAATTGACAAGCAAATAGCCAACAATGTCGTATGATCGAGAACAGTTGTCTGAAGATAGTCATGCAACGAGCCCCTCTCATGATAGTCCGTTATCAGCATCATTTGCGTCCACGAGCCCGTACCCTTAATATCAGCCGCAATAAAACCCAAAATATTATCGTGCCTCATAAGAACAGTCTGATAAATTTCCGTCTCCCTAAACCACGACGCCTCCTCCAATGTGAAAAACACTTTAACCGCCACTTTCTCGCCACGCCATCTTGCCAACCAAACCTCACCATAACGTCCCTTACCAACGCACTGCGACAGTGCCAATTGTTTTGCTATTGTTCGTTGCACCAAAAGTGGTAGACCCGAGCCCGAACCACTTGTCTGCTCAATAAGATCCTTGAGTGTCCCCTGATTAGAAACCAAGCACGGTCCCCTTTCTTTCCTACGATAACGCTGATAAATGAGAATCATTGCCATTATAAATATCATCAGGCAAATTGATAATGTCACCGCAAGAACAATGAGAGGTGCCCCGGAAGCGATTGCTATCGGATCCGGGGCAATTGTTGATCTCGGTATTATTTGTGGTATTTTTTTCTCATTACAAAAATCCGTATCATTACAGCAATAAATACTTTTGCCACGTGAATGTGGCACTAGATTTGCTTTACATTGCATAAAACTATTTTCCTCCGGTGCTAAACAGCCAAATGATTCTTCAATTAAATATTCCTCACTCTCGGGATCGAGAAATTCCTCCACTTGACTGAAACACTGACCACCAGGTTTCAATGTGCACGTGCCATTTTGTACGTTGTTCGGACAATTGCCATCGCAATAGCACGTTATTGTCAACACTGAAATGAAACAATTTCGAAAAATTATTAATTATTCTTTTTATTCATTGTAAATATAGTAAATTCATATTAAATATTCATATTAAATTGTAAATTTGTCTAAATTCACAAAATTTTGACATAGACAGAATTCGCACTCGATAATTAATTTTAAAAAAGTAGCAAAACAATTTCGAAAAATCATTCATTATTCTTTTTATTCATATTAAATCAGGATTGCCACGCTTTTGCTCATTTCAAATTCCCTGACATTTCCAGGTTTAGGAATTTTTCCAGGTTTTTAAAACTACATTTGTTGCCAAGAAAAAATTAATTTTGTTTTAACCTGACATTCCCTTGAATTTCAGATAAAATTCTTACTTTTCCTTCACTCTAAGGAATATTTTGATTTAGTTTAAAAATTATTACTCAGAAAAATGAATATTTTTCTTCTTCTTCTTTTTTAAATAAATATAATATTTAATGATTATTATTTTTCCATAAGAATGAAGATTTTCAAAAATTTCAAATTCAAAGCTTTTTAAAATTAGACAATTTAAAAAAAAATTGTTATAAAACATAAAGAAATCGATCACTCCGAGTCTTCGATTCGGAGCAATCGATATCTTCATGTTTTATAATAATTAATTAATTATTAAAGATGACCGACTGATAAAATAATTATTTTATATTATAACAATATTGTTACTGTAGTAACTTCATAAAAATTATTTTTATCATTTCAATTTAATTAATAAAATATTAATAATTTATTAATATTTTTATTTATTTAAATTTTTTTTTTTTTATTTATTTTAATTTATTTTTTATTTATTTTTTATTTATTTTTTTTTTTATTTATTTATTTATTTTTTTTTTTATTTTTTTTTATTTATTAATTTTTTATTTTAATTTAATTAATTATTTTTAATAATTTTTGACAAATTTCTTTGAAAATTTACAAATTTTTTTGTTTACAATTCAATTTTAAGAAATTTCTTCGATTATTTAGAAATTCTTCAATCAAATATACATTAGAAAATAAAAACTTCAAATAATTATTTCAAAAAAGTTCCATATTAAACTTTTTTAAAAAAATTAAAATCTACACAATTTTCAGTAAAAAGTATAAAAAATTCAAACTTTCAAAAACTATGATTTGAAACCTTTTCAAAATTCAATTATTTCTAAAAATTCACGCTATAATACTTTCTCTTTTAATTAGAATTAATAATATTCTTTGCTAATTGGAATTAGTGACTGAATTTTTGCTTTTTAATTAGTAAATTTTCCTATTAAATTAGTAAAAAAAGAATATTAGTAAAATCTGCTAATTCAAAAGCAAAAAGTTACTCACTAATTCAAATTCCAAACCATTTTTACTAATTCAAATTTAGAGAGTTTAATATTCAATTATTATCTAAAATTTTAACTGAAATTCATATTTAAATCAATTTTTATTAGAAAATTCTGCGAGAATTCCATTATTTAAATACAAAAAAAAAAATTTATTAAATAATTGAATGTTTCTTAAAATAATTGAACTCTAATAAGGAATTTAATCAACAAATTTTTAAATAATTAAAATTCGAATATTAATAAAATTTTTTAGAATAATTTAATTTTTCGAGAAATTAGATTAAAATTGTATTAAAAATAATTGAATCTCTGTAAAAAATTTTGATTGAATTGAAAAAAGTTGTTGAAAATAATTGAAATTTTGACAGGAATATTATTAAATTTTTTGAAAATAATTGAATTTTGAAGAATTTTATTATATATAAAGATAATTGAAATGCTGACGAGAATTTTTTTGATCTTTTGACCATAATTGAATTTCTGCGAAGAATTTTATTATCTTTATTATCTTTTTTTTTATTATCTTTTATTATCTTTATCTTATTTTATTATCTTTATTATTCTTTTTTTTATTTATCTTTTGTGAAATTTTATTAAAATAGTAGATATTTAAAATAATTGAATTTTGATATATTATTGAAATTAATTTAATTTCTACGAAGAATTTTATTAAAATTATTTTGAAAAAAATTGAATTATTGTCAAAAAGGATTTCATTAAAATTCTTCAAAATAATTTAATTCTTTTAAAAAATTTCATTAAAAATGTATTGGCAATAATACTTAAATTCACAAAATAGACAAAAATTCCATTCTATATTTTATTTTCCCGACTGTTTCCTAATTTTCATTAAAAATCTTTACTTCTTTCTTACCCTGATGCTAATAAATTGAATTCCTGCAACAAATTTTATTATTCATGAAACAATTTAAATATTTATAAAAATTTAATTCTTGAGAAGAATTTTAGAAAATATTTTAAATAATTCATTTCTTTCGACTAAGTTTATGTAAAATTCTAATTTAAATTATTTGAATTTATGTGAAAATTTTGTTATTTTTGAAAAGAATTGAATTCTTACAAAGATTTTTATACAAAAAATTCTTTAAAAAATTGAATTCTGTTTGGAAATTTTATAAAAATAGAAGATGTTGAAAATCATTGAATTACAAAAAATTTTTTTAAATAATTAAATTTTACAAAGAATTTTATTAAAATTTTTGACAATAATTGAATGTCTGTGAAGTACTTTAATAAATTTTAAAAAAAAATTGAATTGCTAAAAAGCATTTTATTATTTAAGAAAATAATCAAATTCTTGCTAACGATTTTATTAGAATTTTTTTTAAATAATTGAATTTTGAAGGAAAAATTTATTACTTTTAAAAATAATTGAATTCTTGTGATGAATGTTGTTATTTATGAAAATAATTGATTTTTGCAAAGAATTTTATTAAAATACCTCAAAATAATTGAATTTTCGGGAATAATTTTGTTAGTTATCTTTAATAATTAAATTCTTTCGAAGAATTATTTATGTAAATAATTGAATTTATTCTTGGGAAGAATTTTATTAAAATTTAAAAGAATGATTGAATAAATTCAAAAAAAAAAAAAATAAATTAAAATTGTATTTAAAATAATTAACTTTTTTCGAATATTTTTATTAAAATATTTGAAAAAAAATTTAATTCCTGTGAAAAATTCTAACATTTTTGTAAATAATTGAAATCTTACGAAGATTTAAAAAAAAATTCTTTACATAATTGAATTCTGTTAGGAAATTTTATGAAAATAGTACATATTAAAAATCATTGAATTGCGAAAAGTTTTTAAAAATAATTAAATTTTACAAAGCATTCTATTAAAATTTTTGACAATAATTGAATGTCTGTGTGGCTTACAAAGCATTCTATTAAAATTTTTGACAATAATTGAATGTCTGTGTGGCTTACAAAGCATTCTATTAAAATTTTTGACAATAATTGAATGTCTGTGTGGCATTTTATTAAATTTTATTGAATTCCTAAAAAGCATTTTATTATTTATGAAAATAATTGAATGATTTTATTAGAATTTTTTTAAATAATTGAATTTACAAGAAAAAATTTATTACTTTTAATAATAATTAAATTCTTCTGATAAATATTGTTATTCATGAAAATAATTGAATTTTGCAAAGAATTTTATTAAATTGCCTCAAAATAATTGAATTTTCGGGAATAATTTTGTTAGTTATCTTTAATAATTAAATTCTTTCGAAGAATTATTTATATGTAAATAATTGAATTCTTGGGCAGAATTTTATTAAAATCTAAAAGAATAATTTAATTATTTCAAAAAAATTGAAATTCCGCGATAAATTTTATTATTTATGAAAATAATTGAATTATTGCGAAAAATTTTATTAAAATGTTTAAAAAGAATTTAATTTCTGTGAAAAATGTTGTTATTTTTAAAAACAATTTAATTCTTCATATTAAAGAATTTTATAAACAATGTTTTAAATAATTAATTTTTGCGAAATATAATAATTATTATGGAAATTTAATGTTAAATAAATAATTGAATTCTTGTTGAAAACTTTATTTGTGAAAATAATTGAATTGAAATTCAGTTAATTATACTTCTTAATTTTATCCATTACTTATTATTAATTTTAATAATTCAAATATTTTTCAAAACTGTTATAAAAGTTTTTAAGAGAATTCAAATTATTCTCAACAAATTTCTTCCAAAAGAATTTAATAAAATTCACTAATCAAATTTTCATTTTTAATTATTAACAAACAAAGTTATTTTAAAAGCTTAAAAGAAATTATTCAATTACAATCGAAATTATTTAATATTTCTAGTAAATTTATTTTAAAAATTACATTATTTTCAAAAAAAAAAACTTAAAGAAATTCTTTAAAACAATTTAATTCTTTACGAAAACTGTTAAAAAAATTGTTTATAAGGATTTAATTTTCTATCAATAAAAATTTAATTATTTTCTAAAAATTTTAATAAAATCCAACAATTAAATATTTAATTATAATTAACTAATCGGTTATTTGAATCAAATAAATTTTTTTTTGCAGTTTAGATTTTTCATACAATCTTTTCAAACTTTTTTCTATTTGACAGATTTTAAATTTACTGACAATTAAAATGGGAATTTTATTTACATAAAAGTTTAGTCAGGCATTTGTAGAAACATGTTATGAGTGTTTATAAAAAGAGTATCTCTAAGGAAAATGATCTTTATAGGTGTTTTTCTGTTTTAGGAAATTTCTCTCTCTCTCTCTCTCTCTCTCTCTCTCTCTCCTATTTGCAATAGAATTAAATCCTGAATCGCATGATCGCTCCAAAAATGGTTGAAATGTGTTCATGTGTTGTAAATCTTTATATGTTGTTGTGAAAGTGCGTGAATTGTCCTTAAATGGCGATAACAAGCGACAATTTTTCTCTCTCCCTCTGCTCCTTCATCTCGACTTGCCTCCAAATAGGGATCGTTCACACGCAGGAAAAAAAAATAAAGATTAAAATTTTTTTTCATTAAAGTATTAATTCATTGAAAAATGAAACGAAAATAATAAAAGAAATAATTATTATTTATAAATAATTATTTTATTTATTTAATAATTAGTATTTAATTTAGTATATAATTACTATTTAAT